CTTTACATGGCAGCCTTCCGAAGTGGCCACACAAATTGGTACATAAACTGTATGAAATGGTTCCCGGGCAGACTGAAACTTCAAATGTGAAAAGTTCCTTTTTGTGTTTTCCTGTGTTTAAGATTAACAATATTAAGATTAGGTTTTTGAAAACTTTTGAAAAAATGTCTTTTTGGGTCTAAATGGCTAGGTAAGAACGTCACTGAAGTACGGAAGTTACGTGATGGATACATCAATGTTGCCTCCTCATTAAACACAGGGAACACACAGCAGTCTCCTGGATGAAAGATTCTTCGAGCCATCAACCTATCTGGGCTCGGATCTGTATTGAAGATGACATCAATAACATACAATATTTTCTGTGGGAAATCTACAAATATATTTTTGCGCATTATTTGTGGTTTAAGGTGTAGCTACGAATTCTTCCTAGGACTAGCCTGCACTGAAACGCACTTTGTTTCATAAACCTAAACCAATAAACATAAAACTAAGTATATCTACAATGGAGGTTTATCTTGAAAAGACAGAAAGATCTGTAATTGGCATGCCTTCTCTGACACATCAAAAAATGTAGATGAAAAGGAACCTAGACAACTGTTTAAGCTACTGAGCAAGAGTAAAGAATTTGCGTAAGGTGTGCCTTGTGAGGCAACCCCTACTGGCAGGCTCTTCTTCAAAATAAAAATCTGATAAAGGGTTCAATTGAAAAAAAGATGCTTATTCAACAACAAAGCCCAGTGCAGTTACTGTGTGAATGACATTCAACAATATTCACTTGAATAGAACTTGTGGCCAAACCCGTCACTCTGATGTCTCCTATTCTAGCTGCCCAATCTAAGCACTGGCGATAAGTCCAGTGTTTATTTTTTGGAGTGGTTCTGCCATTTTGTCCATCAATTCGTCCATAAATGCGTGTAGCTCCGGGATTGCCTGTGTCTATGTGTAAACCACACCCCCTGATGTCCTGTTTCCTTTCTGTCATACTTGCTCCATTGTTATGGGAAACGTGTAATGACAGAAAACAAAGCTTCCAGCTTCAAGCTTTAAGATTCCATTTTCTTCACACAAGCTTCAGTGCTTTTCCGTTATAAAAATTCAAACGGTCATTTGTAAACAATGTTAATAAAAGGTTGAACGTTAATAAGAATTGGTTTTGCTCTGTCAAGGATTGTTTGACACTTGGCGGTTAGGAAGTCAATGGGCAAAGCCCTCAGGAAGAACTTTTTGGCATTTGAAAGGGTTTGAGACAAAATAAGGAGTATTCAGCTCCTCACATTTCTCACGGTTTGTCACGTTGTCAGACTTCACCCTCCTTGGCAATGTGCACACCTGTGTTTGTTTGTCTCCACCATGGGTTGTGTGTATGTGTGTGTCTGTGGGGGGGTATTCAGGTTTGGGGCTCTGTGGAGTCCATACAACACAGATTCTCCTTGGTGGCTGCCGTTTTCCTGTTACTAAACAAACAGGATGATCCCTCACTTATCTCTTCATCTCAGTACCTCAAATTGTTATTTCAGACCTGACGGAGAGAGACTTTATTACCGTCTGTCAGTCTCAAATATAGCAGCTCATCTTGGATCCAACACTCTGGAAAGCTACACCACTCTGGATACTATTATGTTCAAGTAAGTGGGCAAGATTAAAGCTCAATACAACCTGCCAAACTATTCTGTTTCTATTCATGTTCAACCTTTTCCCAGTGGGTTTCCAGTTCATGAAAGTTAACTCCAACAATATGGTGTCAAAAAATGTCTTTAGTTTGATTACATTTAGCTCCACCCACTTTTGTCACTTCTGGCTTAAAAAATAAACAAGTTGCAGATGTTGAAAAGCCACTATGCGTGAAGGCCAAAAATCAAGATGGACACGGCCAAAATCCATGATGGACACGGTTTACCACATGCATACTGTGGAATGCAAAATATGTTTTGTATATATATTAATATAATATTAATTTGATGGAAAAATGATTCCAATATCCTGACTTGATATTCAGAGTTTCATTATTTGCTCTGTTCAGGTACAATAATAGTTTATGCAGTATCGACAAATCATTGCATGGAGTTAAGAAGCTAGATAAACTAACATTGGGCATGAGACAAGTTTATGACACAAAGATTTAATTTATTAGACAACTCCACCAAGTGGCCACAAACCAATGTGAAGAAAAAACGGAAGGAGCTGGCGCCGGTGAGTTTCAGGTCAAGGGTCAAGGACTCAGGTAGACCCCCCCCCCCCACTGCCGCACCTACACACTCACACACATTCCTTTGGAAAGGGAAAAATGGTCAAAACGGGAGCTGAAAGCTCTAACACCAGCCTGGTCTCCTTGAGTCAAGTCTCATGTCAGCGCTTAGCATTTTTTGCTTTTTGCGCCACATGGGGTTCACCCAGGAGATCGGTGTTTTAATTTCCTAGGAAACTTAATTTAACATATCAAACATCCTTAACAGAAAAGGGGAACATTTATGAAGTACTTTTGCTTGAATTAAAAAAAACCATGTGAGTAAAACCGAAACGCTGACAACGATTGCTTAATGCCTGCAAAGGAAGCCGCTGCTTTGGCCTCTTATTGCATAGCGAGAGTTAAGTATTAGGCCAGAAAGGGTAGCGTTTAATGAAAAAACCTTTGATGAATTCCCCTTTAGTTCTAAATAGCACCCCTTCAATCATCACAGAAACACCTAACTTGATCCATTGTTGATCGTTGGACAATGATAGTGTTGGACTAGAAGTGTTACCAAACACCACTCCTGATATTTAAATACTTTTTTTCTTTGCCAACATTTGTGTTAATAATGTGTGCATATAGACGGTAAACATCTGTAAGACAGTTGTTAACCTTTACGTAAAAGCGACTGTGATTTAAAAATAACAAAATTAATTTTATTGTGCTGAATTTCTATTTCTGGGGGTAAGCAGGTATTTCCCATGAGTGAATTGGAAAAAAAAATGGCGGAGAAAAAGCGCAGGAATTATCATGTATGGATTATTTTTGACGAGGACGAACATAGCATCCCACGCAGACTCGTTCCACTGCCGTCAGACTAACAAAGACAACGGTAAGGTGCTCCTACACTTAGGCCACGTCTCAGATGGACTGTGGCAGCCTCGGCCGTTGGGATCATTGGGCCATGCGGGTGACGCTGCTTGCAGGAAGGAGAAATCAATTCTTGTCTCCTTTTGAAATGAGGAGATCTTTTTTACTTTTTATTCTTTCGCAAACCCCACATTGGAACTAGTTGACAACGGGCGCTCGATAAAAGATGCCAGTACTACTGCCAGATACCACAGGTCTTTCACGTATAGAAAGCCTGACCACTAAAGTAATTTTCTAACAAATAAGTATGTATGAAATAACAGCAAAATCATGCGAAATATATGTGAAAATATAAATTCATTGTTTGTTTGTTTTAATAGAAAACTCTGACTGCATTATATTGCTATCTGATTTTAAATATAACACCATAGGTTCCATATGCAATCTATACGCACCGCCCTGCACTTCATCAGTCCCTGGTCGTTATTGGTGCGCGTCTGTCCAGGGATAAGTGCGGATAGGCTGCACACATTGTCGCCACATAATTGGCCGATGAGAGCGGCTCGAGGCGTATCAAATATTAATGATGTGACCTCGCGTTAAGTAATTAAGTCCCCCTGGCTTTATGAGGCAATGGAAGACGAATCAATGGTTATTTTTTCATTTAATTGTTGTGGAGTTGGTGGATCCCGCGCAATTATCGTCCATAATGCGATGTTACGTAAAAAACGCCACTCGTTATTTATGATCAACGATTAAATTGAGTTGCATTCATTTATTATGGTGGAAGGAACACCCCTCTAATTGAAACCCACTGTATGTAATATGTGATCGTCTCGGATTCATTCATATTTTTAATGAGTGCAGCCGAATGCCAACCAATGGCCTATTATTTATTTATATCATTAAAACCCCACTTTAACTCAGATGTTTTCGGCTGGCTTTATAAAATAAATATGTATGTTAAAAAAAACTATATATATACCCCTGTTCTTTGCCGGAAACAAATGAGAACGCATCCACGTTTTGAAGCCATATCACTCTGAACATGAATTAATAATTACGCCGGCTCCAAAACAATAAATGGGTCGCCTGCATTAAACATCAATCGTCTTTCTGTGATTTATACCGTCCGGTTTGAACCTGTCGGGGTCAATTCATGATGGTACCCAAAATTCTGCAGAATAAATCGAAACAGACGGAAGTTTCAGAAATGTACTTTTAAATGTCAAATGATAAACTATGGAGCGTTCGACTGAAGAAAATTGACTTTAATCGCGGCTAAATACTTAATGCATTTCATATTCATTTGTTTTCATCTGTATTTATTTTGTTGTATATTTTAATTAATTAATAAGTATTTGTATTGTAGGGAATCATGTCACAAACAAATATGCAGACGTAGGTGAAAAGACCCATTAGATAAACTGGATCACACATATGGTAAACATTATTCTACTGCAATGACAATACATCTGCAATAGTGTAAAAAAGCAAAGTGATTGCTGCAATCATTAGAACACGATTATAAAACTAATAAATGGTTTATAATAAATGGTTGATGAAAATGTGCAGTAATGGAACAAACCGCACTGTATCGATAGAACCCCACGTCAACCGACCGGATGGGAGCGCTCGTTTTGTTCAAGGTCCCAAACTAAAGCTTTAGAATAAAACACACTTCTGTGGACATTAGCTCGTGCGCATGTGTGCACTTGCCCACGGGGTGAGTGGGAAGCAGGTTGTGCTGCTCGCAGACAATTGATCTTGTCTTCATAAAGCTGTTAATCACTGCTTTATGAAGTTTGCGTAAAGCCTCCGAAGAGCTCACACACTCTTTAACCAAGTTTTCGGGCCTAAAATTGTGTCTTAATCTCGCGCTGTCTATTTGGCACTTTGACGGATGTCCCCCGCGCGCTAGAAAGGGGAGGGGGCAAACGTCTCCTGCGCTCACACTCGCGACCGCACTCACTACAGATAAGGACCAGAAGCTTGAGCAGAAGGAGCCGCATAGACGTAGAAGAGTCCAGGGGAGCGGCGCGTGGAGCGACCTCTGTTCCTCGCGCCGCAGCTGGAGGGGCTCTTGGACGGCCATGGACCTCAGAGGGATGCTGCACGTGGAGCCCATCAGCTTCGGCATCGACCAAATCCTCAGCAGCGTGGAGCAGAGCTGCATGCTGGGCGCGAGGATGCCCGAACCGGACTACGGACACGGGGCCTACTCGTGCGGCCCAAGCAGCGGGGGGGGCGGCGGCGGCTACACGTACGGCAACAGCGGATACAATGGCACCGGTGGCTCGTGCGGGATGGCCTCCTTTGGCGGGGCTTATCAAATGAACGTGGGCGTGAATTCGAACGCGACTAACGTGAGCTCCGCAGGGGTCATCCGCGTCCCCGCGCACCGCCCGCTGAGCTGCGGGAACTCCTCCGGGCCCCCGATGACCGGGAACATCAACAACCTGACGTCACTGACGTTCCCCTGGATGGAGAGCAACCGGCGCTACACCAAAGACCGGTTCACAGGTATCCATGCTATGATATAGAATATAGGATGTGTCACATTCAGTTCAATAAATAGAATCGATCCATAAATAGAAATACATGTACTAATATCATGCATATGATCATTTGAAAGACTAAACAATATTTTGTGAAAATACAAAAAGTTTGTGCGTGTACCAAAACATTCGTTATTGTAAATTGTATGTATCAACGTCTCCACCAGTTGCGTGCTTGCTTCTAGTTAGGGAATTAGTGATTAATGTCTCAATATCACGGAGTCATTAGGCACACATTTTTACATAAATATTTGGAGATAAGAAGTATTATTTTTCATGCTTAAAAATAATAACTTTAAAAAATGCTTTGACTTGTTTGCTTTTCTTCTTTATTCATCAACCTTTTTTTTATGAAAAAACGACACAAACCAGACTGTTATGTATACTTAAAATCAATGAATGAGAGTTCGATATGATTTAATGAATGAGGGAACACTTAATAACATATTATTTTTGTCTAAGCCTATAATCTGTATTATTGATGACTAATTGATTTATTTACTAATTTCTGTAAAGCAGCACCACTGTAGGATATTGGAGACTCCAGTGTATTATTGTTATAATTTCACGATTATTGGTACACAGGTGTTATGTAAATGTGTGTGTGTGTGCGCGCGCGCACGCGTGTGTGTGTGTGTGTGTGTGTGTGTGTGTGTGTGTGTGTGTGTGTGTGTGTGTGTGTGTGTGTCAATACTGTTATAAAGATATCTAGCATAATCAATTTTTTTAATTTGATCCAATATTCAGTTGAATTCAGATCACAGGTGCTCCAAATGTCTTAAATTAGGCCAATATAATAATTATTGTTGAAAAAATAACATTATGGTATAATAAATAAATCTGCTATTTACAGAATACAATTTAAAATATCTGTTTTGGGGATAAAAATGATAAAAACGTTGAATTTGAAAAGATAATTGTTGTAGTTTAAGAATCGGAGAGTAAACAATAGTCAACTTAAATATCTGTCAGCCCTATAGTCAATGCCTAATTGAACTGAATACCCGTTGTCCTCCCCTTCCTGTCTTCTCTCTGTCTTCTCCTGTCCTGTCCTCCTGTTTGGACTTGTCTTTTACCGTATTTTCCTTACCTGTCTTTTTCTCTCTTCTCCGTGTCCTGAATTTCTGTCCTAATTTGTCCTCACTTGAACTATCCTCTCTTGTACTTTCCTTCCTTTTTGATTAATTTTGCTTCTTTTTCTTCTCCTGAAAACTCTGTCCTGTCATCTGTCATCTCCCCGTCAACTCCTTCCCCCCTCCCTTCCGTGCCGCCCAGTGTCCCTCTCCCCCCTCACTGTGACGCGCCGCGTGGGTCACCCCTACCAGAACCGGACGCCGCCAAAGAAGAAGAAGCCCCGGACGTCCTTTACGCGGCTACAGATCTGCGAGCTAGAGAAACGCTTCCACCGGCAGAAGTACCTGGCGTCGGCGGAGCGGGCCGCTCTCGCTAAAGCACTGAAGATGACCGACGCCCAGGTCAAAACCTGGTTCCAGAACAGACGCACAAAGTGGAGGTGAGGTGGTCATTTTTTATTTGTTTTGAAGCTTGTACCACAGCATTGTATACCGTGCAGAGGACCTAAGAGGCTGTTTATTCTGGAGGCCCGGTGAGCTATCACGGGCCCTCTTGGGGTGTTTAATGGGCTCCGGGAGCCCCCTTTATTCCATGTTAGGACACCCTTTCATCGCAAGCTCCCTCTCTTTGGTGTGCTTCTGCTTATGTCTCACATGTGCACTCTTACGACAGTACACATCAAATAATACACAAATATTGACTTCATTAAAGCTAAAACTAACAGAGTTAAAGGTTCTGTTATTTGAGCAGTTGTAGAGCTGAGGTCGGGCTGAAGGCTGCTAAAGACAAGCTGTCGGTTTGGCTCAAATAGATCTTTGTTCACCAATCCGTGAGGCAGAAATGAAACACTTTGCTGGGGGAGGTTAGAGGAAACATTGTGCATTGTGAAATCATTTGTCAAAAAGGAAAGTGGTTAGTAAAGACACAAAATGTGCTTCGAGACTCTTTGAGGTCTGTTTAGATTTCACTACCAGTCTATTTGCATCTGTAGATTTTTCTACATTCACCAAAAGTAACCACCAACTAATGCCTTCAATACTAAAACATAACACTTCAGATCACTTTTGATAAGCAAGATGAACGGTCCTAATGCAACTAATCAACTGGATATGATATATGATATGATATATGGATAACTGATATATGCATAGTATAGCTTTTACCACCTTAGGTGCTTTAAAATGTATTTCATTTTGACAGACATCTTTAATGGTTGCTTTTTCCAAATACCCTTTCTCTCAAACGTTCCCTCATCACTCCTATTAATAAGAAAATAAGGTTTGTTCATATGTACCTATAGCCACTGAACTAAAAACCTGGTGAGAATTGATTTTGGATTTGTTTCTCATGCAGTATTTTCTGATTTATGTATTAATAAAAATAAGAAGAATTCTGAATAATTGACGTTTATCCAACAACATGATATCTGTTCTGCTTTCAAAGCAAATGTATTTCCATTGATATTGATGGAATTGTGGTTTAGTTTGCTTTGGAAATATTAACTATTCAATTCTCAGACTGAAAACAATTTAATTCTGTTCACTGCACCATCAAACCTCAATAAACAAAATCGTTAGTTCGTTATCTCTATCCTTGGTTAGTTTATAACACAACCATGAGAACACTGGCTTCTGGGAGTATGAATAGAGAGCGAGCCCACTATATAACAGTTGTTCTTGTATTCCGATAAGCATTCATTATTTCACATACATGATGTGTGTTTGTTTCTCTCCGGTGTGCCACCGGCTCCTCGTCGCTTTTCCCGTCACTCTCCGCAGGCGGCAGACGGCAGAGGAGCGTGAGGCGGAGCGGCAGCAGGCCAACCGGATCCTCATGCAGCTGCAGCAGGAAGCCTTCCAGAAGACCATCAACCAGCCGCTGACCCCGGATCCGCTATGCCTGCAGAACAGCTCGCTGTTCGCCCTGCAGAACTTGCAGCCGTGGAGCGAAAACACCGGCAAGATCAGCAGTGTGTCGGCCTGCGAGTAGAGCCCGCCAATTGGCCTCTGAGTAGGACAGACCCGATCAAGGTTATCGGGTTACCGTTGGGCTCTTTTCACACGGACGCATGCAGGTGCTACAGTCAACAACAGCTTACTCAGCACCACCCATCTAATGGGGTCCACCGTCTGATCTGGATCTCTCCAGAGGTCCTACAGCCTGCACAGGGACATTCTGGGTAGATATTCCAGAGGCATTGTGATAAACAGTACGCTCCATAAGAGCAGGAGAAGAAGTCCACAAGAGGACGAGGACGGACGTGCATAAGTGAGTTGTGTTCCATAGTTAAGCTTTAAGGGACTCTGTGTTTCATAAACAGCATATTTTCATATTGTGTGTACATCAGCGTGTCTGTGTTTATCTGCCATGTTAATGGACTTTTTTTCACTCAATTGCAAAATAACAGAGCACTTGTTTTTAGCACATTTGTATATGAATTCAATATATGAACTCCATGAAGATAATTCACAGCAGGATAAAATATGGATTTGACTCCTTTTTCATCATTTAGGAAGATATTGGCTACAGGCTTCATATTTAGAGATTCTATCCTAATTCCATAGTCAAAGCACATTTGACCACAGTCGAATAGCCTACATTTCACTTTCCTATTGGACTGTTATTTTTTTACAAACTGTATTTTCTTATGTTGTGTGAAAGCAGATCTCAGACCTGTGAGCTGAGACCAAACACAAAAAAACACCTGTCTTGTTTGTGAGTTCATGCTTACAAACAATGCTGTTCATACTGACCACAATAACACATTTTTTTGGACACTGAAATTAATTTAGCTTCACCCTAAATTCAAAGTCTATCCATCATTTTCGACCGTATGTTACCTTGATTTTGTGGAAAAACTTTGTTTTTGAATATTTATTTCCAAGCCACATATATATTTGGTCCCTCTTGATTAACTTAATGGCATATAAATTGTTCCTTGTTCCCACCTTCAATTTTTCACTCATGGATTGTTACCGTGTGACATTTTTGATGATCAAGCACAAAACACAACTAACGTGACGTTAAGTATTATCCACAATATAATGACAATAAGCAACACGTCTCCCTTTTGAAGTTACAACACAAAAAGGACTTAAAACAAAATAAAACAGCCAATAGTCAGAACAAACGGGACGCAAAACTAATTTGATATACGGAACAAACCAAGGCGGAATTTGAGTGAAATACAAAATTAAGGGCTGGATAAGAAGACCTGCAATAACATACAATTTTGCAAATAATCATTAAAACTATGCTTAAAAGAACAGTGTGGGGCATTCAGGATGTATTGGCAGAGATGGAATATAACAACAAGTGTTTGCAAATAAGAATGGTGTTGATATTACCTTAAGAATTAGCCCTTTATATTGGCATAGTGCCGGTCCTCTTCACAGAGTCTGTCCTGTTAGTAAATCCAAACCCTGGCTCTAGATGGGGCCTTTGCACCCTTCGGCCTCTGTAGGTCTCCTTTACGAGTCCCTCTGCTGCATACCAGGCTGCATACTAACAACCTTTAGCGCCATTAAAGCCCCTTTAAAGGTCGGTGCAACAACCAAACCCAGGACACTCACCCAGGAGACCTCTGTTTGTGTCCCACATCACAAGACAGCATGTTCTTGTAACGCCAGGCACACCGTTACGTCACAGCCTTAAATGACATTACACTTGCATTGTTTCAAGGCACTGCATTTTTCACATTTTTAACCCTAATTGGTTTCGTGGCCTACAACCGTCTCACAACATTACCCACTTGCTCAACTTATGGTGTGGTGGTTAGCACTGTCGCCTCACACCAAGAAGGTCCCGGGTTCGACCCAGTGGCCTTTCTGTGTGAAGTCTGCATGTTCTCCCCGTGTCCATGTGGATTCTCTCCGGGTACTCTGGCTTCCTCCCACAGTCCAAGGACATGCTCTGGGTGTCAGGTTGATTAGTAACTCTAAATTGCCCGTATAGGTATGTGAGTGTGAATGGTTGTACGTCTATGTTAGCCCTGCGATTGACTGGTGACCAATCCAATCCAGGGTGTACCCTGTCTCCCACCCAAAGTTGGCTGGGATTTGCTCCCCCCTGCGACCCTGTATGTAGGGTAAGCGGTTTGAAGATGGATGGATGGATGAATTCATAAGGTCCTACTGCATAAATAAAGGATAAAGAAATAGCTATGTGTGAGACTGTTCTTTGTTTCCTAATAATTCCTGTGTTCCTTAATATTGAGAGAGGATATTCCCGATTTAAAAAGGGAGGTGACGTAAAAACATAATAACAGGATAATTACGCTATGTAACTTAGCAAGGAAACCTAGTAAGGACACTTAGTGAGGAAACTTAGTAAGGTAATGTAACAAGGGAACGTGAGTGAATAAATAACAAGCGCCTAAGTGAACTCTCTCATGAAACGTTACACAACATGCGTCAACATTTGATTTGGGTTTCATACAAACGATGGAATCCTAGGAGAAAGTCCTGTGTTTGTTTCCATACGTATTACTACACCATGTAACTTTCAATATACGCCGTTAGTATGTAGGCTACTCTATCACTGGCTCTGACCGAATGAAAAAAACAGTCGTGCTTTTCAAAAACGTGCAGTGAGCTCCTGACGACGGGGCTGTGACACGCCTCCACGCACCTCTGATGTTTGATTGTCTCAAAGTCCACCGAATCCGATTTAGAGATTCATTTTACAAATGCTTCTCCTTGTTCTGAAATTCCTTTATGTGAATGTAAACATAAATCTAATATTTTTAAGGAACCCAACCATCGCATTCATCCCCAAAAATGTGGCATTTAGAAGTACAAAGGCACTGGAGGGGAAAGATGACAAGAAACAGGTCAATCTGCAGGAGGGTTAGCTCCAAGATATAAAGAGGGTTTGTGTGTGTTTGTGTGTGCGTGTTTGTGTGTGCGTGCGTTGTGTGCGTGCATGCATGTATGTGTAAGCAGGGTGACACTGAGAAAATATTATTAAGATGTCTCAGTTTAGATTGTCATGACGGTTTAAACACTACTGTACACAAAATACCCTCATGGCTCTTCTGTGTCTTTCTTTCTCAGACGTCAACGTCATGCAAACGTGTGTATCTTGATACATCTATAAATGTTTACAAAACATATTTTTTTGTCCAATAATTGCAGTCGGCAGAACATTACGCACTGAGTGTGTATGTGTGTGCGTGTGCATTTGTGTGTGTGTGTTAGTGTGGGTTTAGTGTGTGACGTGACATTCTCCAGGACTGCCTTCTAAAAAGTTGAAGAGGAATGTAAAGGAGAATTTCATCATCCACTCAGAAGTATCTAGACTAAGCTGCTGGAGTTAAGCTACACTGAAGCCTCCTGGAATTGGTCTAACACACACACACACACACACACACACACACACACGCACACACAGACACGCACACCCGGGGGAGAAAGCATGGTCCCTCACCAGAGCTGATAAAGATGAAGCAAGTTGAGAATATACTTCCCACACTGCGTGCCACATAGTTTTGGTATAGTTATTCCGTCTCATTATTGACACAAAGAATGTGTAGAAATAAACATGAAAAACTGTTCATGGTTGGGCTTTTGAACTTTCCTGTTTATATGTTTATTTTTAACCACCATATTCCGTTTTCATAAACTGGGATAAGCCCTTATCCCTTTTCATGAACCTGAAGCTGTGAAAACTGCAGCTGTACTCTGAGAGAAACCAGGATGCCATTGCATAGGTAATATACATTTATACGCATTTCTACATTTGTACCCTGTCTCTTGCCCGAAGTTGGCTGGGATAGACTCCAGGCCCCCGCGACCCTGTGTGCAGGATAAGTGGTTTGATGGATGGAATGATGGAGATTGGATTTGAGCGTATTTATTGACTATGTCTCTGTTATCTGTGAAGACGAGTCAATCACAATAGCCCGCCCTAAAGCATAGCCTGCTTTATGGTCTACGTGACTCTAAAGGCACCATCATTTACTAAATCCACATCATGCTGTATTGAAAAATACTTGAAAACTATAAATTGAGACCATATGCTAATCCCTGTGGGAAAATTATTACAGTTTTTGCCCATTGCTTGAACACTATAGACACCGGCTTAAACAAAAGTAACATAACTTGAAGTTGTTGTAACTATACCTTAAACAAAGTATAACCATACCTTAAACAAAAGCGCTGCTTTGCACTTAAGTTGCAATTCTGTAACACACTTGCTCCTTTTTGCAACACACTTGCTCCTAGACACTACAAACTATTTCATATATAAGACACTTAGTTCAAAAATTAAATCTCAGGGTACCATTGGGAAAACACATCGATTCAAAATACAACACACATTGGTTAATTGAAAAGACTTAGACACACACCTGAAAACACTTACTTACAAAACTGAGCACTAAACAGCCAGCTACAAAAAGGCCCCAGTTGCAGTAATACGTTTTGAGAACTTTGCAAGCATGGAGGCAGGGAGAGCTAGAGGCAGAGGACGAGGTAGACCGAGACAGAGGGGAGGACGTGGTCGAAGAGGCCACACAAGGACCATTATTTCGGATGACATAAGAGCAACTTTGGTGGACCATGTCATAAACCGTGGCCTGACTATGAGGGAAGCTGGGCAGAGAGTCCATCCTACAGTAATCTAAGCCGTTTCACAGTTGCATCCATAATAAGGACATTCCGACTGGAAAACAGGTATGTCTTCAACTCTATACTCCTCTTGTACATCCACAATATGTATGTTTTTGTTAGAGAATCCTGGACATGGATGGAGCTGTCCAGCCACATGAATGTATTTACATTGACGAGGCTGGATTCAACCTTAGCAAAAGCAGACGACGAGGACGTAATATAATTGGCCAAAGGGCAATTTTGCACGCCCCGGGGCAGCACGGGGGAAATATAACATTGTGTGCTGCCATAAGTCTTCGAGGGCTACTGCACCATCATGCCAAACTGGGTCCCTATAATGCGCAACACATAATCACATTTCTAGATGCACTTCATAATGCAATTGTACAAGATGGACCAGATCAGCCCAGGTTTGTTGTTGTCTGGGAGAATGTTAGTTTCCATCGGGCTGCTCTGGTCCAGAACTGGTTCACCAACCATGATCAATTTGAAGTTGTGTACTTGCCCCCTTACTCGCCATTTCTAAATCCTATAGAGGAATTTTTTTCCGCTTGGAGATGGCGCGTATATGACCGCCAACCACATGGCCGTATGCCTCTTATGCAGGCAATGGAACAGGCCTGCGGAGACATTGAGATGAGGTCAATCCAGAGCCCGCTTGTGCACAATTGTGTTTTTCTGTGTTTACAGTAGTGTATTGTTTTTATTTTTGATTGAACTGAATTTACTGTACTGTAAAATATACTAATGATTTTGAATTCAGTATTTCATTTTTTGGTTGTTTTGAAAACATGCCCTCTGTGGAATTGAATAAAAACATTGAAAACAAAAGACTGCAGTTTTTTATATAAAGTAGACTAGTGTGTTGCTGCTGATCTGAAAGTGTATTCAAATGATGAATGTATGTGTCATTTTGTCATCAGAGTTACATTTTGACAAAGGAATGTTAGGTTTTGATAGTACAGTTTCAATTTGACCCAGATGTGAATGGTATATTTCCCAGTGTTGTGTCATGTTTACTTGTGTGTAGAGTTTTGGCACAATGAGGGAAATTTTACAAAATGTCTTCAAGCAACGGGCAAAAACTGTATTAGAGCCGCGTGCTGCTGTGAAGGCGCCAGGGTGGGTTAGGGGTTAGGTGTTCTGCTCAGTAAGAAACACAGAACATGTAGCAGCCAGGGTTTGGTCACAGCACTTCCACATGGGCTTCACTTTCGGAATCAGAGATGGTTGCGTGATACAGAATTATTGAGCCCGGCCGTCTATGTGCGAATTGCAGCTGCAAGCAAGTGATGTAACACCACCCATATACAATAATAGGCTGAATAAGGTCATACTAGGAGAGATTTGCATATAAAACCATAGTATACTACATCGTTTGCCAAGATCTGGATGTATTAAATATCTGAATCAGACTACCGTGATGATAAACTGAAGAAATTAAGCAAATTCAAGGAAAAGCATTAATCAGGTTTGGTATGAAGCCCTTTTTATTTCTCCAAACCACGTATTATAATACAAGTACATGCAGAGTTTCTAAACATAAAGTTATATTTATAGAAGTTCTGCCAGTAAAGCTTTAAAAAGAATAGAATACACGTTTTGTCCAGTGATTTGTGTCCCCCTAGTGGCGTTCAGAAGACATTACAGCCACCGGCTTCTTTCCGTCACCGGGTGATGACGACATCTGCGCGATTAAAGCGCGACACCCAACAACAACAACACAATAGTTGTGCAAGCGTCCGTGGACTCGAGAGGAAAGGTCTCCCAACAACTGACATGTCTCTTCTGCGGCTATGTGCTCCGGCCAGAAGACTTGTACTATCCAAGGGTTTAGCCACAGAGCCCAACTTTAAAGGTGTGTGTGTGTGTGTGTGTGTTTCGTTATGCTGATGTTTTATCTAAAATTGTATATTCATTAATATGACTCTAGCTAAGGTTAAGGCTAGGCAGTGTTCAGTCTTCTATCGGGCACTGTGTACTACGTTGGCTGCCTACTATTGAGCCGGCTTTTATTCTGAAATCCGTCCGTGCGCCTCGTGCAGGATGTTCCCGTGCAGCCAGCGGAGCAGTGGAGGACAAGGAGCCGCTGAAGAAAGCCAAAACCCCGCAGGGTCGTTTGGACGGCCCCGAGGAGGCGAGCCAATCTGCTCTGAAAAGTGAGAACTGTCTTTTTTTATTTAGCCACAAGCCCAATCCTTTTGCAAAACTCATTGCAAAAGGGAGGGAAATAGCATGGTCACCATACCATTTTCAAGCCAAACAGTTCTCTTGTCATCCTGCAGAGTTCCCCGATGACGTGAACCCCGAAACCAAAGAAAAGGGAGGTCCACGGGGACCAGAGCCCACCCGCTACGGAGACTGGGAGAGGAAGGGCCGCTGCGTCGACTTCTAGTTCCACACACGCAGAATAATGTATATTTTAGCCGTTGCCTGTTTTTTGCTGGTCACTCAAGTTCTGAGATCAGAAGGTGAGAAGGAGGTTTAAATGGTTTCTGATGGTGACTGTATTAATACTAATACGTAGTAATGGCAGAATCCTGGCAGTGTTATATGTGTTTTAAATATGTGTAGCTTCAGGACACGTTTTGCACATGAGTTTGGAGGAATGTAACAAATAAAACTAAGTTAAAACCGGACAGCGGCTGTTTGGCTGTTTCTTTCTATCCAGAATACATTTGTTTCCGTCTAAAACTTTCAAAGACACAAAAAAGTACATCATCTGCTTGATTCTACTAATATCTAAATTGGTCATTCTGAAAACTAAAAGCATGTGTGTGTGTTAAACACCCCCATACAAATTGTTTGTTTGCCCCTTTTGCGTTTGTGTTCATACTGTATATAGCAGGTAACTAATGAAAGGGACTTGAAAAGGACGTGAGAATGGCTTTCAGGTCAATGCTTTAGACATATGGGCTTTGTTCCTCGTACGTGGTTCAACAAAGTCGGTCAAATGTCCGATAATCCAGCTCAAATTACCGAGATGATTGACATCAGGCTATCTCGGTTCCTCTCTGGGAACCGTCACCTTATCGTGGTGGAGAGGTTTGTGTGTCCCTATGACCTTGAGGGCTGTGTTGTCGGGAGCCTTGTGCTCCTAGTGGGGTTACCCTTAGCAAAGTGGTCTCAGGCCCCTCGCCTGAGACCACTAAGAATGGTTCAAAAAGACCCCATGAAAAAACGGAAGAGGGAAGGAGTTACCCGGCCCGGAGGAAGCCCGGAGGAAGCCCGGGGCCCCCATTTGGAGCCAGGCTCAGATGGAGGGCCCGACAGCGAGCGTCTGGTGGCCGGGTTTACCGCGGAGCCCGGCAGGGCACAGCCCGAAGGAGTTACGCGGCAGCCCAAGACTCTACTCCCCATGGGCTCACCACCTGTGGAGGAAACCGATGGGGTCAGGTGCGCTGCTACAAGGATGGCAGTGACAGTGGGGGGTCCAGACGGAACAGACCTGGGCGGCAGATGCTGGCTCTGGGGACGTGGAACGTAACCTCTCTGGGGGGGAAGGAGCCGGAGTTTGTGCGGGAGGTGGAGCGTTATCAGTTGGATCAGGTGGGGCTTACCTCTACGCACAGCCTCGGCTCTGGAACCACACTCCTGGAGGTGCATCAAGGGGCGGTAACCCTCGAACCCCGTGGTGGACACCGGTGGTCAGGGAAGCCGTCCGACTGAAGAAGGAGGCCTTCCGGGTTATGATATCCGGTGGGACTCCGGAGGCAGTTGCAGTGTACCGACAGGCTCGAAGGCCTCTGCCGTGATGGAGGCAAAGCAGCGAGTATGGGAGGAGTTTGGGGTAACTATGGAGAAGGACTTTCGGTCGGCACCAAAGTGCTTCTGGAAGACCATCCGGCACCTCAGGAGGGGGAAACGGGGAACCATCCAAGCTGTGTACAGTAAGGATGGGACCCTGTTGACTGCGACTGAGGAGGTTATCGGGCGGTGGAAGGAACACTTTGAGGAAGTCCTGAACCCAACTACTACGCCCTCTTTGGTAGAGGCGGAGCTGGAGGCGGAGGAGGGATCATCGTCAATTGATGCTAGAAGCAATGGGTGTTGGGGGGTTGTCTTGGATAACACGCCTCTTCAACATTGCGTGGAAGTCTGGGACAGTGCCAAAAGAGTGGCAGACCGGGGTCGAATGGAGCCAGTTGAGGTGGTTTGGGCATCTGGTGAGGATGCCCCCTGGGCGCCTCCCTAGGGAGGTGTTCCAGGCACGGCCAGCTGGGAAGAGGCCCCGGGGAAGACCCAGGACTAGGTGGAGAGATTATATCTCTGCACTGGTCTGGGAACGCCTTGGGATCCCCCAGTCAGAGCTGGTAGATGTGGCCCGGAAAAGGGAAGTTTGGGGTCCCCTGCTGGAGCTGTTGCCCCCGCGACCCGACTCCGGATAAGCGGTTGAAAATGGATGGATGGATGGATATCTCGGTTCCTCGAAGGCAGATCGGCGCTCAAACCATCTTGTTAGTTTGAACCAGATGTCAGTCATCAGAATAATCGCGCGTGCGCGTCCTATATTAGAAGAGCAGGAGTCGATCACCGAAACCATGATATTTTTAACAGTATAACGGCAAATAAACTTAAAGGAAGAGCGTCTTTTGTCTCCCCTGAGTAGCAGGAAATGATCATGAACACATCTGATGAGATAATATGGTCATTTGAATCATCTCTGTCGGATGAATTTAACGTATTATACATATTTTACGTTGTTCATTCTGTATGTGCGTCGCAGTCTCTCCGTCCCAAGGAGGATCGTCCTGTGTCTCTCTAAAGGTTTCTTCCCCTTATTCTCCCCATCAAATGCTTTTTCATTTTTTGGGGAGTTTTTCCTGTGCCAATGTAAAGGGTTTTTGGACAGAGGATGTCACATGTGTACAGACTGTAAAGACCTCTGAGGCTAATTTGCGATATTGTGCGATACAAAATAAAATTAATCATATAATCATGGCAAAAACTGACAAACCAACAGAACTTTACAAAGAGCACGACATGCAGCGGCTTTCCATATGTTCTCTGCATCGCAACACCGTACGTACAGACATGGACAGTATGAGAGACAGTGTGAGAGACACTGTGTGAGACATGAGAGAGTGTGTGAGACAGTATGGGAGACAGTCTGCGGGACAGTGGATGTTCGGCTGCAGCGTGTGGGGTGGGTTCATCACGTAACGTTTCGGCTCGGGGAAATCATGTAAATAAAACATTGTCCTCAGCATCTGTAGCGCTCGCACAGGACGTCATCGCGACTACGGGTCTAATCTCGGAGAAGTCACCTAATAAAACGTTAATCTAATTGATGTCAATCCTTCATCAATGAGGACGTGAGCTGCCCTTTTTTCCGGGGGAGTGATGAACTAATCCAGCAGCTCAAATGAACCTGCGCCGGAGCAGGTTCAAGTTTTTCGATGTGTTGCTGGTGATTTAGACAAACCTAAAAGCCTGAACTACGTCATCTCATCCTGAAAATTATTCGGCTAACTCAGTTAGCCAAGTACGAGGAACGGGGCCCTGTTTGCATGTGGCAAGAGCTGTTTGTTTGGTGTTTGAGTGTAGAGTTGTGATGCTAATATGAACAGTTAGTTATTAGTTTAGTTTTGAATGAAGTGTTTTTGTTTTTTGAAAGAAAACATTCAGTTATGTTATCTTGTTTATATGGTTTTGTGTAGCGGTATATTGACATGAGTATGCACTTTATTATTTTGTCCACTAAAGGGCAGAATAGCAGCACATCGGAATGTTGCTGTTTTAAATCGAACTCGTGATGCCTTTTGTTTACTTTCCCTGCCCAAAGAAATAAGGAGTAAAAACTCCGTGTCGTCAATAATTATCTTGTTAAACTGCTCTATGATACTTTATGTTAATGAAAGCTCACGTGTTGCAAATGTAACAGTATGTGTGAGATGTAACTAAATATCAAGAGGTATGACAGAAAGGCCGAACTCCAACGGGCCAGACGCTCGTGAAGACCGCACGACGGATGAGGAAGGGGCGGAGCGACGCTGCAGCAACAAAGCGGCTATGAAGCTTCAACAACGGGACGCTGCTATCGAAGCTACCGGTGGGAAATTACATTTTTACGCCATTTGTATCCTTACGGCACCGAGGCACGGTTGTATCTGTCAGGAGATAAGTCGTCCTGCTGGGCGTTTCTTACATTTATGTCTGACGTTAGCTAAAGTGGGTTTGTCCGACAATGCTTATGCTGCGTTCTCACCAAAAGCGAAGCAAATTTTCGCCACGCTTTACTCGCCCGACTCGTTGATTCTTTTCGCGTCGTTCGCGCCTGAAGGGGGCGTAATCTCCGTTACGTGTCTCCGTAAAGACAGTTATCGTTTCCACCACGGCAATAAATAACCACTATTTGTGTGAATTACACAAACGTCGGAACCGCAAACGGTGTTGTGTTCGGGCGAAACGAGCGAAGCGAATAAATCGCTTTTTTCGCCCGGCGCTGTCTAACGAAAGCCAATCGGAGTTGAGATGCTCCGCTCGTCATCACCGCCGTCCTGCTGCCAAAGCGTGAATACACTTTATTAAACTTTATTAATATCTAAGATACAGTGATCCCTGAGGCTACAGTTAGATATGTGACGTCATTCGTGCTTAACATAGTGTTTAAAATATATGATAGAGTGATCATTAAGGCTAAAGTTAGTTTGGTGGACTCGTTTTCAAACAATTAAATAAATAGAAACCGTTGCAAGAATATGCAAGCAGCTGACCAGACATGAAATATACAATAATTCATACATGAAAGATATTTATTTATTATTATTACAAGTCAGAGCTACAGAGTTCCTTTGAAGCTGAAGTCCTGCTGCCGGTTTAGAGTCTCAATGACGGTCCTCATGCCCTTTAATTAAAACATTGTTAGTTTTAATGCACAATGACAATCGTGCACACTGTGGATACAGACAATACATTGAAGTTCAATTTAAAGTTGTGAATCTAAATTCTGCCCACAAACAGACATTACCGGTGAACAAACATCAGTCTCTGACAACACATTCAAAGTTATGAACACTAACGCCTGGTTGTTGTGTACAGTTATATCTCATGTATAACTGCTACGGAGACATGAATACCAGCGGGTCATTTCACAAAAGAACAGGCTGCTCTCGGCGGGCTGAGGTGAGGTGACCGCCGGGTGTGGAGGTCTGGCGGTCCCTTTAACTACACCTCATATCTCCCACATTCTGGAGTTAAATGTTAAAAAGGCTCAATGTTGACAAATCGATCACAGAAATGTTGATTAAACAACTAACTTCTTGCCTGAAAAATTCCTAATATTACATTCCGTGACTTAGTTTATAAAGACTACTATATTTATTTCAGCTTTGTAACTTGTCTAGCTCACTTCCATCCATTTCTGTTCATAATATGAAGTGTAAACTATAAGATCTTAGCCAGCCTCTAACGGTTGTGCTGTCCTGAGTAATTTCTTTCTCATATTCACCTTTCCCTTTAAATCATTACTGGCCTGAAGAGTACCCTCCTGAGTCGAGGATGTGTGCCCACGTCTAAGCATGCCCTCTTAATGACCTCAGGAGGATGGAGCATGAGTTATCCTACAGTAAATTCTAGCAATTCTAATCAGCACATTTTACAGTGTGATAGTCACTAGTCTGTCACAGATAGTTCTCTCGTGACACTGTTTCTAAATTACCTGACATGGACCTCCTTGTGTTCTGCGTATATCTTCTTTGCGCTTGATGTTTTGGTTTTGTTGCACATTTTTATCAATTCAGTAACAATAAAGAAGCTTTTAGCTACTTTAAGGACAGATATTTCTCGTTCTGCTGCCCCCAAGTGTCCATAAAATGAATGCTTCTTGTCTTCAAGTGCTGTGCTTCTTCCCTGTCTCACAGTTCTCCTGGGAAACATGACCGCTGTTCTTCAGAAGACGCCGGTCGGAACACGGACCCACAAGCGCGTGGTTCCTTCAAGGTGCTCGAATTTAACCACCATAAATCAAGTGTCAACGATCCAAAGCAGCACATTTGAACGTTTTTGTTCTGAAAGTTCCCGTATTATTCCCTTCCCTTCAGTTGACAGGACAGAACTTCCTGCTTTTAACTTTGTCCAATGGATAGCGAACGACATAGCCTGAGGTGGAACCTCCAGAAGTTTAAACCTGACAGGAGATGGCCGAGTGTCACAGAGGAAAGAGGGCGGGATAAGAGTGTCACGATGGCGCCCAGGTCCACATATGTGACAGGCAGACACTACGTATTGAGAAAACCTCTGTTCTCTGCAGAACAACACGCCTCCATCTTAAAGAAGACATACACGCAGAAGAGCACTGAGGAGGTGAGTAGGATCTATGGACTTTTATTTAGGTCCACCCAAATATTTCCATAACTCTAGTCGTTGAACAAAATTCTTGAAATGACTCGGGTAGAATATGTTACGGAATGTCATAAGACATAAACAAAATATACAATTACAATGTCTTATGCTGCGTTCACACCAAAAGCGAAGCAAATTATTCCCGCGAGTAGATTCAATGCACAGACGCGACAGGTTGCGGAGGGAGCGAATTTTCAACGGGCGGCATGGGTCGCAAAGAACCAAATGAATCAACAGAAAAACATTCGCCCGACACTGTTTTGCGAAAGCCAATCAGAGTTGAGATGCTCCGCTCGTCACCACCGCCGTCCTGCTGCCAAAGTGTGAATACACTTTATGAAACTACCGCTCACCAGAGGCACACACACACACACACACACACACACACACAGCTGAGACTGAACGCCCTTAAGTTAGTTGGTGTCTAACCGAGAGACACTGGCACCGGGCAGACACAACAAGTCATCAAACCGGCTGCTGGTCAGCCTGAAGTAGTGCTGGAAGCGGCAGTCCTATCTATCATGCCAGTGATATGCCTTCTCATTAAATATCTTTTCTGATCAACAATTCTAAAATTTATGACTTCATCCTTGAATTCATTTGGGGGGTGGGTTCATGGTAGCCCAATTATGTTGTAATAATCCAAGTATTAGGCATCTTTCAGAACCTGTCACTTTGAGCTGTACGTTGTTCAAAAACCGACATCATATAATAAATGATGAGTGTGTGCATATATATATCAGCGGAAGTTTGAACATCCACCCGGGAGAACGCTCCTCATTACTGTTGCGCTGAGGCGAGCGGTCCTGAGTGGAGCCGTGGGACCTCCATGTGAGTCCTTAACAGAGAGCAGTGTCCCAGGGTCAGTTCAAACCTGTCACGTTTCCTGCTCCCTAGGAGAAACAGTCGGATTCTAGCAGCCAAGGAGACATCGTGACCAGACCGAGTCCAGAGCCGACCCCGGAGAGCTCTGGCCTCGCTAGCAGTGACTGCTCCAGAACTGACCCGGGCTTGCCCTTGGGTGTCTGGGATCTCTGGACTGGGCCGCCCCACAATGGACCCACGTTTGGATATCCCAGCAGCGTTTCAGCTCAGCGGGGCCTGTCCAGCTCTTTCCTGGAGGTCCAGAGAATGAACCCTCCTTGCAGACCACTGCTGAGCTCCACGGTCCTGTATCCTTCTTACACTCCTCGCTCAGGGAGCTCCAGGCCGTGCCAGACCCAGCTCAGGGCAGGGGGTAGAGAGAGAGACACCCAACCGCACTCTTCTGCGGGAGACTCAGGACTCTTGATGTCCTCGCATCAGGCAAACTACTGGGCCTGTGCCATCCCCAAAGCTTTGCCCCCATCTCCAGACAGGAGCTCTGCCAGCTGGGACCCCAACAGGGAGTACCAATCCCTGCTGGACTACACCTACCCTCTGAGACCAGGACAGATGGTGCGTGAGGGGGGCATCTCCAAGCTCTGGAGGGACTCCCAACTTCAGACAGTCTCCAACCTGCAGGACTCAGGGATCGATCTGGACCATCTTTGTAGCTCCACCAGCCTGTCGGGGTTGGACTTTTCTCTCAGTGCGGGTCATGGATACCCTGATGTGCCGGGGTTCAACAACAAATACTCAGATGGTCCGGACCCTGTGGGTCTGTCCCTGGACAGTTTGAACTGCAGTATGCAAAGAGGCGGAATGAGTGGGTTTGACAGTCTCTCTTCCACCTCCGCTGCTTGTTCCCGCTCCGCCAGCATTTTCCGGTCCTCCAGGTATGTGGGCGGGGAGGTGTACGAGGAGTTCTTACCACTACCGGATCAACTGGAGCAGCGGCAGCTGCTGTCCAGGCGGGTCAGTGCTGAAGGGCCACACAAATCGCTTGTACTGATTTATTGATTATCTTTTTCTAAAGTCTATTTTAAATTTATTTCCACATAGTGAGCATCCATCTGCACCAACTGAGGGATATATTTAATATATATTATATGTGTATATACAGTTGTGGTCAAAAGTTTACATACACTTGTGAAGAACATAACGTCATGGCTCTCTAGTCTGATTTTTCTCTGATAGATAGACAGATACTTCTTTGTCACAAAAAACATTCATGAAGTTTGGTTCATTTATGACTTTATTATGGGTTAACAGAAAGTGATCAAATCTGCTGAGTCAAAAATATACATACAGCAGTGCTAATATTTGGTTATATTACGTAAAATTAGGCGCTTTTGGAAAGCCATCCACAAGCTTAACCCATAATAAAGTCATAAAAAAAAATTGAATGTTTTTCGTGACAGATTGATTGGAACAGATACAGAGAAAATCTGAGTTGTAGAAATAACTGGAAACTCAAGAGAGCCATGACATTATGTTCTTTACAAGTGTATGTAAACTTTTGACTACAACTGTATGTTGTGTGTGCATATATGTGTCTGTCAAGCAGATTGTGCGATCTCTCGTTCTAAGGACAGAGTCTTTGGTCCATGTGTGCAGGTGAGGGAGGTGTCGGCCCAGTTGAGCCGGCCTGTCACAAACGGCTGGGAATCTCTGGAGCCAGGCACCACCTCTGTCACCCTGCCTGAGAAACAGGAGGAGCAGGAGGTGGGGTCTATACTAAGAGAGCTGGAAGGCGACAATCAATACACGGATGAAGGAAAATATAAGGACAGAGAGGACAGGAGAGTTGCTCAGACTGGTACGATAAGAGACTTTACATTTTTCGTTGGGTCCTCTGCAGTGTACTCCACAGACTTTTAAACTGTGATTGGTTGAGCTGTCTTTTCCAATAGTGTTAGCCCTACATCAACTCTGTTTGTGGTGCCTAACCACACTGAAAAAAACTCTAAACTCTAAAAATCTATATAAAACAGCGGCGAGGAGTTCTGGAGCCCGGGTGGAGCCTGTAGGAGGGGGGCCAAGTCCATCCAGTCTCAGGGAAGTGGAGGTTTTGGCGGAGCAGCTGTGCGGCCTTATGCTGCCCGGTGGCAGGACGAGCAGCCAGGACGACCGGGAGACAAGTGACTCCCTGATGCAACACATCCAGGTAAAGGCACGATCCCACCTACCGCACGACAGCTGCACTCCTCCGTAGTACGAATTACTTTGTGTGTGTGTGTGTGTGTGTGCGTGTGTGTGTGTGTGTGTGTGTTTGTGTGTTTTCCAGGTCTTCTGCTCACACCTGGAGCAGCTCATTCAGCAGCTCTACTCGGCGTCAGAGAAGATGGAATTGCTTGCTGCGCCCACGGTGGACATAGACAGCGTGAAGTCGTCTCTGGCTGAGTATCAGGTGAGGCCCTGTCGTACTAACACACTGGGTAGTCACATTGCTTGAGCAGGTTTTTCCCTGCTTTTTTTGTCAAAGGCGTCATGTAAGGCTCTAGTACAGGGGTCTCAAACTCAAATCTGGTGCGGGCCAGATGCAGCCCACTTCGACCGAACGCGGGCCAGACCATTACGGTCGACGGGGGGGCGGCGCTGACAGTCCAACCGGCGAACGGTCCAGTCACTGGGGGAGTACAGTACAAAGTATGTACCCCCTGGGGGGCCGGAGTTTGAGACCCCTGCTCTAGTAGGAGTAGAACCTGTCCATCACAGTAAGCCCACCCTATAGAATCCTCTGCTTCAGTGATTATTTGACTCTAAATCAACATTATGCTATATTGAAGAAGACTTGAAACTGGATATTGAGACCATGAACTAATTTTTACAATGTTTACTTTTTCATTGCTTACTAACATCATTTTCCATCCGTTTGTAATGTCCAACATGACAAAAATAAATACATCTTCATACAAGCACTAATCTCTGGTAAAAGCGTGTGTGTCTGCGCGTGCGCTGTTTGTTACATTGGAAAGTCTTTCCTCAGCAAACCGGCCCTACTTAGTGAGTCAACAGGAAGTGCACTGAGCTTTGTGTCCCGCTGACGGTGAAACGTGCCGCTTGTCGTTCTTAGAGTTTCCAGAGAGAAGTGAGCGGCCACCGGCCACTGTGCTCCTGCGTCCTGCACACCGGACGCCGTCTCCTTGGCTGCATCAACAACGCGTCCCCACGTCAGTCTGCACTCGCTCACGTCACGGTGAACGCCTGCATCACCCCATTGCTTTTCCTCACGGTCTCTCTCTCTGTCATTTTCACAGTTTTAAGAGACACCCTGCTGCTTATCGAAAGGCGCTGCGGAGCTCTGGAGACTCCCAACGAACACTTCTTTCCTCCATCCTGTCCGCCATGAACAGCCTCGCTCGGCCCGGACCGCTCGAGCAGAGCGGAGAGGAGGACCCGGGCCCAGCGGGGGTCCCTGGGTCTGCTCTGTGAAGAAACTGTGTGACAGTGCTGTGATATTTCATTTCACATTCATGTGTCTTTTTTTTAAACATGTTCAATAGGGTTAAATGGGGACTTTTTATGGTTACTTTTATTAGTACATTTGATTAACTTTTCACCTGTAGTGTAACTTCACACACAAATCTCCACCTCTTTGTCATGTCCACACAGCAAAAAGGTTCATTCTTATTTTCTTCTGAAGGTTATTGTGTTCATTAATCATTTGTAACCTGAAATCCAGAATGTTTCCTTCCTAGAAGCATGGCTAAAATTGATAATTCAATTGAATATCGTCTTAATGCAAGTTCTCAGCGGGTTATCTATTAGTTATCAGTAGTAGAAGTTGCACACTGGTAACCACGAGGCAAAATGGTTCAATGGGTTACCAATGAAGGGAAACGAGTGGTCCTTTACGCCGGCCTTTTTACCAGTCAGGACTTTTCCATCACAGCAGTGCCTTCTTCCTTTGTTATCCTTGATATCCATTAGTTCAGCTTTTATACCCACTGTTTCCTATTAAATGACCATTGGCACTTTCAAAGGGAAACACAAACTGAACCCGTCTTTCATATTTGTCTTAATTTAATCCTCATGCTTCTTTGTGACCTTGACAAGGTAACAAGTCCATCAGCGAGAAGATGGTCTTCTTTTGTGTATCATATATATATATATTGTCTGAAATATTTAATACTTGAGCACATAATCTAGTAAAATCTTGCAGCTTCACCATTAAATTATGCAGCGCCTGATGCAATAAAATTTGAGCATCAGGGTCCCTCAATATGTGTGCTACTCCTGTCACTGTCATGGCTGGATACGTCCATCCTAAGTGTCTCTCAATTTGGGTGAAAAGAAACATCTACAAAACCCAAAGAGATTTCACTATACAGTAATTCTATTAAAGTCATTAAACAGAGTGGTGTTTTAAAGCGTGGTTTGTGTTTGCTATATTGTGTGCTATGCGGTGTAGACCTTTAGAGGAAGGTTGCTATACCCACAGTTCAACCAGGTCAGACTAGTTTACCAATTCAAAGACTTTGGGAATTACAAGGGCTGTGTACAAGTGGCTGATGATGTTTCCAGATTAATTTGTCGGGGATGTTGAGGGTGGAAAACATCACCAATGCCATCAAAGTCATAGACTGAAGGTGGAAAGAGTCCACAAGTCTCAAGTTGAGTCCTAAACTTCATGTCTTAAACATGTCATGACAGTAGGCCTATATGTTATACTTACTGCTATAATGGTGATCAACGTTGTAGACATTAAGCTAATAAACTTTAAAAGTAATCATTAAAGAGCCTGCAGAAATATTTGCGACTAAACTTAAAGAATCAAATAAAAACAAATCCCTACGGTTTTAAGGCAGTTACAGATGGCTTGTGAACCAGATAGCCTACTCTGTACCACAAGGCCCTTCAAAAGAGTCCTTTTTACTGAAATGAAATGAGTTGCACAATAACTCCTTACATTAATTGGGGCAGAAGAAATGCTTTCATCTTACAGTGAACAAGTGCCAACATGAGCTATCTGCTAATCACACCAAATTTCCTAAAACAACAAAGCCAGTGATGTCTCAACCGTGACTCAGAAATGAACCACACGGGTTTCTGGTATGACTGGGAGTGTGTTTATGATAGCATTACATTATTTTGATCACCTCTGATGATGGCTTTTATTGTCACTAATAAACACAGGTGGCGACAAAGGGCAAATAACAGTGTCTGATTTATGTCATCAACAGGGAAACAAAGGGTAAACTGGTTGTCACCGTACAGAAAGTAATGTGTCAAATTGTCCAAATTTAAGTAGATCTGACCGGAAATTATACTTATGGTTTCGTTTTTCAGCATAAGCGTCGTCGTATTTCACCGGAAGTTGTGTGTAATATGTAACTTGACACGGGACACTGACTCTCCTTTGCCACGTTTCACTAAATGACGTAACCCTTCCCGGGACTTGACAGTTCGCTGTTGCAAGTCACAGAAAGATAGAGGAAGAGGGGGGGGACCGGTTAGTTAGATATTTACAGTGATCACCTGTTAATTCGCTTTAGATTTGCGGCCGTATCAATTGTCTGATTTGAAAACGTCTGTTCCAACGAACGTATTTTGCGTTATTCCCGATTTGGCTAACCAGCTGGCTAATGTTAGCTTTTTCCTGGTTGGAGTCGCAGCCATTTTGGATTTTTACCGACAACGAACAACTGCCGGTCGTGGTTTTCGGGAGCACAGCAAGCTAGCCAGGGCTTCCGCTTCCATATCTGAACACCGCTGTTTATCTGCAGACGGGGGGAAAGGAGACGTTTGCCGAGAGGGGATACACATACAACGAGTCAACAATGAATCCCGAATAGTAAGTATCACACGCAGGAACCGCTGTGCTGGCCAGTTGGCTAACGGGAATTGTGTGCTAACAAGTAAATCAGCACAAACCATTTTAAATTATTAGTCGAACTAAGTAGCGGCTAACATCAGCTGACACCACGTCCACTTGCGCCTTATCTGTCTGAGACACCGTGGCCATTTCTGCGTGATCCCGGTGGGATGTTTACGTTTAAGACTTGTGACAAACAACGAATTGCTCTTTCTCTACGTGCTTCTGCCCAGTTTAAACCAGCAGTTGGGCCGGAGCTTTGGGAGCTGGTTTGGGCTCTGAGCGAGGTCTGACGTTACCTTTTTTACCTTTTTTATACAAAGTCGAGGACAAGGGAGCCCTGTTGAGTGGCATAATAAACTGTGACGGAAACCTCTAACGTTACCTTTTGTAGTTGTTTTCATTTCAGGTAATTCATTTTGTTTCACTTGTCTCCATGTAACGTTAATATTGACGTTAGGCATTGGTTAGCGACAATACCTAAGTTAACTAACGTTAACTTAACGCTAGCTAACTTAATTTAATCTGAACAAAAAAGAACTCAACCACAATGATTCCCTTATTTAACTTTACTTTTATTGAAAATCCCCGCTGTCAGCGGTTATGCTTCAGACTGCGTATGTCGCTGTGATATCGTATGTATCTATTGCTTTCACCGGAGCAGCGTTCCTGTGTGGTTGGGGTCCAGGTCCGATCATCGGTTACCAGCTGCTTACCTGGTTGTGGCCATGACTCAGTCCTCAGTCATATGTCCTGGTGCTGAAGCAGCGTCTCAGTCATGTGCAGGTCACGTGCTTCATGCCTAGCCCTCGATTTCAACAGGGCAGCGTTGAGCAATCTCACCGCTCCCTAGTTGTGTATTCATTCATATTGACGTGGTGGGTTGGAATTATTTTATGGAGCACTAGTTACTTTACTACTCTAAAATTTCAAAGTGCTGAGGCCCTGATTATCTTGTAATTTTGGTGATGTTTGGTCCACTTTCCACATGTTGTATAAATGATTCATCTGCTTGGTGTAGACTAGATGGCCCTAGGCAAGGTCCATGATCTACTCCTTACTCAATGAGTCACTGTTAAAATGAAATCTAGGATATATTAAGTTAGATACATGATCAGCTTGTTGAATATGACACGTCCACTTAAATTCTAAATAATCATGGACTGAAACAAATAAAATTAGAGTAGTACAATATGATGCCTTGTTAACGTGTAATAGTTATGACGTAGATTTAAATTAAATCTGAAAAAAAAGAATTAAAGGGCAATGAAGAAAAAAGGGTTTGATAGACATTATTGTGAGTCCCACTGATTTTCAGTGAGTTAAAACACAAGATAAAACAAGATAAAAACACATACTCAAACCGTAATCACAACACTTAACTATGGCCCTGTCACTCAATATATTTTCAGAACATATTGCCTTATTGTTCAAATGTTCTATACAAATGATTTTGCCTTGCTTTACTTAGAATACATTTTTAGGCTCAACTGTTATTGAGGGGAATAGGCTTTTTACAGCGGCAAAAAGACAGCAATAATACAGAGGAACTATACATTCATATGATGAATATTATAATATATAAACAAATAATATAATAAATAATCTTATTAAAAACACAAAAATACTTTCTGTTATGAGTTTTGGGTTGTAACAGATATCACATATGCTTTTTTGTGGGAATGAGATTTACCAGCAGGTTTCTGGCCCTGGAATGCATTTGTAACAAGGACAACAATGCGCTACTTATTCTGGGAGTTAGCACATTCTCCTCTGCTAAAATTCAAGAACTCCGTGTTCAGGGTTCAACATTTAAGGATAAAAAAATGCAGGGAACGTCCTTTCAATTGAAAGAGAATACTAGAATTGATACTTTATTGGGATCATTTGGTAAAAAGTACCCGGCGGGCACTGAATCTTTGCTTTTGCCTTCTTAAGATCAAAATACACAGAGGCAGGCCACGCTGCCCCCCAACAGTTCAACCCATTCCTGTTGTCCTACTTCCAGCCTTGAAAAGAATATAATGGATTCCCCAGGCTTCCTGGTTGCTAGGACGGCTCTTCTTTTCTAATCCAGTGGCACCTTCGCTTCCTTTCCCTATGTTACATTACATTACATTACAGGTCATTTAGCTGACGCTTTTATCCAAAGTGTCTTACATTACACTTTTAACCCATGGCTTTTTACATTTTGCCCAGGCAGCAATTAGGGGTTAGGTGTCTTGCTCAGGGACACTTCGTCTTGAGACATGGGGCAGCCGGGAGTTAAAGGAGTGTTTCCCCTACCATTATAACAGGGCCCACCCCCATAAAAAAAGTGTGCAAAAAAATTATTTTTTGTTGTTGTTGTCATTTGGCCACGCCAATTCCGGCCCGCCAGCGCCAACTCCTTATGATTTAATGGTCTGATCGAAGTGGGCTGTATCTGGCCGAACCTGAAATGAGTTTGACACCCCTACCGTAGAGCTTCCCGCTGGTGTGACAGGGCAGAGCTTGCTGGTGTATTTTCAGCTTTAGCGGTGTGTTGCTGAAGAGTATCAGTAGGAAATGGAGGAAGCAAAGACTGGCTGAGCACCAGCAGGTTGTTTAGAGTTTTATGGCTGCCTACTCGGACGTCGCTATGTGTGTAATTAGGGAAGTGAAAGACGATCACTATATTGCCTAACTTTATTTGGGTGTAATGACACACAATGTTGTTTGGATCTGTATGATGGCCGCAAGCGTCTAGCCCCCGCCCTGTTGCGTGACAGTGGGTCACTGGGCTGAATGAAAGGGTAGGAGACTTCAACCCTTTAGTATGCATGTTGTTCTATGTCTTGACGAAGCAAACTGAGCATCTGTCAGTCACATCCCACAGTAGGCAACATCCGTCTACCTCGACTCCAATCTCACTCAATCAGGATTAGGACATCTTCAGTTTTACCTGGTAACTACGGGTGTTTTGTATTGTGAAATCAACACGCTTCAGGTTCCCTGGTGTTTTCATCTCTGGGCTTGCCGTTGAACATGCCACGATTGATAATTATCCATTCAAATGGATTATTATCCATTAAAAACAAAGCTATCAGCTGTCTGGTTGCCAATAGATTGTGAGCCCCACTCCTTGTTGTGATGAACACAGTCCTGCTTCCAACAATAACTGGGCACATTACACTATAATATGTAAGGTTTTGCCTAATGCATATATTACTTTGTTATCTTCTAAGTTTCTGGGTTGCCATTGGAAACCATTTAGAGAAATTCTCGCCGCGTTGTTGCCATCAGTTGCAGCCACATATCACCATGAAAAATAAAGTGCGCCAAATGTGCACACAAAAATATTCTTTCCATATGCACTGGCATTTCCTATGATGATAAAAGCAAATGAAGTTGTTCAACTGTAGGATGAAAAGCTTAACCAATCCATCAACTCCTCGAATGTGAACATTACTGACAAAAAAAACAGGTGAACTTGAATTGAGAACAAAGGACGTTTTTGAGGTAAAGTTTCTCCTCTCTGTTGCTGCACAATAAAATGAATCTGGAGAGTATGTACAACATACACTTCCGTAAGGAGTATGTGGGTGCTCCCTAACTACTGTATTTTTCTTTTTTCAAACTTTTCCAGTGACTATTTATTCAAGCTGCTCCTGATTGGGGACTCTGGTGTTGGAAAGTCTTGCCTTCTACTCAGATTTGCAGTAAGTTTCCACAAATAATGCAAAAAGTATGTTTATCCAACCTCCATTCCCACCTGGTTATTTTGGCCTGCGTGATGATTTAATGCAGACTGTTGAAAGCGGACATTATATAATGGCTATTTTCACTTGTTTGTTATTAACCAAGTTGTACCACACATGTTGCGATGCCATGTGCAAACTCAAGCCGTTAACTAGCCTATAGGTCAATCATTCACTGTAACATTCTCTGTGCCAACACTTCGGCTGCTTCCCACCGGGCCTTGGAGTGACTGATGGTGTTTCTCTACATAGTGCAGCATGAAGGAAGTGAGGAGGATGTGTGAGCCAACTAACAAACTCTTCCTCTCTGCAGGATGACACTTACACAGAAAGTTACATTAGCACTATTGGCGTGGACTTCAAAATACGAACCATAGAACTAGATGGGAAGACCATTAAACTTCAAATTGTAAGTATCCCACTGCTTTAATTTCATATCGGTAACTATTGCTGCTGTGAAAGTACTTTTTAAACTTTATTAAGGACATGAGAAGTATTTGTTTTCCTTTTTGGTCACATGAGTAAAACTGGAAGTATTCATATATTTAGCTATTATTCTAGATCTTTCTTATTTATTGTCAAGAAATCCTAAAACATGCCCCCCAAATATATGTATGTGATCTTAAAATAAGCTCAGTGTTTTTGTGAAAGTTGATTTCTGTAGTTTTTTTTTAGCTGAAGTCACTCAAACAAAAGAAAATCATGCTTTTGTACTATTTTCAGCGGCGGATTAATCCAAGTTTATTCCTCTATTGAGTATTTGTGGCTAAAGGATGAATGTAGGATATAATAAAATAAACTACAGTGTATTTGTTTGAAACTAAATACTTGAACTCAGGGTTGACCAATGACTGGTCACATTTATTAAAGAAATGCCAGTGAGAATGTTGGTGCTGAACATCAGAAGGTGTAAGATGCTTTGGTTTTCATCAACTGGATACATCTCTTTCCTCTGACAGTGGGACACAGCGGGTCAGGAGAGGTTTCGTACCATCACATCCAGCTACTACAGAGGTGCTCATGGTATCATCGTAGTGTACGATGTCACAGACCAGGTCAGTGTAACTGTGTGTTAATACACTACGAGATCACCTGCCCCTATGACGAGAAAGTGTCATTGGCCTGGTTTCTGATGAACAGAAATGCAAAGAGAGGGCCTTTGCATTACTCTGTTCATGGCTCTGTGATGAGGGGGAAAAGAGTCCTTCTGTCTCAATGGCTTACTCTCTGTGTGACTTCTTTAGTTGCGCTTGTGTAGATGGAGGTTTTACACAACAGCTATTTGACTCAAAGCACTGAAAACCAAAGTATTGATCAAATTCGGCGGCCAAGGACATGGACTCAAATCTGGTCAAAGGTCACCGTGACCTCACAAAACATGTTGTGAACCATAGCAAGTATTCCTGCTCTAATTCTGACAAGTTCACACAAATTTCCAATAGCATAAGATTATGAGGTTTTGTGACAGACATGGATGTAGAATACAGCTTGACTGGTGTTGGCAAGCAACCGTATGGCCGTCTATAGTTTTCTTGGATGTAAGGGGCGGGATTTCACCCATTGAAAGTGTGGCAAAAAAACGGTACACGGAAATACGTTGATTTGAGACAGACCTGTTAACGGTTAACCTGCTCACTGTGAAACCGAGGACACTGTCTAGTTGAAACAAATCTACATCATCGTTAACCACGGCTACCAGCTGGCAAATTCGAATGTCAAGCAACCCAAGTGGGTCATTACGAAGCAAAACAAACAAACTAAACTTCCGCTTCAGTAATGTGCTGTTTCCTAACTTACGGGTAGACTTGTTTGTATAAATCACTGGTTCACCTACCATTGAACAAGGAGGGCACCCCCTGGCAGAAACATTATACGTCATTCAAGCAACCAACTCTGAGCGGTCCATGCTACACCCACTCTGTCCTGTTTATGATCAGCTGGAGATATGAAAGAGTAAGGTGTAGCCCCCAAAGCTGCATCATTCCTGTGTCTCGTATTGAGTTCTGTCCTTGCAGTGTGCTGTGAGGACAGCCCTGACAGCACCCCGTGGAAGCTGCTAGTGTCCCAAACAGATGGAGCTCAGCTCTGACGTCAAACTGTCCTGTTTCTCAGGAGTCCTTCAACAATGTCAAACAGTGGCTACAGGAGATTGACCGCTACGCCAGTGAAAATGTCAACAAGCTTTTGGTTGGGAACAAGTGCGACCTGACGACGAAGAAGGTGGTGGATTACACGACAGCAAAAGTAAGGCGGCCTGGGTGTTGCTCCCACACAAGCAAGCTGTTGTAGATCAACATTTTCACGTTTTTTTGTGTGATTTCTTTGTGTGAAAATGCCCTGAAATATTGCAACAACGTATCAATAAATTCCAGTTACGTCACTTTTAAATGAGGGTCACAGGCAGATTGCATCAGATTTTATTTACAATTAACCATATAGTAGTGTGCGCTTACATTAAAGAAAAAATGAAATGTTAAACATCACGATCTGAAATTCTTAACCCTTTTTAAAATTATATTTAATATTGATTATTACACCATTAGACCAATTACATTTTGCACAAGTGGTGTATAGAAAATATTTACTTACTTTACTTACTATAAACTTTTGTTTATAAAAAGTGCCACGCCCATAATCTAATCTTTATTCTACTTAATCATTAAAAATGATTTAATTTTATCATTAATTTTAACATTTTGATTTTAACTGCTGCTGATTTACATTATGCTCTTCTTGACAAAATAAATGTGAACTTGTGTCGTTAAATGTGAGACAAAATGGGGGAGTCTTGTTTCCTTTTTTATAAACCTGGATGGATAGGAAAATGCTAAACACTCCTCAATGCAACCACAGTTACTTAAAGCTTTGATTTTTCCCATTCAGTGACTGACATGTTTAGAATACAACCCTTTTTACCATTTCATAGTATTTTGCTTTTCACTACAACAATTAAGTAATAATAAAAATAAGTAACACACCTCACAATGGGGGGGGGACCTGAAGCCTAACCTGCTGCTGCGCTGTCCTCCTCCTCTGTTTCCAGGAGTTCGCAGACTCTCTGGGAATCCCCTTCTTGGAAACTAGTGCCAAGAATGCCACCAACGTGGAGCAGGCCTTCATGACCATGGCCGCTGAGATCAAGAAGAGGATGGGCCCCGGGGCCACGGCCGCAGGAGGGGAGAAGCCCAACGTGAAGCTGACCCCCGGCACCAGCGTCAAGCCCTCGTCAGGAGGATGCTGCTGAGAGATGAAACCACTTGCACTCACCCCCCCCCTCCACACAGCCTCCCCAGCCCTCTCACTCTGCTGGCCCGTCAATCCAGGACTCTGTCCTCCTCTAACTCCACCCGCCACACAACGTAGACAGGGTGGGGGGTGGGGGATCCTGCGAGATCAAGATGAAGTTACCCTCATTTGTACTGTACATAGTATAGCCGCACTACCAAATAAAGCATCCTTCTTGTCATGCTGTCCAGTTTAATGACGGCTAACTTTACAGATAGTGCTGTGTGTGTGTGCGCGTGCTTCCTACAGGTAAAATAATTTCTTTTTCGGTTGTTTTCTTTTTTCCTTTCAGTAAATTCTGTTGCAGCTTGTGTGTCAGCATGTGTCGGTCCCCATTTGAAGGGTGTTTATTTTGTTATCTTCTCACCAACCTTTGCACAGCAGGGTCCCACTGTCTAGCATCTAAAGTGCAACAGACGTGTGTGTGTGTGTGTGTGTATGCGTGCGTGCATCCTTACACGTGTCTTTTAAAAATATATATATATATATATATTTGTGTGTGTGTGCATATATATGCACACCGTTTGCCCGTTGTGTAATGTTCAATGCGTCATTGGGCTTGTCTTAACTCTTTATCTCTGTATTACATTTGTGGCTGAAGACAACTATGTTTGTTGCTCAACATGTAACACTTTAACTGAAAAATAAATATTGTACTACCAGGCTGTATGAAATGGGAGGGTCTGCGATTCTTGGGTGAGATTTGTTGAGGGGAAGAAAAAAAACTTTATTTATTCTCCATTCGTTTTTGCGTATTCTGCCAAGACATACGGTCTGTTTGAAAATTGCCGTGTTATCACCGTTATCACCGGAGTTGCATATAAAATACAATGTCCTCTTGTTTTCATAATAAAGGCGACTGAATTCAGTTGGAAAGGAAATCCCAGATGCCAGTGTTTGAATACGAATGTCATAACAGTGTGTGTGTATGTCTGTGTGCACAAATAGTTGGAAACACATTCTTCCTGATAAAAAAAAATATATATTTACATTTAAAATTCTTTGCTCTGGGTAAGCAGGAAGAATCTTTGCTACCTTGCATGCACAATAACCCTAAACTGGGAGTGTGGGGGATTCTTCCGGAGTTATGTTGACCTGTGACCGGCTTAAGTCACTGCAGTGTCCGTTCTTTAAAACTCTGCGTTGCATGATGCCCCCTAAACCAAGCCAACCCACATGTCATTAGTCTTCCCAGAAACCGGTATAGTTAACCAAGTATGCACTTGCTGGAAGTGAAACCGTATTCCCTGCGTTTGGAATGTTCTCTTTTGACAAAGGTGTTTCAATATTTGAATAATTTATGAGTATTAAGACAGGAAGACCGCAGGCAGGACCAAACAACCATCATATGTAACCACCGTCCACAGAAATCTGTAAGGAGGGAAGCTCAAAGACTTTAAGAAGGAAGTCTGTAATGTGGTTATATGATGACAGTAATAGTGACTAATAATGATAGTAGCAGCAGGCAGGGCCAGGTTCCAGATAGAACCACAATGTATGAAAGAAGAAAGAGAGGAGTCAGCAAGTGCCTTGTAGGTGAGAAGTACATCAAATTTCCATTCTTGATTTAAAATGGAACCAGTGCAGCTGCTTTATCTGAGAGTTAAAGGACATATCCTGGTCGAAGATAATTCCCAAGATTCTTTACGGTGCTGCTACACACCAGTGCAATGCTATCCAAACAATTTCACTAGACAGCTGACTTCAAAGGTGCTCTGGGCCTATCAAGATAACCTATTTGTATTTCCTATTTTTTTAAATTTCCTATCCTATTTTTTTAGAGTTTAGCATCAGAAAATTGCTGGTTTTGATGTCCCCAATACATTCTTGAAGTCTAACAAGCTGGTCGGTCTCATCTGGCTTGATTTACAGATACTGTGGCAAACCAGGAGGAGAGGCCGAGCCAAGGCGGTGGATCAGGTTGGGGGAGGTGATAGAGGGGGTTGATAGTTTGTCAGTGTTGCTGGATTTCCAAGAGAGGGTGTTGCCTGCAAGTCACTGTGGGATATATGAGGTACAATGTAAGAGCTTATGTCCCACCACCGTTGAGGTGTTTCAAATGCCAAAAATACGGACATATTGCAGCAGCGTGCAAAGGCAAACAAAAGTGTGGAAAATGTGGAGGGGACCATGAGTATAGGAAATGTAAGGACGGACAGAGCTCAAATGTGCAAATTGTGGAGGTGCACATAGCGTGGCCTATGGTGGGTGTGAAGTGAGAAAGAAGGCAGTGGAAGTGTAGCAGCTAAAAGTGAAAATGAATATATCATATGCAGAAGCAGCAAAGATGGTAGAGTAGAATGGAGAGGGGGGGGGGGTATAACAAGGAAGGAACCGTCTCAGCAGGCAAATGAACAACCTGTAACAAAGAGTCAAAGGGGAGGTGGGAATGTATTGACAGTAAATAAGGAAAACTTTGTATATTTCATGGCGGAAGTAGTTAACTGCACATATCAAGCAAAAGGGAGATCTGAGAAGATTGAAATAATAGTAAAGAGTGCAGAAAGATATTTAAATATTCGGGGGATAACTGTGATGGCTGTTCAGGAAGAGCTTAAAAAGCAGGAACAATTAAACAAAGAATCAAGTTCACAGGAATAGTCATAATGTTAATTCTACAGTGTAATGCAAGGAGTCTGATAGCAAATGGCCAGGAATTTAAAAGTTTTCTTAATGGGGTAGAATATAAGGCAAGGCAAGGCAAGGCAATTTTATTTGTATAGCGCTTTTCATACACAAGGCAGACTCAAAGTGCTTCACATCATAACATTTCATGCAATAAAGTGAAATAAAATGCAGGAATTAAAAGACAATTAAAAACAGCAAATAAAATTATAAATTAAAATCTTATTATCTTATTATTTAATTAAAAGCAGAGGTTAAAAGTGCAATGTAGGTCAAATTTAGCAGAAGGCGAAGCTGAACATAAAAGTTTTCAGTCTTGTTTTAAACGTGGTCAGAGTTGGGGCAAGTCTTAAATCTTCCGGAAGTTTATTCCAGCTGTTTGTTGCGTAGTAACTAAATTATGCTTTCCCATGATTTGTATTTACTCTGGGAATCACTAACCGATTGGTGTCAGAAGATCTTAGTGATCTTGAAGGCTTATGTAGTGGAAGCATATCAGTGATATACTTTGGCCCTAAACCATGTAGTGATTTATATGTGAGCAGTAGGATTTTGAAATGAATTCTCTGACATACTGGGAGCCAATGTAAGGATTTAAGAATTGGTGTAATGTGCTCACATTTTTTGGTCTTTGTTAGAACTCTAGCAGCAGCGTTCTGAACAAGCTGGAGCTGCCTGACAGTTTTTTTTGGAAGACCTGCAAGGAGACCATTACAATAGTCTAGCCTACTAGTTATAAAGGCATGTACAAGTGTTTCTAAGTCTTGAGCTGACATGAGCCCTCTAAGTCGTGCTACATTTTTGAGGTGGTAGTAGGCCGATTTTGTTACTGATTTGATGTGACTCTCCAAGTGTAAATCTGAATCCATAATAACCCCCAGATTTCTGGCTTTATTTGATGTTTTCAGGGACAGAGAGTGAAGGTGTTGGGTTACTTTAAACCTTTCTTTTTTAGCACCAAATACAATGAGCTCAGTTTTGTCTTCATTTAGTTGTAGGAAATTTTGACACATCCAGTCTTTGATTTGCTCAATGCACTGGCACAGAAGATCTATGGGGCGATAGTCGTTTGGTGATAGCGCTACATATATTTGGGTGTCATCAGCGTAGCAATGGTGGTCAATCTTATTTTTTTGCATGATTTGTCCTAGTGGGAGCATGTAGATGTTGAATAAAGTCGGCCCTAAGATCGAACCTTGGGGAACTCCACACGTTACGTCGGTTGTTTCTGATACGAAGTCACCAATGGAAACAAAATAGTTCCTGTCTTGTAGATATGACCTGAACCAGCTTAAGACTGTGCCTGAGAGCCCCACCCAGTTTTCCAACCTGTCCAAAAGTATTGAGTGGTCGACAGTATCAAATGCAGCACTGAGGTCTAATAGCATTAATATTGAAGTTTTGCCAGAGTCTGTGTTAAGACAGATGTCATTTACAACTTTAATAAGGGCCGTCTCGGTGCTATGCTATGAAGAGGTCGAAATCCTGACTGGAAATTGTCGTGGCAGCCAGTTGAAGCCAGGAAGTGATTAAGTTGTTGTAGGACAACTTTCTCAATTATTTTACTTATGAAAGGTAGATTTGAAATTGGTCTGTAGTTGTTGATAATAGAGGCATCTAGGCTCCGCTTTTTTAGGAGAGGTTTAATAACTGCAGTTTTGAAAGCTTTTGGGAAATGGCCTGTCTGAATAGAGTTATTAACTATTTGCAATACGTCTGTTGCTAGGCAGTCAAAAACATTCTTAAAGAAGTTGGTAGGTAGAGCATCAAGACAGCAGGTGGATGGTTTTAAATTTGTCACCGTTTCCACTAGAGTTTGAGAGTCTATGGCATTAAAGCTTGTCATCATTGCTGTGTTACTTTTGCCTGAATAGGGTGGTGATCCAACATTTTTGTTTGAGATATTAATGGCGCGTCTGATGCCTTCAATTTTATCAGTATAAAAGAACGCAAACTCATTGCATTTCTGTGTGGAATGGAGTTCAGGTGGTATTTGTGTTGGGGGGTTGGTCAGTCTGTCAACAGTTTCAAATAGGGTTTTTGCCTTATTAGTGTTGTTGTTAATGATGTTGGAGAAGAATGTTTCCCTAGCACTTTTTAAGTCTAAATTGTAGGCCCGGAGGCGCTCTTTATAGATCACATGTTGAGACAGTTCAAATGTGTCTAAAAAAGTTCTTTTGCACCCTTGTCATTCAAATCGTCAGTATGAAAATTAAAGTCACCAGTTATAACTAGACAGTCAAAGTCGGTAGAGATGCTAGACAATAATTCAGTAAAATCATCGAAAAAATGTGCAGAATATTTAGGTGGCCTGTAAATAATTAACAGGAGAACTCTGGGAGAACCTTTCAATACAACACAAAGATATTCAAATGATGGAAAATCACTAAGTGACATCTCACTCCCCATTCCCCTGAAATATATTTTTAAAAATAGCATCAACCCCTCCACCTCTTTTTCCAGATCTACATACATCAATAAAGTTATAGTTGGGGGGTGCTGCCTCAATCAGAATGCTTGCACTGTTATTTTGTTCTAGCCATGTTTCAGTTAAAAACATAAAATCAAGTTTAGAAGTGGTAATAAAATCATTGACTAAAAACGATTTGTCATTAAGAGACCTAACATTAAGCAGAGCCATCCTGATGGTGTTATTCACAGGCTTTGGGGTTGACTTTGAGCTGGAGAGAATAGGAATGAGATTTGTTAGATTAGCAGTGTGTCTAAATTTCGCAATGTTCACTCTTGGTGGTCACAACAGGAATGCAGAAGGTGCCATGTTTTGACGTAGGCGACCTTGGGTCTATAAACCGGCTATAATATGTGTTGAAGAGACATGGCTTAAACCAAGCATAGATTTTGTGATTCAGGGATATGTGTGCATAAGAGGGGATAGAGAACGGGGTAAGGGGGGAGGATGTGCTACCTTTTGTTAGGCAAGGAATTTCTTATCGAGAAATAGGAAAAGACCTAGAATATGTCGCTGTTGAAGTGTGGGTAGGAGATGAAAGTTTGATCGTGGTAAACTTCTACAATCCGTGTCAACAATTGGAGTTGGAAGCATTAGAGGCAATAAAGGGATTAGACAGTAGAAGGGTTATTTGGTGTGGTGATTTTAATGGGCATAGTACTCTCTGGAAAAGACTGATAGGAATGGATTGATAGTGGAGGAGGTGATGGACTCCTTGGGACTGGTATGTTTAAATGATGGGAGTTTCACATGAATTAATTACAACTCAGGTAAGGAGTCGATTTTAGACCTGACAATAGTATCACGGTCATTGGCAGGTATTTGTGTGTGGGAGGCATGGAAGCATTTAACTGTTGGAAGTGATCATTACCCTATTTTCTGTGGAGTAGGAAGAGGATGCAGGGTGGGGGCAGAAGATACAGCAGAAAGGTGGGTATTTGGAAAGGCTCAGTGGGATACATTTAGAGAAATTAGTGAATCAAGGTTTAAAGTTATAGATAGAGATCAGGATATATAAATATTTAATAGAAATGTGAGAGACGCAAGAAGAAGAAGGCCTTAGATAAGTTAACTTACTTATTGAGCTTATTGGGCAAAAACATTTATAATACTGGCGCTTTTTGCCCCCCTTTACGGGCTGTGGATCCTGGACTATATACTTTCCCATATATTCTAAAACCTTTAAACATCCCTAAATATTTCCACACACTGCACTCTGCACACTGCCCACCATAGCCTACTCTTTAGCTCAATAAGTAAGTTAACTTACCTAAGGCCTGCTTCGGCCAATCTCCTCTGAATCGTGCTGGATGACACACCAAACAGATCCGCGATTTCTCTGGTTGATAGACCGGACAACAAAGTTAGCCAGCTTGTCGCCAGGAATATCCAGAGGCGGGCGTCCAGCAACTGTGTTTGTAGTACCAGCGCTAATGTTGACTTCATCAACTTGGACCTCTTCCCCACGCACGCGGTGCTCAATCAGTCTTAAACAATTTAAAACTTTGTCGTCTATGTATACATCTTGAAGAGCACTTATCCGCCCTAGTATTTCCAAAAACCCTCAATATGTGTCAAAATCGTATCTGCAGAAAACCCATGTTGATCGATTTGATCTGCTAATGCTAGCATGCTACCTCGGAGCCCACCGATGTCTTCCATCATGTCAACACTCACGTCCATTGGTTGGGAGTGTAGGAGCTGGTGGACGAAATAGAAAAGAGGAGAGGGTAATGACAAGGCTAAGAAATGCCCATACTGGTCTTAACAGTTCCCTCTACGCTTGGGAAACATCGAAATGAAAGGTGCGAATACTGTCAAGAAGAGGAAACTGTGGACCATGTTTTGATGGCATGTCAGAGGTACGAGGCAGAGAGAGAAGTCCTGAGAAAGGGGCTAAGAGAGCTGGGAGAGGCAAATATAAGCGATATACTGAAGAGGGGCTTTAGGGACAAGTGTTGGGAACTGCTTTTGGCATATTTAGAATACAAGACTAATGAATAGAATTTTGAGAGTTTTTTGTTTTTTGTTTTGTTTTGTTTTTGATTTGGTTTAGTTCTAGTAGAGGTTTAATTTCCTTAAGCCCACACTCCAGGGGCCTCATTTATAAAACCTTGCGTAGGATTTGCGCCAGAAGTGGCGTACGGATGAAACATAGGACGTGCGTACGCACAGAAATAGTCAGACTTATTAAACCGTGCGCACACACGTCCTACGCAGTTTTCCCTTAATAAATCACAATCACTTCTAAATGCAGCGCAGCTTTTGCGGCTTCATGCCACGCCGATAGTTGCCCATATATAGTCTGTGGAACGCCCACAAATGAATATTCATCTATTGCGAACTCATGACAAACACTGAGAGGAAAACGAAGAAACGTAACTTCACTCGGTGTGAAGTCGAAATTATCATTGGCGAGGTGGAAAGGAGAAGTGAAATGCATTTTGGAGGGCACGGTATGGGCATTACTAATGCCAAAAAGGCACTTGAGTGGCAAAAGGTTGCAGAGCAACGCTGCAGCCTAACAACCTTGGACCATGGCCGAAATAAAGAAAAAATGGCCTGACATCAAAGTGGATGCAAAAAAGCGTTTAGCGCGCCATCGCCAAAGTGTGTCTGCCACGGGTGGGGAAAGGGGACACCGGAGCTGTCCCATCTTGATGAGAGACTGGCGGCAATGACTGGGGATTGGGGACAGGGTCTGAGCCAACATCAGCGTCAGGGGGTCGAGGCACGTTTGGAAGCTGTGCCACATTATGTAGCACAGCACATGCCAGCACGATTTTGCACACCTTTTCAAGAGTAGACAATAACCTTCCTCCAGTGCAGTCGAGGCAAGCATCTGTATCTGCCCTTAAAGGCCAATGGTGCGCTGCACTACAGCGCGAATCCTTCCATGTGCCACATCTTCTAAGAGCGCAAGATCAGCCTCTTCGCGTCATTACGCATTGTGATGGCATCATGGCAATTTATTACCGTCCATTTGATTGCATATGACAAGCAACAGCTGTGTTTTGAGGATGAATTGCAGAACATATTTCACTTTTCTTTGTGAAAATGTGTTAATTTGTATTTATGTTTGTTTTACGCTGCCGATCGATCAATCGGGTGTTGGTGTTATTTATGAGAGGCAGTATTGGCATTTATTTTACAACAGTCTAGTTTTACACTCTTTCACACACGTTTGCGTGTTTCTTGCATTTGCCGACGGTTCTCATTTCACCCGTTTTTGTGCGTACGCATGGGTCCGAGCTTGCGTGAAGGACCGCGCATTTTTCCGTCAAGTTTGTTTTTTATAAATACCAATTATTGCGTAGAGAGCGGCGTACGCCTTATTTTGTGCGTACGCAACGTTTATAAATGAGGCCCCAGATCAGTGGGTGGCGGTAATGCACCCGAAAGCTGTTTGCCAACTGCCATAAAAAGCAAAAGAAGAAGAAGGCAGACCGGGAGAAGGAAGAACACCGTCAGCATGGGAGACGACCGGCAAGCATTATCGCTCTTTCACGCCTCCCCTCTGTTTTTTGCCTAGGACGTGTGATTGAGGACCCTGACCGGGATGAACCTTGTGTTGTTTTTGACCTTAACCCCTTCCCCAAAGTTATCAAGTCAAAGTATCATTCTTTTGTTATCTGACGAGTGTGTCTGTTCCTGAAATCTCGCCTCCACATCCCCTGGTTTGCCACAATACAAAAAACGTCTGCATAACACTGAATGTTTATGCAGAAAACATATATAGGGTTAGATCAGGGGTCTCAAACTCAAATCAGCTGCGGGCCAGATGCAGCCCACTTCAACCGAACGCGGGCCAGACTAGCGTCCGAACGGCATGGTCGACGGGGGGTGGGGTACGCCAAAGTCGGTACCCCCCCCCCTGCGGCGGTCTGCCACACCGGAGTTTGAGACCCCTGTAATAAAGAGTGGAAGCTTTATTAAAACACTGATGTGTTATACTATGATAATAAATGCTTGTATAAACACAACTCACCTGTATCCTCTGCTGAAGCTGCTCAGTGGAGGGGGGGGTGTCCTCCTGCCCCACGGCCCTCTCCTCCCCCTCAGGTTCCTGGTTCAGGGGTTGGTAGTAATATCCTCCATCGTTCTCCTCTTCCTCTCCATCCAGCTCCATCTCGGACCCCACCTCCCCCTCCTCCTCCTCCTCCTCCCCCCCACTCCACGCAGGCAGCATAGCTCCATCGGCTGGGCGCTCGCTCCCCCCCAGCTCATCCTCAGAGTTTGGTAAGACTCGCTCCGGTCCCATCGCTGAGCTCAACACTTCCATCCACAGACACACTGAGAGACAGACAGTTTGTCAACAACAATAACACAACTTAACACTCACTTTCAAAAGCAGTCATTGAACCCCACCCTGGGGGATCGGTCCGAATGAGACTACAACACTAGTCCTCCTTTAACTCAGCGGGGGAGACCTAAGGTCATGTGACCGTGGAATTCCTTTATAGCCAAACGTGAAGTTACGTGAATCGAAGCTGCGTAGTAATGGACGGAGACGCTCGTCGGTGACGTCAGATGCTTCATGTGTTGTTAGTGTGAGTCGTAAAGGAAAACTTTATTAAACGAGCGATGCTAACGGTTATTCACATGATCACTTGCGCGAAAGAGGGCAGGAAACTGAATTACACCCTCCTGCTCTCTGCACCTCGGCCGACACACACGACCCGCCCCCCATGTCAGTCACATGCATGCCACGTTCACTGGACAAGCACACAGTAGGAAACCAGAACATCATAACATGTCCCACACAGCAGCTGACAGTGGGGTTACAGTATAAAACTTGCGGGCCGCACTAACATTACACTTTCATATTAAGGATGGGGCCACAAAATATCGTCCCGAGGGCCGCAATTGGCCCGCGGGCCGCGAGTTTGAGACCCCTGGGTTAGATAATTCCATTCCATTAAATGTTATTCAGCTGACACTGCTTTTCCAAAGTGACTTACATTGCATTTGTTTAACCCATCCAACACAGTTGGAGTAGTGTGTAGCCGTAAGGGCGCCCAGGGAGCAGTTTGGGTTTGGTTGTCTTGCTCAAGGACACTTCGACATGGGGCATGGAGCAGCCAGAGTGAACCATCCTTGCGGTTCCCGGCGCACCTTCTACTCCATGCACCACGGTCGCCCAAAAAATAATGTTCCAAAACAGAAAGTGTTCTGTGAAAGACTGTTAAATGTTCTATCTTAACACCATACAGCAGAACTAGGTCGAGGGTGTGATTAAAACAATGAATAGGTTTCTGTACACTCCAATCGAATCCAACAATGAGAAAATGCAGTAACGAGACTGTCATTATCGACTTCCACATGAATATGAAAGTAACTCACAATAATTACTCTGTCCGTTTCAAGGATGAAACCTAATAAGAACTTCAGATAAAAATTCTGAATATGGAACTGGGTCCCTGCACACTACACCAAAGAGAACCGGCTGTGTTGATTTCCAGGTTGGGTGTGAAAGTCTGAGAATCAGGCTTTCAAATGAGTTATAAACTGGTTTAGGGTTCATTAAAAGGCTATAGTCAAAAATACCTGCTACTCCACCTCCTCTGCCTGTGGCTTGCAATCAAAAAGCCATTGTCAGCATAATAAAAGATTATGGCAAACATTTTGATCTATAATTGGATGTACTGGAAAAAAATCAACTTGAACTATTATATATTCTAAATATTCTTTCTTATGATGTCACCCCTCTTGACTACTGTAACTCCCTCTTGACCTGAGTTACACCTGAGTTAGTGAAGTTGACTGTATGTAGGCTATACATGGTTGAAATACATTTATTGTTATGCATGCATACACTTTCTCATTCATCAAAAAATGTTACAGAAACTACCGTTTTCAGCTTAAACAGGGAAAACATGAATAAAGGTGGACTATGATGACCTTATATACCGTGTATGATTATGTATCAATATAATTTTACCTACAACCAACTTTCGCGGGAAATATTAGATTAATGGTACATATTTTATCTCGCAGGGGTGTTTTTGTTGTGGCATTATTTACTTCGTCAATGAAATCCTCTTTAGTTTGTAATCATATTTTTTGACACTTTAAATTGACATGCTTGTCACTACCTGTCTTTAATGGAATATACGTAGCTTCCAAAATACTAGAATATGTACACTCCAATCACACACCACCCTATTTTACATGCAGTAGTTTGGTCCAAACTGGCGCGAAATGAATAGCCCCGCCCAAGAAATACACCACTTTCTGAGTCAAGTGGGCCGAACTCCTGTACAAAACAGTGGAAGTAAAGCCTGGAAAATAAATCTTCACGTGAGCTTCTCAACCCAGTTCCCGCGTGAGTGGTTTTATTCTGAAAGGAAGGGACCGGAGGTGGGCTGCTTGTTCATAGGCGCTTCTTGCGCTTCAGCACCACAAGCTGTGCTGTCTGCAGAGTAGCAGAGTGGACTCAGTGGACTTACTAGAAACGTTATCTTAGTGTCGCATGCGAAAATATTTGTATATCATTAGTTTACTTTTGATGCCCACCCCCCTGCTCACTCGGAAACGACCGTAACACCCAGCAGCTAGCGTTGGTTAGCTAGCGTCACTTTAGACCAAGTTAACGTTGACGTTAGCTGAGCTCCCTGTGAGTCACCTGCTCGTAAAACGGCGACCCACGTTGCTATTTTGTTGAGCAAAAAAAAGCAAATTGATCTGTAACCGCAACGCTGTCGCATTTTCGTTAGCACTGTTGCTGTTGGCTACGATGAGCTGGTAAGTTCTCGTTTTTTCATTGACCGATTGCAACAAATGTACCGGTGCAATTAATACTGCGGTCATGTGGACCACATTACGAAATGAAATGCACCTCTATTCATGGCTTTACGGTTCGGGGGTTTGTACAGCCGAAAGGGCCTTGTTCATAATTTCCCAATCATTGAACTGTTTTCAAAGCAGATCCTTAAAAGGTTACACTTTATTTTCACTTGATTGTTGTTCACGATTACTTCCTACATCCCCGTATATTCTACTGCAATTTTGGAGAAAAATAATGCTAAAGTCAGCAATTTCCCAATCTTTTGAACTGTTAAATGTGTTTAAAGCAGATCTTTAAACGTTATTCTATTTTCACTGGACTGTTGTTAAATAGGATCTCCTCTATGTCCTTGTCTATCTTAATGATATTTTACTGTACAGGTTTTGAGAATTTTGAGAAAAAGATCATTTCATCTCAGTGGGTCCCATGTCTCCTTCAGTGCAGACCCCAGGATGTGTGGTGCGGGGCCCCTGTCGGGCCCTTGATATAGTGGTGAAAGACTAATCAAACTCAAGAGTCTCGCAGGGGTAGAGAGGGTGCACTGGGAACCTCAAGGTTGGTGGTTCGAGTCCCGGCTGCCCCATGTCCCAAGTCGAAGTGTCCCTGAGTAAGACACCTAACCCCTAATTTCTCCCCGGGCTTGGGTTAATCGTGGGTTAAAGATGTAATGTAAGTCGCTTTGGATAAAAGTGTCAGCTAAATTACCTGTAATGTAATGATTAGGACGTCTTTGGCTGAAATGATCTCAACCTATTCCTCAAACTTGAAATGGGTAAGAAGGCTCGCTGGTTTGTGGAATGAAAGCCGTCTAGTGGGCCACTTTTGGTAAGCAGGTCAGTCGGTTCTAAGAGATGGGCAAACGCTGTTCGGAAGGGTGGTCCAATGGCCTACTTTCGACCCCGGCTGATTTAAAAGGTTCAGATCCCCATGCTCTATGCAGTGACTCAAGTGATTTCCGAAAAGCTGGCTGGAGCCCTTGGGAGTTTTCCTTGCGAACGGAAGAGCGCCTTGGAATGGATTGGCCCAGAGAGAGGGACCTGCTGGAAAGTGTTGCGGTTCCAGCGGCAAACCATGAGCTCTCGCTGGCCCTTGAAGATCCAAAGAAAATCTTGCTCTAGGCCGTACCCATATCTGCAGCAGGTCTCCAAGGTGAACAGCCTATGGCTTGTGAAATCAAGGGAAGTTGCCAAATCAGATCCTTAACTTCTGGGATAAGGATTGACTAAGGGCTGGGCTGGGGGAGCAATCGCTCTCCTTGCCGCCAAAAGCGTGTCTTGTAGCTCCCGACAGTGAGGGCTCTTGTGGGAACCCCCCAGCTACGGTGCTCCTCGAACCGCGGGGGGATAGCTTTGGCTGGCGCCTAGGAGCTCACTTAGAACTGGTGTGGACCAGGGGAATCCAACTGTTGGATTAAAGCAAAGCAAAGCAAAGCATTCCAGCAGCTGGGTTTCAGGGCATATGCAGATGGTTCATGCGGGCGAGCACGGTGCTACCTGCTGAGGCCGGCTTTGTTAGAAATTCGTCTGGAAACGGAGTGGCCGAGTGAGGTGATAATTAACTGGGGTTCTAGTACGGGAGGCTCATATCTTCTCCCAGCACCGGGTTTGCTGCATAGCGAGTCCCAGTGCTGGCTCTTGTATAGGACCAGTTACAGCGCAAGGACAATTACTGCCATGGGGCATTCGCATCCGCAGCCTCGTACCTGGTCGAAGTAGTGGGTCGGCCCACGGAGAGTCTGGCAACAAACATTACCATGCAGGTGAGAGGGGAGACGGACCCTCTTTTACCTAGCTATTGATCCACTGACTCTTATAAGGATTGCAGCCTCCCGTAAAGGCAAAGGCCACTACTACGATTGCAACTGGGGACAACATTCCAATTTTTAAGGATCTGTTTTAAAAGAGTGGGAATGTAATGAATATAATGTAATTTCAGCTTACCTCACCTTTTAATTATCTCAAACTGTACCGTCAAAATATCATGAACCTAGAGACTACAGGGGCAAAGAGGAGGTCCTGACTTTTTAAGAATCTGCTTTGAAAAACTTGTTGAGCCTTGGTTCTGATTTGTGTCCTTCGTCTGGCTTACAGTATGAAGGAAGAAGTTCGCAGCGGGTCTCCTCTCTTCCCCAAGCCTGACGAGTCTGAGGAGCCGCTGGGCACGGCCATGGAGACAGGAGTTGCTGCAGCAGGTCAGTCAAACGGTCCCCCTGCTAAACCCCACGGTTTAAGAAAATAATCCTTTAAATCCATTAACGTCATAAGTTTCCACAAATGATATGTTTCAATCCCTAAATGACATATAATCCTAGCCAATATTTGCAGTTTCCAGAACAATCTCTTGAGAAAGCCTAATCATAATCGTTCCATTCTTTTATTCTAATTGGACTCAAAAGTCTTTACAGAGAGAATGTGGGATAACTGTTACAGCCATGATAATACCTTATTTGCCATGTTTTTCATTTTGAGATAATTGCCTTTTTTTCAGATATCCTTAGTAAAATGACTAATGGAGGTGAATGGGATGGGAAACACATCATAAACCTTGGTGTTTTGGGCTAGACATTTCTGAAATTCTACTGCAGCTCGACAATCACTTTTGTTCTTTTGAAGACATCAACGTGAAAAGTGAGAGAATGACATCTGAGGGGGTTGTCACCAAAGAAATGGAGGAAGAAGAGAAGAAGCTGATGGAGGAAGGGGAGAGGAGAGAAGAAGAGATGATGAAAAAGGTGTGGTTCTTATCTATTCCTCACAGTTTAAGTTCTCCTGTTTGTCTAAAGCTTGCTATTGAATTAACCATATCAAAAGCTACCAAAAGCTCTCGCGTATCAGACCGAATGCTGAAAGGGGGAGGATGACGGCGACTGTACAGCTGCTTTTCATTTTATTTGAGTTACACTGACTAAAACATTCTTATCAGCATTGTTATTTATGTATTCAATAGTTTTTGAATAGGCTACATAGTGGCTCATAGCTAATGTGAGGAAGCTCAACAGCACATTTTCATTCTATTCTATATTGCTGTAAAACACCTCCCAATTATTCTTTCTTTTCCTGCCAAGATAACATTTGAACACATGATGATAGCAATCGCTTTGCCCAAAATGAAAGTCTCAAACGCATCCTCCGTTATCGTTAGCTTTTAGCACAGTCATGTAGCATGAAGAAATGTATGAAGGACCAGCTAACGCTACATTTTCTCACTTTTTCATGTATACACAGGGATTTCACAAATCTTTGGTCATGGAATCCATTAGTCAATCTGTATGAACTCTGTACTTAACAAACGTGTAGGAGAACCTCAAAGTATTAAAGTCCTCCTGGTATCGGCTCAAAGTGTGCTTTCATCTTCTAGGCCTTGCAAGCGCAGGAGAGGGAATCCCACGACATGCGGTTCAAGAGGCTCCAGCATTTGCTGCAGAAGAGCAACATCTACTCCAAATTCCTGTTGACTAAGATGGAGCAGCAACAGAGGGAGGTGTGTGTGTTTGCTGTTCAGTGTTTGTATCGCCGCCTTCTGGCTACATTTTTCATCTCACTCAATTTATTTTATCTGCAGGAGAACCTCAAGAAGGAGCGCTGTGGAAAGAAGACAAAGAAGGTGAGGGGAGCTTTACTGGCCAGAAAGCAGATATTGTAGTTCATCATTAAAGTATTTTTCTGTACTCATAGATTTGTATTTGTCTTCTTTAAATGCAGAACAAAAACAGTACCGAGCCAGAGAAAGGTGAGTAGATCTTCTGATATCTGCGCTGATGCTGGATATAGTGTTAAATGCACCAGTGAACACCAGCTCTAAGACATGAAGGGAATGTTTGTTGACCCTGTTCCCCGTTGCGCCAGATAAAAAGAGAAAGAGGGAGGACGACTACAAAATAGCAGACGTCATGTCAAAAGAAGTAAGGCCTCGTTGAACCTTTTTTGCATGTTTTGCAGATTTGACATTTACTGATCAGCTCATGGGTTCTGCTTCATTTTTGTCTTCCAGGAAATCCTGTCGCAATCAAAGAAGAAAAAAGTGGAGGACGTGGTAATGCGTCATTTTATCGTTTCAACATGTCAAATAGGGATGTCCAATATGTCAAATATACCCTGACACTTTGTCTTACTACTATTTCTCTATATATTTCTCTGTACATTCTCGGTAGCCCAAAAATGTAACTAAACCTGACACTTCTTACTAGGGCTGCAACTAACGATTATTTTGATAATCAATTAATCGGTCGATTATTTCTTCGATGAATCGGATTTAAAAAAAAAAAATTCCAACCCTTTATTCTAAAACAGAACCTCAAATTAGTCAGAACTAGTTCTCTATACTACACTCACAAACACACCCTCATGTTCACTTGAAGCATATTCATTAAATTATTACCATCATTGTAGTGCAAGTTAAGTAAATGCATACAGCTAAAAAACAACCAAGTGCTATAAGATTAATTTAAAATGGCATTTGTAAATAAATGCATTAGAGACTTCTTAGTTGATTTAATGGATCACCATGTGTCTCCCTTTACAGGCATAACATCAACTACCGTATAACCCACAGTATATGCGCAAGCGCACTGGACTACCATATATGACAGCATTAAAAAGTACAACACACACAAATATATTTGTCAACAATAACCGATATGGGACCAAGCACAAAATATCAGACAACACATTGAAAAATGAATGGTCCAAAAGAGGCGAGTAAATAAAAATGTGTCTTAGTCTTGCTAACTGCTTTACTGCTCTTATTAGCGAGCTAACGCTAGCTTGATCAGCTGGATGACGAGTAAACATGAGGCTTGTTACGTCAAAACGGGACAACGTGGACCGGGACCCCCCACGCTCGCACACCTTAGACGACTAGTCGAACAGACATCTCTCCCTGTGTCATGTGACTCACAACAACTGCCGGCTGCTCTTTCCTCTACGTCGGCTCGACGCCTTTATTTTTGCTCCGCGCGCATCTCCGCAACTCATTGAGTGACGTAATAATCGCACGACACAACGAATCGATAATGAAATTCGTTGCCAACGCTTTTAATAATCGATTTTATCGATTCGTTGTTGCAGCCCTACTTCTTACGCCAGTACACTCGTTTTTTCACGGTGTCTTAACTCGAGCTCACACAGGAAGACACTGTCGACATAGAAATGCAGACTGACCGTGCACTTTAGAAGGATGATGAACAATCGGGTGATCAGGGCTGGTTTTGGCGACATTGCAATCGTTCACTGTCTAATGTGGTAATTTTGCATACCATTCATTCCAAGATATGTAATAATCCAGTGCAGGGAATGGCAGTGTAGACTTTATACAAAAGTCAGTTCATTGAACGTGACGTATCCAGCCTTCTATTGTCAGGACAAGGCGCCACTCCTGAAGAAACTTGATGCCGAGGACATCGAGAAGATGTGCGACTCCAACCAAGACATCAAGAACCGCCTGTCTGAGGCGGTACGAGACAACGCCCAGCAGCTCCTGGATCCCCACAGGAGGGTGGCCGACCAGCCGGTGCCTGCCAAGCAGCCGCTGCTTTTTACCGGGGGGGTCATGAGGTCGTACCAGATAGAGGGCACGGAGTGGCTGAGGGTGAGCGGTCCACCGACAGCAAGTCTATTTAGTTGGAGGTGATGATGGTAAACTCTAGTTTCTTTCAGATGCTGTGGGAGAACGGCATCAACGGAATCCTAGCTGACGAGATGGGCCTGGGGAAGACCGTCCAGTGCATTGCTCATATCGCCATGATGATAGAGAAGAAAGTGATGGGCCCCTTCCTGGTGGTGGCCCCTCTCTCCACACTGCCTAACTGGATGAGTGAATTCAAGCGCTTCACGCCAGAGGTAGAGGGTGACCCTTGCATCCCGTCTCGTGGAGAAGAGGATGACCTTTCTTCGTTGGTGTGAACAAAATAGAGCCGTCAGTCTGTGGTTTGTTTGTCTCAGGTATCGGTGCTGCTCTACCATGGCCCCCAGCCAGACAGAGCCAAAGTTCTGAAGCAGATCCACAGACCTCAGGGGGCCCTCAGCATGTGCCCTGTGGTGCTCACCTCATTTGAAATCGCCATGATAGACAGAAAGTCGCTACAGGTAGGATCCCTGCGTGTCCTTTACCTCACCGCTATTATACAACCTTCCTGTCCATGAGCTTTTAGAGGAAGTCTCGTGGGTAGTCTCACTGTTTTCTGATGTTTTAGAGACCGAACCATCAATCTAGAAAACCGGTTAAATATTCTAAATAATTGAGCCTTTCACTGTTCTGGGGAGTGTTGTGTAAGAAGCCGCTTCATGTCCATACTGTTCATGCTCCGCTGTAGCGCTTCCAGTGGAAGTACCTGATCGTGGATGAGGGCCACAGGATCAAAAACCTCAACTGCCGGCTGGTGCGGGAGCTGAAGATGCTGCCCACCGACAACAAGCTGCTGCTGACCGGCACTCCACTGCAGAACAACCTGGCCGAGCTCTGGTCCCTCCTCAACTTCCTCCTGCCAGAAGTCTTTGACGACCTCAGGAGGTGTGTCTGTGGAAATCTGTATCAGAGTCTTGTATCTTCTTTAAAACCGCTTCAAATGTTTGACTCTAGAATGACTAGCCACACACTAAACCACGCATCAGCACCAGCATTGCTCTGATTGCTTTTTATTTTGGGTCGTTGTGGCGCAAGGGTTAGAGAAGGTGTGCTGGGAAGCACAAGGTTGTTGGTTCGAGTCCAGGCTTCCCCATGTTCTATGTCGAAGTGTCCCTTAACCCCTAAGGGTTACAAGGGTAACAAGACACTTAACCCCTAATTGCTCCCCAGGCAAAAATGTAAAAAAGGCCATGGGTTTAAAGTGTAATGTAAGTCGCTTTGGCTAAAAGCGTCTGCTAAATGACCTGTAATGTAATGTAATATTTGTGCTGCTGTCTGTCTGACCAAAAGAAGGATGTCAGCAACTTTGAGTAAATGAGCTTTGTCACCGCTCTCCCGACCTCCATCTTCTCCTGGTCCAACCCTTCTGACCGTCTTCTTCTCCTGGACCAACAACATATGAAGGATCTGTGTGGAGCCAAAAGTCTCTGTGGCTATGCATCCTGCTCAACTCTGTCCCGCCGGCTTTTTAGCGGTCAAATTAGATGCAAAAGGTTTCTCTTGTAACCGGGCACTGCTCAAAGGGGTTATTTTGGATGTGACCTCTCTGATTCATCTTGAGGTCCCCACATCTGTAACCCTTATCGATCTGTCTGCCGTGCAGCTTCGAGTCGTGGTTTGACATCAGCACCATCAGTGAGGCGGAGAACGTGATCGCTACTGAACGTGAGCAGAACATCCTGAGCATGCTGCACCAGGTCAGTCCCCACGAAGGGAGGCCGCACACTGCAGTTAAGGCTACCAGTGCGATGACTTTGAACTGCTGTCATGTTTTAATATAAAAGCGTTAGATTGCATGCATTATGGATGTATATTTATATATTTTTATACCGTAATATAAGTAGCATGTGATAAACTACATTTTACATGTTGACTCTGGAAGAAAAGAAGAAAAGTGCCTTGTCATCGTTTCAGATCCTGACTCCGTTCCTGCTGAGGAGGTTGAAGTCTGACGTGGCGCTGGAGGTTCCTCCGAAGAAGGAGATCATTGTGTACGCACCTCTGACAGCCAAGCAGGAGGCCTTCTACACCGCCACGGTCAACAAAACCCTCGCCAAGATGCTGGGCCAGGAAAAGGTCTGAGGACTCTAGATTGGTCTCTGTGGCTTCTGCCTCAATCACTTTTCAACCTCTTCCCATGTCGCCTGATCAGCTGATGTTGGTTAATGGCAGATACATGCTGATGATACTTTGTGAAGATAGTTTCTTTGATGTCAGTTATGAAAGCAGCAATTGGACTCTTGCTTCATCACTCTCACAGTCCGAGAGAGAAAGCCGAATGACCCGAATCCCGTTTATCTGTTCAGACGGAGGCTCCCGTGGTGTTTAAGTCCAGCGGGCGGCCCAAGCGCCACACCTCCGTGGTGAACTACAAAGAGAGGCATGGGGACACGCTGCATGACCTGGAGAAATATCTGGAGAAGGTCCAGAAGGAGCAGGAGCAGAGGTCAGCGCCTCCCAGCTGGGTTTCATTTCTCTACCTTATTGTCTGTTTTGTCTTCAGTTTCATAAACTGTCTGTTGGAAAGGCGCTGGTGCTGGCGGCCATGCTTTTAAGACTCTTCTACAGCAGCGGTTCCCAAACTCAAGAATGCCCGCGGCCCAATTTGAAATCTGAAAATCTTTCGCAGCCCACCCAAACCTTTAATCACAACTCTGATCAAAACATAATGAATAAACAACCTTAAGAATTTAACCAAAATCAAACATCCGCGAGCAAAAGTTTGTCTCCGCGAGGTATTTGCTTGCTTGCGAAACGTGAACTTTGTTGCTTGCGAGGAGAATATCTGCTCGCGCTCGAAGGAGTTTTCTACGCGCTCGCTGTTTTTCTTTTTGACAGTAAGGTGGAGACGGTGCTTTCAGGGTCCGATCGATGCCGCGAGGTGCGTCCGCTCCCGCCGCCCCCCCCCCCACCACCCACGCCTTAAATCTTCGACTTCTTTTAGAATAACTTATTTCCCCCGTTAAGATGGTTCAGCTACTGTAGAGAAAAGGGCACCGTCTCTCGCTCTTTAATCTCATGAAGTGCTCGGCGAGAACGACCGCTTTGTTTCTCCGACGCGCCCTGAAACAAGCTCCATATCTCACGCGCTTGAGTGCCCGCTCAGCATATCGCCGTCGTAGACCGAGCTTTGGCATGTTTGGCAGAGCGCCTTGAGCGCCGTGTACAACCAGTATGGATCAACCGATTAACCAATTGATCCATATACATAAGGCGCTCCAGATTATAAGGCACTGTCGTTTTTTGAGGAAATTAAAGCCTTTTAAGTGTGCCTTGGAGTGCGGAAAATGCGGTATTTACTTTAATACTACAAGAGGGCGCCAAGAGCAGCCGTTTCAAGCGAGAGCCTTATTGTTTTATTAATCTGTCCGTTTAAATTGTTTATTGTTTGCTTATTATTTATTAATTGCTTAATCAATTAATGTTTCACATAACTAATGTGCGGCATCATAAATATTTTTATATTAATTTCAAACTTTTAAAAAATGAAAATAATAATAAAAAACTATTTATTGTAAATGACCTCTCGCGGCCCACCTGCAGGCCCACACTTTGGGAATCGCTGTTCTACAGACATGATCCCCCCCCCCCCCCCCCTGATAGCGTAGAAAGCTCAACACGTGCCTGATGTCAGTCGAATGAGGCGTCATATGTTGTGCGTTTCTGTGCCCTCAAATCTGTTTTAGCCAACGAAAACCAGCTCAAAATTGAATAGCATACAGTGTCCAACAAAGGATAGAAGTTACCTTTTAGAACAACGCAGAAGGCCGGCGGTTGTTTCTTATGTAAATATCAGTCAAATTAATTCTATTCAGGACGACCGGAGGCCTTATAGCTTCAAAGTACATCCCGCATCCGGTTACAAAAGGTCCGGCCCCACAGTTGGGAACTTACTTTAAGCTTATGGGAGGTTGCTAAGCAACAGTTTCAAAACTGCTTGAACTTGGGACATCTCCTCAGTCCATCGTCTCTGGGAGCTCTCTGCCGGCCTCTCCTCATTTTACCGGTCCGCTCTCATCCACTGCCGCCACACATATGTTCATGCCCGGTCGCGTGTAACCGTAACGCAACTCCTCTCCTCCAGCTCGTCCCCGGTGGTGGCTATCCAGAGCCCGCTGGACGCCCTGATCAACCTAAAGCTGCAGAACATTCTCATGCTGCTGAAGAGGACGTGTAACCACCCCTACCTGGTGGAGTATCCGCTGGACCCCGCCACGCAGACGTTCAAGGTAACGCACAGCTGCAGGTGCCCTTTGAACCCCATCCCCTGCCACAGGCGTTACATATGAGACATGTTTGCCATTGCTTTAGATGAAAAGTTCAATTTAGAGTTATGATATTGACCACCGAAAAGCTTTACACAGATCTAAAAATCGTTTCATCTTCACACAACTTGTGCGTTCCCTTTTGCAGATTGACGAGCAGCTGGTGCGGAGCTCCGGGAAGTTTTTGATCCTGGACCGACTGCTGCCTGCACTGAAGGAGCGGGGGCACAAGGTGAGCTGGGACCCCCCACAAAGTGTCTCAAGCCAACGATGGGCGGGTGGTCTCTTCTGTTACTGTACTTCGTACCTTCAACCCCTGCTAAGTCTGCTAGTTCAGTTAAACAGAAATCCCGTATGCCCCTGTTCTCTATCAAAATCTGTGCGAGTGACTTTAAAATAAAAATGCCAAACAATAGTCGCACCAGCTTTTCTCCCCCGGGGTGTTTTCCACATTTTGTTATGTTACATCCTTATTCCAAAATGGATTACATTTTTTCCCTCACAATTACACACAACATCCCATAATGACAAAGTGAAATAAGCTTCATCAAATTTATTAAAAATAGTGGATGAAAATATAACTTGTAGTATATTCACAGCCTTTGCTCATTGCTTTGTTTGAGCGCCTGTGGCAGCAATTAAAGTCTTCTGGCATGTCATGCTACAAGCTTGGCACACTTGTTTCTGGGCAGTTTCTCTTTCATGTTCCGTCAGGTTTGATAGGGAACCCTATAATCCATAAAGCAATCACAGAGCTTTTTTTTGCAATGGAGATTGCAAGAAAAAATTGTGTCTGTCCCACTTTGAGTCTTTTGTATGACTGACTTGTCGTTTCAATGCAGGTTCTGATCTTCAGTCAGATGACGTCCATCCTGGACATCCTGATGGATTACTGCTACCTGCGGGGCTTCCAGTATAGCCGGCTGGACGGCACCATGTCCTACTCCGACCGGGCCGAGAATGTGAGTTTTGAAACCACAAGCTCAGCGGATGTCTGGTAGTTTTTAATAATTACTAAAATCACAGAGTTGTTTATGCCCCCCACCTCTCAGATGGACAAGTTCTCCAAAGATCCCGAGGTGTTCCTTTTTCTACTTAGCACCAGAGCCGGAGGACTCGGGATCAACCTGACGGCCGCCGACACAGTCATCATCTTTGACAGTGACTGGGTGGGTGCAGACGAACAAATCAAACTTCCTCAATTTGTTTAGTAAAGTCTGTGTTCTGATGCTTCGCGCCACCTTCTCAGAACCCCCAGGCCGACCTGCAGGCTCAGGACCGCTGCCACCGAATTGGGCAGACCAAGCCGGTGGTGGTGTACCGGCTGGTCACGGCCAATACCATCGACCAGAAGATCCTGGAGAGGGCCTCGGCCAAGAGAAAGCTGGAGCAGATGGTCATCCACAAAAGTGAGTATCAAAAGTGGTGTGCGTGTGTGCGTGCGTGTGCGCGTGCGTGTGTGTGTGTGTGTGTAATTTTTTTTGTGGCTCAAGGTGGTGCCACGGCCCATTGCATGGACCAGCTGCCTCCTGAGAGCCTTTTTTTTTTTTTTTAACCAGAGGTGGCCTCTTCAACAATGAATTTAATGTCCTAAACTTGTTTTGTTACTGTTAGTTTAAGCTCCATTCAGATATCATTTATTCTTAGTATTGAACATGGTTTGAGCTGACAACAGAAGTAAGATGGTTTTTGCTCCACAGATAAGTTCAAAGGTGTGAGGGCGGAGCTCAGCCACAGTAAGAGCTGCATTGATCTAGACGAGCTGAAGTCAATGCTCAAAGCCAGAAGCACAGAGAAGTAAGGACTACTCTACCTTCCGTTTCAGCTTGTATGTTTTTACATTGTACCTCTTACACCGACATGGGGGTTAACGTTCATCTTTGTCCCACTCAGGGAGGTGAAAGCATCGACAGGGAAAGTGATCAGCGACAAGGACCTGCTGCTCTTGCTGGATCGCAGCGACTTGCTCGGTGAGGAGATGTGTGTACCGAGCAGAAGCTCTCTGTGTCCGCGTTCCATGGGTCATGCAGTGTTTCCCACAGATCCAATGTCAATGTGTGGGGGCTGACCGGGGGAGGGGGGTTCGTACTAAAACACACATCACTAGTTGCTGTTACAGCCTACATGCGCAAAGTCTGCAACTTCTGTCAGAGCAATGGATTTTGCGGGGCTTACTAAAAAAAAGACACGTGCACGAGGTGTGTGTGTGTGACAGGGACTGAGGGAGAGCAGGGAAAGGAAATGCAGCTGAAGGAATACGCTGCGTGATTTAAATAGCGTTTAAAAATGTTCTATGTGTCGGGAGAACACTGGGTCATGTTTTTTTAAATCACTCGTCTCTGTTTTCTACCTGCATTAAAAGAGAAATTGAGTGGTATTAAATCCTGCATCTGGCTTCATTTCCTTTTGATGCCTCATTCAATTGTGATATTGAGCGATGGGTCTCTGTTTAATATGGAACCACTTTTGGGGTTGCTTTTTGTCCCTTCCTACAAACGAATGAGGCCGTTAACAGTAGTCGCAAAAACATGTGAGCTGATGAAAGTACTACTTGTGTTTTCAGGAAAAGCAAAGCAGAGCGGGAAGAAGGAAAAGGTGGGAGTCTTCAGAGTGGTCGATGGCAAGGACTCGTCGGAGATTGTGTTGACCTGAGGACCCTCGGGGGCCTCATGTGGACTTGGGATGACAGTTCCCTCTGAAAACAAAAGAAAGCTGAAGGTGCACCCAGATAGCAGGAAATATCCTGAAACTGCGGTTTGTTGAGCAAGCGTCTCCTCAGGCTACAAAAGTATTGTATGTGTAACCACTAAATTCTTTTGAAGTTGTGTCTTGTTTGGGTGTTTGACAGACGTTGCCGTTGTTTCAGTCAGTTTCATGCTAGAAGATCACAAAAAGAGATTCTGTTTGCTGCAATTCAAATGTGTGAAAACTGCTGGATGGAAGCTTTCATACACTTTTTTTTTATTTTTTTTTATGAAGTTCATATAGAACATGACTATTTTTGGCTTGGATTTGCTTTTGCTTCTGGTGTTCTCTTAATGTGTTCTGCCAGATGTAGTAACACGTTCTAGTCGGTTAGTCAAAAACGTTCAATTAATGTTGTAATGGCACTTTCTTGCAGGTTGGGCATACATGTTCTTTTGTGTTTTTATATGAATAAAGTACGATTTCATCATTTTCGTGTTGTGTTGGTCAAGTTTCTGTTGCGTAGAAACCCATTTTTCCTTGAAGCAACGTTCCAAAAAACACCTGCCATGACGCTAAAAAAATAATTTTATTTTCTGCTGGGATTTTTTTATTTGATAATTCAATGTTTGCGGTTGTAATTTGTTTTTCGTTCACGGCCGTGCTGAGAACCTATATAGGTGTTGTATGTGTGTAGCAGAGTCCTGGACTGTTAAACTAGTGATGTTCATAGTCATTGTCTTCCAACATAATGTAGTTGTTAAAACTGCTTATTTTTGTCAACCATTCATGCGCAAACTGATGGATCTCATGGTTGAAGGAGAGGAGTGAGGCAGACAGAGAAACACTGGAATGCGTGGACATAGCATACACTGGTACATTAAGACTCTGGCACTGTAATCTTCTGACTTTTTTTAATTTATTTTTTTACAAAATCAAGGTTTGGCGTGTTTACAATGTATCTTAACCGCTCTTGAACATATCTAAGTAACACAAGGAAAAGGCTACAGTAGGAGTGTGACGTGACCGTCCAATGTGCTTTGTAGTTTTGTTTCATGCTATGTACATTCCAGCCCTACAGGATCCGTTGCTGGGAATCAGGGTGTGGCCTCAAAGCGCTCTCACCTGCCCTCGTCTATTCATGCACTCTGACTCTCCCTGGATCACTGCAGGACTGACTCCGTCACAGACCTATAACAAGAGCACGGGGACTGCTGAATTGTTTATTGATAATAAGAGGACAGATTTTCTTCAGAGAATTATATTTTCACATTTTTTCTGATGTCAATTACAACTGAAAAGGTCTGTTTTCATCACTAGTTGGACTGAAAACCAGAGCAGCAGGAGTTTGATCACATTGCTAGATATTGTGACTAGTATATTTAAGCTATGGAGCGTATGAAGTTAGTCCTGCAGTACTTTCAGTCCAACTCTGAGTCCATCTCCAATGGGATCTGCATCGTCCTGGCCTTAGTCAGTGTCAAGCTCTACACCAGCTTTGACTTTAACTGCCCGTGCCTTCCTCAGTACAACAAACTCTACTCTCTGGGAGTGATGATCGTCCCGCCTGTCATACTGTTCTTTGTCGGGGTCCTGGTCAACCGTCATACAGGCGTCATGATGGACGAGTGGATGAGACCCGTCGGGGAAAGATCCAAAAATCCTGCTGTGGTAAAGTGAGTCCAAGATTGACTTTTTTTTTAACCAAAACAGTATGTACTCTCAGTGCAGTTGCTATTTACTCAGTGTGGCCGATTTAGGATGCCAGAGCATCTTCGTCCCTGCTACCGGAATGACAATGGGTGAAAACGATTCCGTTTGTGGTCCCAATTGTTCATAACTATCCTCAAATGGCTCATGCCCGCTGTGTGTGAAAGGTTAGATGGAGTCCTGATGGAGGTGTATGATGGTAATGAGTAGAATGACAAGGAATGTAAAAGCGCTTTGAGCAAACCGAAGACTGGAAAAGCTCTTGCCATTTAGTATCGACCTGCAGCAGAGCAGACTTTGGTTTGATGCAGGTAAACGGTCAGTGGAAAGAAAAGGAGGCAGAGTGCATTGACCAAATCTTTGAAACCACTGGCTATTGTTAGACAATGACCACACATTGAATTGTCTTAAGATGCTCATAAACTTTCAATTTATGAAACAATTTGGCCGTATACATGATCTCTCACCTCCACCTTTAGACACACGTCTCGAATTGCTCATGGGAATGCAAAAAGTGAGTTGCAGAAGAGGAAGTCTAGGCCTAGATATTCATGGGCAACAGCCACAGATCCATCCCCTTGCCGGGAATGCTTATCTGTATTCAGACTGTCAGCTGATGAGTTGTGAGGACTCTTCCTAACCATTCACACCGGTCCATACACAGCAGGGGATCGAACCCTGATGAAGAGCGTCCCTGCTATACCACTTGGCCCAGAAGGAGATATATAGACTTCAGTATCATCTGCATAATTAAATGGGGAATATTGTTATTATGAGCGAGGTGAATTAGAACATGGCAGAGAATTACCCGTAGGATCAACGTAGGACTCGTGCTTCATCCATGACTCGCCCCGGTTTGGCCAGATGATCACCAGATGATTGTCTGTAACAGTTTATAATTAAAGCATGATGGAATTAGCGAGCTATCTATTTAACCTACAAACAGCTGGCTAGTTAGCTTGCTTTCTAATTCCACCATGCTTTCATGCCACACTTGTTTAATGTGCCAGCTGGTACTAACGGCTCTTTCGCCTCACTCCCTGCCGCTCTGGAGAAGGAATGGCTATCCAGCTAAGTAGCCAATTGCGCCATTGTCTTTTGCCTTTTTATGTCAATTCTGCCTCATATTGTTGGACCCCATAGGATGTCTTGAACTCGTCAGAGCGGATGTTAAGATATCAAATGCTCCAGAAGAACAACCATTGAAGTCTTGGCTGTATCTGTGCTTAGAAGAAGCACTTTTTAAAACTTAAATTAGAGCAGTTTAAATATACTCATGACAGAAACCAAAATGGAATATACTATAAAGGCCATTTGTAACAGCAAATGATTAAGTTGATAAACTGTTTTAGAAGTTATCACCAATGAAGATGTAATAACTGAGGACAGCAGTATCCACGGAGGTATTTTAATTACCACTGTTTAATGCCACTTTTTACATCCAGGATTTTCTTTAGATACATATTAAATGATTCTTATTGGACAAAGATTGCAATCTTGCTTGTTATGCATTGATAACAAATAACGTTGTTTATCCTTTAAATCCAGTATTCATTTGGCACTATATCGTCCAAATGACACATGACAAATCAAATTTGGCAAAATAACTACTATGGCTGTACTTTTCCTGCACATGCTGCTGACGCAACGCTAAAGGGTCAAACTGTGGAAAGTATGAGCATGAAAACTCATCCATGTCCCCTTGTAGGTATCTGTTCTCAGCCATGCTACAGAGGGCGATGCTGGCACCGATGGTGTGGATACTGGTCAGTTTGATGGATGGAAAGATCTTCATCTGTGCCTTCAGTGTTAGTGTAGACCCTGCACTCTTCTCAGGTAATTCCAAAAAATAAATATTCAATGCAATCTACTCTAACACTGTGTTTTTGCATGATTGGTCTGTTTGATGTATAATGTAATATTTTTGCAGGTTTGCCCAACAATACAGGTCTGGATGTGATCAAAGTCATGGCCAAAGTGCCCTGCAAGGAGGACATTATCTTCAGGAACAGTTCTTTCCGCAAAGCTGTCTCCCGTTACGTTCGTTGCTATTCACAAGTAAGCTGTTACGACCCTAATGTGCATACACCTAAATGGAGCTTTTGTCACACTCACCTGCCAGCTCGATCTCCCACACCTGCCCCGCATCCACAATCAGTCACTCTCCTGCCTTCCACACCTGCTTCGCATTCACAATCAGCCCCACTACATAAGCACTGCACACCCAGCCTGTCATTGCCAGATTGTTCTTTGCGTCATGCAAGTCTCTCCAGCACTCTACTTTGGACTGATCTCCCGGTTTCGACCCTGCCTGTTCCCGACCCGTTCGTCTGTCTCCGCCCCGGTGAGCACCTCAGCCTTCTGTCCCCGACCACGAGTCCTGCCTGAGCGCCTCGGGTTTCTGTTGCCTGCTCCTTGGACTGCCCGGCGCCTCTGCCCCTGTGCTCCGGATTCCCGACCGGCCCAGCGATCGCACCAGCTGTCTCCCGGCATCTCCTCCCCGATCCTGAGGACCACACTCTGCTCTGCCTCTCATTGTGCCCGAACGCCTGCTGTGAGGCCGTGTTCAATAAAAGCGTTAACCAAACACTCCGTGCCGTTGTGCTGCATTTGGCTCCGCCTCACGCCCGTGTCAGTACAATCTGGCCACAAAATGGAGCCAGCGCACACCGGTTCACCACAGCAGCGCTTGGAGAGAGTCGAGGGCGCCCTCGTGCAGCACGAGGCGCTCCTCACATCCACCCTGGCTGAGGTGCGCCAGGCGACAGCCGCCAGCCAACAGGCCAGCGCCGCTCAGGAGCAGACGTTCACCGCCCTGGTCGCCCAGATCCAGCAGCTCGCCCTAAGGATCTCCCAGACGCAATCACAGAGCCCTCCAGCTGCACCCCCCGCAGCTGTATCTCCGCCGACTCCCCCCGGCCCCGCCTTCGAAGCCCGGATTGGAGCCCCAGAGCGCTACGGCGGAGACCCAGAGAGCTGCTCTCCCTTCTTGACTAACTGCTCCATCCTCTTCGCCCTGCAGCCCCACACCTTCGCCTCCGAGGAGGCCCGGGTGGCCTTCGCCATTAATCACCTCACTGGGAGGGCCCGTCTGTGGGGAACGGCGGAATGGGAACGCCAGACCCCCGTCTGCAGGTCATTCCAGTCCTTCGCCGCCGAGGTCCGAAAGGTTTTCGGTCCGCCAGCTCTAGGCCCAGAGGCCGCCGGCGGTCTCCTGAACCTCCACCAGGGAGACCGTGCGGTGGCAGATTACGCCGTAGATTTTCGCACCCGAGCCCGCCAGAGCAGGTGGAACACCGAGGCTCAGTGCGACGCCTACCTGCGGGGCCTGGAGAACTATGTAAAGGACGAGCTGGTGTCCTTCGACCTACCCACCTCCCTGGATGAGCTCCTAGAGCTAACACGGCGAGTTGACCGACGCATCCTTGCCCGGCAGGAGGAGAGGCGACAGAGAGGGGCAGAGAGGGGCTGGACGCCTCCTGTCATCAAGTCTGCCTGAAACAAGCCCTCGTCCCCCAGCCCCCATCCTGCCCCACTTCAGCCCCGGACCTGGCGGGCGTCCCGGCTGAGTACCACGATTTCAAGGAGGTCTTCAGCAAGTCAAAGGCTACCTCCCTGCCTCCGCACCGGCCGTATGACTGTGCCATTGACCTCCTCCCTGGCACTAGCCCTCCCCGGGGCCGCCTCTACTCCATCTCGGCCCCAGAGAGAAAGGCAATGGAGGATTACATCAACGACTCTCTGTCCGCCGGCATCATCCGTCCCTCCTCGTCCCCGGCTGGGGCTGGGTTCTTTTTTGTCCAAAAGAAGGACAAAACGTTGAGACCCTGCATAGACTATCGGGGCCTCAATGACATCACGGTAAAGAACCGATACCCGCTCCCCCTCATCTCCTCAGCGTTTGAACTCCTGGAGGGGGCCACCTGGTCCGCATCCGAGAAGGGGACAAGTGGAAGACGGCTTTCAATACGCCCACCGGCCACTACGAGTATCTGGTCATGCCCTTTGGCCTCACCAACGCCCCTGCCGTCTTCCAGTCCATGGTCAACGACGTCCTACGGGACATGCTTGACAAGTTTGTCTTTGTAGACCTGGACGACATCCTAGTGTTTTCCAGATCCATGGAGGACCACATCCACCACGTCCAGGCGGTCCTCCAAAGACTCTTGCAAAACTCGCACTTCTCGTCAAGGCCGAGAAGTGCGAGTTCCATGCCCCCTCTGTGTCCTTCCTTGGGTACATTATCGGTCAGGGGGACATCCGCATGGATCCGGCTAAAGTATCCTCTGTCACCGCCTGGCCGGTGCCAGAGTCTCGAAAACAGCTACAACGGTTCCTGGGGTTCGCGAACTTCTATCGCCGCTTCATCCGAGGGTACAGCACGGTGGCAGCCCCTCTCACGGCTCTCACCTCCCCCAAGGTCCCTTTCCGATGGTCACCTGCGGCCGACTCCGCCTTCCAGACCCTGAAGAGCCGCTTCACCTCCGCCCCCATCCTGCGCATGCCCGACCCAGAAAGGCAATTTGTAGTGGAGGTGGATGCCTCGGATGTTGGCGTAGGGGCCGTCCTGTCGCAGCGGACCGCCGACGACCAGAAACTCCACCCCTGCGCCTTCTTCTCTCGGCGTCTGAACCCCGCAGAGAGAAACTACGACATCGGCAACCGAGAGCTCCTGGCAGTAAAGGCGGCTCTGGAGGAGTGGCGGCACTGGCTGGAGGGGGCCAAACAGCCGTTTCTGGTGTGGACCGACCACAAGAACCTGGAGTACATCAGGACGGCCAGAAGACTAAATTCCAGGCAGGCCCGCTGGTCACTCTTCCTCACCCGTTTCAATTTCACCCTCTCCTATCGACCAGGTAGCCGCAACATCAAGCCCGACGCCCTGTCTCGCCTATTTCTGAAGGGGGAGGAGGAGGGTACTACAGAGGCGGACACCATCCTTCCCCCGGCTCGCCTGGCGGCTGCCATCACCTGGGGAGTCGAGGAGAGGGTCCAGGCAGCTCTGGAGGGGCAGCTCTGGAGGGGCAGCTCTGGAGGGGCAGCTCTGGAGGGGCAGCTCTGGAGGAGCAGCCAGGTCCCAGCGCCTGCCCACCCAACCGACTCTTTGTCCCGAGGCAACTCCGGTCTGAGGTGCTCCAGTGGGGCCACAGTACCCATCTCACCTGCCACCCAGGGATCCAGCGAACCAGAGAATTTCTCCGGCACCGGTTCTGGTGGGAGTCCCTGAACAAAGACGTCCAGGAGTTTGTAAAAGCCTGCCCCGTCTGCAACCGGAACAAGTCCTCCAACCAGGCTCGGGCTGGAATCCTGCACCTGCTTCCCGTCCCTCATCGCCCCTGGTCCCACGTATCCCTGGACTTTGTAACCGGCCTACCACCATCTCAAGGGCACACCGCCATCCTGGTGATCCACGGTGGTGGACCGGTTCAGCAAGATGGCGCATTTTATCTCCTTGCCTAAGTTGCTGTCGGCCAAAGAGACTGCGGAGGTGGTCCTTCGCGACGTGTTTAGACTCCATGGTCTCCCTGTGGACGTGGTCTCGGACCGGGGACCACAGTTCACCTCTGTCTTTTGGAAGGAGTTCTGCACCCTCATCGGGGCCACGGCCAGCCTGTCCTCGGGGTTCCACCCCCAGTCCAATGGCCAGACGGAGCGGAAGAACCAGGAGATGGAGGCGTCTCTCCGGTGTATGGTCCCCAGCCACCCGTCGACCTGGTCCAAGCAACTAATGTGGGTGGAGTACGCCCACAATACACTGGTCAGCTCGTCCACCGGCCTCTCCCCGTTCCAGTGCGCCCATGGGTACCAACCACCCCTGTTCCCAGCCCTGGAGAGGGAGGTCTCCTGCCCAGCCGTACAGACCTTCATCCGCCAATGTCGGCGCACCTGGGCCCAGGCCAGGGCCAACCTCCAGCGGTCGGTGACTAGATACTCCGCCTCTGCTAACCGCTGACGCTCCACTGCGCCCACTTACCGGGTGGGCCAGAAGGTCTTGTTATCGACCCAGGACCTTCCCCTTCGTGACGACTCCAAGAAACTGGCCCAGAAGTTCACTGGCCCATTTGAGATCCTCAAGATCATCAACCCTGCTGCAGTCCGCCTGAAGCTTCCGCGGACCATGCGTGTCCACCCTACATTCCACGTCTCTAAGATTAAGCCTGTGGTGGAGAGCCCTCTCGTTTCCGCCACCCCGGCCCCCCCACCTCCCCGCATTGTAGATGGAGGCCCTGTCTATTCTGTCCGACGCCTCATCCGCTCTCGCCGCCGGGGGAGGGGCATCCAGTACCTGGTCGACTGGGAGGGCTATGGTCCGGAGACAAGATCCTGGGTCCCCGCCGGTTTTATTGTCGACCCTCGGCTTATCACCAGCTTCCACCAGCAACACCCGGACCAGCCCTCCAGGACCCGCCCAGCAGCCAAGAGGCTCCGTCCCAATACCCGCACTGCTACGTCCACAGCCGGCCCTGACGAGACGGAGGACTGCTTCTCATCATCGGAGGAGTCCGCAGAGGAGAACGGCGCGGCCTCCCCCCGGATCCCCGTCCACCCGGCTCACAATTCAGACCGGGCCGAGTCTCAGGAGTATTGAGGAGACTCCTCCAGAACCCTCCCCTCCCTCCCTCGGTGACATCTTTTTGGGACGTCAGGAGACGCCCCTTGAGGGGGGGGTTCTGTCACACTCACCTGCCAGCTCGATCTCCCACACCTGCCCCGCATCCACAATCAGTCACTCTCCTGCCTTCCACACCTGCTTCGCATTCACAATCAGCCCCACTACATAAGCACTGCACACCCAGCCTGTCATTGCCAGATTGTTCTTTGCGTCATGCAAGTCTCTCCAGCACTCTACTGCCTGTTCCCGACCCGTTCGTCTGTCTCCGCCCCGGTGAGCACCTCAGCCTTCTGTCCCCGACCACGAGTCCTGCCTGAGCGCCTCGGGTTTCTGTTGCCTGCTCCTTGGACTGCCCGGCGCCTCTGCCCCTGTGCTCCGGATTCCCGACCGGCCCAGCGATCGCACCAGCTGTCTCCCGGCATCTCCTCCCCGATCCTGAGGAACGCACTCTGCTCTGCCTCTCATTGTGCCTGAACGCCTGCTGTGAGGCCGTGTTCAATAAAAGTGTTAACCAAACACTCCGTGCCGTTGTGCTGCATTTCGCTCCGCCTCACGCCCGTGTCAGTTTTGTACTTTTCATGTGATGAAGCCCACGAGTCAGCAGTATGCTCTGTAAGATCTGGGCTGAAGGTTAGTCTCTTGTCTCTCTGGTTTGTTGGTATATGTAGTATCGTGTATTAACTAATCATATTCAATCACGGTTTGGGATATATTTATTTAATCTTTATTTTTTTAACCTCCATCTTGAATTGTCACCAACTTTGGAGATAGTGACGCATTGAATGGGCTTGACATTCCATGAGATGGGGCTATATTGTGATTGACCCTTCAGGGGGTCCCGCTCCCATATCTACTCTGTGAAGTTATCGGAAGTAATGTGGAGCCCAGGCTGTCACCAATGCCCCCCCCTGAAGAGATCTTTTGAACGTCCGCTGCAAATATTAGCGTGATCAGTTCTTACATGGGGTAGGGAGTATCGCTATTTCACATTTAACTATGACTAGCTGCTACTTGAAATTGAAAAGAATCAGAAATGAGTCTGAGCTGGTCTATACTAAACTACCCAACATACTCAACCTCCATTGCTGAATTGTTGTCGCACTAGTCACGCCATCAGGGTTTTGTAACCTCTGCATGTAGTATTATGAACATCTGGTGCTTTTGTTGGTGTCTGGTGTTTGCTAACCATCCTCACTCTGTCCAGGCAATCGGCTGGTCCATCCTCCTCTTCCTGATTGTATTGGGAGCAGTGGGACGCATTGTCAAGCCCTATTTCGACAACCATGCCATGTCCCTGCAGACACGCTACTGGAGCAACTACCTCGACGTGGAGCAGAAGCTCTTCGACGAGACCTGCGTCCTGCATGCCCGCGACTTCGCCCGCAAGTGCGTGGTGCAGTTCTTCGAGAACATGAGGGAGGATGCAGTGCTGCGTCTTCCCTACCCGTTCTTCGTCGCCAACCCCAAAGGGGAGTGGGAGTGGGAGGAAAGGGAGGAGAGACTCTACGGGATCTCTAAGCAGGAACAGGTTGACCAGCTGCTCGACAAGTGGTACCACAGTAAACCTGAGCTGGATGTCACCAGGATAGCCCACAGGCCCCAAACGTGTGTTACCTGGGAGGACCTTAGAGGGAAGACCATGTACTCGGATGTGTAGGACACACTGCCGTAAAAGCTGCAGGGGGGGTCAGGGTCAGAAATCAGGGGCATTTTTTCCCCATTTTTTTCCTTTATTCTTACCCTGATCTACGTATATGGGTTGTAAGTGCTCTCTCATCCTTTGTCTCATCCTCATCCGTCCCTTTCTCTGTGACTTCCCTCTTTGGTAACCTACCAGTCTATTAGAAATAATCGCTGTGGGATATCTTTCCTTCACCAAAGCTGAAGCTGAAGCTTTTTCTAGTCTGACTTTTTCTGGCGGGCGTACGGCCATGCAGTAGTAGGTCTTGTTAAAGTCAGACTGAGTTAAAGTCAGACTGGTCAAAGGTCCACTGACTAATGATTCAGAAAATGGACTCCATCTTGTCATTGAGCAAATGTAGCTGCCACAGAGATCCTCACAGGAGTGAATAATTCCCTCAGAAGGCATTTATTCTTATGTGTTTTTGACTTATAAAAACAATGGGCACTGTCTGGGCCAAACCGTGTTTGGAGGGTAATTTGACTATGCCAGTGTGAGGTCTCGCTAGTTTACATATAGGTTGTTCACAGATTGCTGGAAACATGCAAAAGGACTTATGGAATCAAATAACTATATGACTCTCTCAAAGATGATTTAGAACTTTTATTTTATTTAGAAGTTTTGGCCATGGGGTTAGCTTCTGTTCCATTTCTGTGTTTTTGTTCTTTTTGTACTTTTCATGTGCTGTCAGTGCTTCTCACAGCTAATAGTTTTTTTTTTCAATGGTGGTTGGCAGTTCTGCATCGGCTCGTGTGTTTAACCAATGTACAGAAATATTTCTTAATTTTCTTTTTGTTCGAGTACCTATTAAAAACATCCCCTCAAAACGGAATAGCTTCGATTTTTTTTCTTTTGTAAACGTAATGTAAACAAACAAATGTAAACACAATAAAAACAGGATTTTATAACTTTGCCTTTAGCGACATAATATCCACAAACCATTGGTATCATGCAGTTTCATGTAATGTTCTCATGGGAATGCCATTTGTTTGACAGGTATTCTGTCATAAACCAAAGCATTCAAAAAGCTATGGATGTTGAGGTTATTATGGTACAAGTCATCCAATGGTGAGATCTTTGTAATATACACAATACACATTTCAGCCAATTTGTTCCTGTGTATGGCAAACAGTAGTTTTGTCAAAATGTATTGTGGTCAGTGGTGAGAGACTAACCCTATAACCTGTCGGATCAGTACATGAGAAAAAGAGTGTACAGGTCCAGAACTGGATCTTTTGGGATTTTTTTACAAATGAGAAGGAAGGGTAAGAAGTTAGCCTAACTTTTTTTAAATAGTTGGAATTGCCTGTCGATTATTTTACCTTGGTATTCATAAGTTTGCGCTTGCAAATACGAGCCGTTAAGCCAGAGTCAGACCGAGCATTTGGAGCAGCCACCCAATTCCTGGTTTGCCCCGCTTTTTTCATTTATTCTTTCTCACTATGGCTCTGTGAGCAACACATGCTTTCATTTACAGACCACATTTTTTTCCATTGAGGAGGAAACTGGAGGGCAGTTCCTGACTATGACTCATCACTGGTGCCCGGGCTGCTAACACAGCCTCAAAGCAGAGACTTCTCTTTCCAGTCTTATGTATAAAGTTGACTTTGTTTTGGGACTCATCTTTCAACAGTCTTTGCTGTTGATGTTAAAAATGGATTAAAAAGTCTGAGTCATATGACTAGCCTCAGGACACTGGCAAAGCGTGAGTTTGCATGACTTCCTTCTTTGCTTTTAATGTGGCAGCATTGATACATATTAACATATTAATTTGAGTATGTTTCCCTGAGTTTCTGGCTTCTTTTTTGATTGAGGATGACCTAATTGTTTGACTTTTTCTGCAACTTAAGTGAATCCGTTGTGTCACAAAACATTTCCATTTCTTTCTTTGTCTGCAGCGCGACATTCCTGTAAAGCAAACTCCTGTAAGTGTTATCCTCAGAAAACACCCAACATCCAAACATGGCTGCTGCAGCACTCGTCACAGAGAACTTTAAGTTTATGGCCCTTTTCTTCAAGAGTAAAGACGTGATGATCTTCAACGGTCTGATAGCTCTGGGCACTGTGGCCAGCCAGACGGCATTCAACGTTTTTGCTTTTGAATGTCCTTGTTCGTCCGGGAGGAACTACCTCTACGGCCTCGCTGCTATAGGTGTACCAGCACTGGCCTTTTTTCTGGTGGGAATAATGATGAACAAGAGCACGTGGGACCTTGTGTCTGAGTGTCGGCTCAGAAGTTGCCGAAAGCTGTCTGGAGCCTCTGCCTTCGCGCTGCTGGGAACCATTGTTGGTCGGAGTCTGGTGGCTCCAATAACATGGGTGGTTTTCTCTTTGCTCCAGGGCCAGGCGTACATGTGTGCCCTCAGCGAATTTGTCGATCCCAGCACGCTAGAGGGCTTCCCCTCAGGTCGTGGGTTGAAAGTAATGGCTAAATTCCCATGTCGAGACAGTGTTCCAACGGAACTGCGAAGCTTCTGGGCCGAAGTTGAGCGACGACTGAAATATGAATCCCAGGTAATAGAGGTATTTGATTTGTGTTCTTGCAGGACAATCCATTGACATTTCACAAGCTATTACACATGTGAAATATCAATTATACCGAAAACCCATGCCAGGAAAACATTTTGGGAGGGATTTATTTGCTTATATTCTTAAAAATAATGAAGCCTAAAATAAAAACACTTCCTCATATATATGTATGACACAGGACACAGTTAGCCTAGCTTACCTTATACACTAGAAGCACATGGAAACAGCTTGCCTGACTCTGTAAACAACATAAAAGTACACCTACAATCTTGCACGCTAAGAGTGTTTATGGTTAAAACATTTGTATCCATCTGCCTACTGTTTCTGTGCATAATGTCAGTCTTTAGTGCAGGTGGCCAGATACATTGCGTTTACTGAGGATGTTTAGACAAGTATAAATATTAACCAACAAACATAAATGCACCTGATCCATTTTATCGGAACCTGCAAATGGTGTCCACCTCAATGATCTCTGATCCTTTCAGCTCTTTGGCTGGCTGCTGGTGGCAGTAATGTCCCTGACGGTGTTTCTGATGCTGTGCATGAAGCGCTGCTCCTCTCCACTTGGCCACCAGCAAGAGGATTACTGGTCTCAGTATCGCTCCAGCGAAAAGACCCTCTTCCAGCGCACTGCAGCTGTCCATGCCCGCCTACTGGCTGCGGAGAACGTTAAAAGCTTCTTCGGCTTTGTGGCTCTGGAGGCGGAGGAGAAGGAGCAGCTGGCTGAGCACCAGAGGGCCGGTCCCATCTGCAGCACCAACTGGAACAGAGTGACTGGTATCTACCTATACAGGGAGAAGACAGGACTGCCTCTGTACAGCAGGCTCAACAAATGGGCCACGTACAGCCTGGAGAATAACATGGAGGCCATAGAAAAAGAGATGGACATGCTCATCTGAGCAGATCCTTACTGAACGTCAGTGTGCTTCAAACAGAGCGGGTCATCAAATATCGGTCGTCTTCTCTTTTCCTATTTCAGAACTTTTTCCCACAGTCTTAGTGACTTTCTGAATGTCGAAAATCATATGTCTGTCGATTTCAAGACCCATTTAGTTTGAAGCCTACTTAAACCTTTATGTCATTATCAATACAACCTGTTAATCCCCAAAGTTCCACACATGTTTGGTAGATTACTGACTGCTACGCTACTACGTGTAGTGTGGCAGACTAAATGTTCAAAGTGTTTGTTGACAAGCCTGCTGACTTTGCCCGGCTCATTTGCAAATCAAATTCGAGGCAGCCTGAAACTAGTCAAGGAAAAAGCTTATCACTACCAGGTACAAATGGAATTAAGTCAGGTTCCTCATTGAATGATACAGTTTAGCTATCACTAGGTATGACATTTTATGTTTTCCGGATTTAGTCATCTTGTGTGGGGTATGTAAAGTCCATTTATAACTCAAACATCTGCTGAGCAGTCCTTTTTTTGAATGTCTCATCAATAAAGGAGGAGGTGTTGTTGTGTATTAAATCCCCAACATTCAACTTGGCATGGTACCTGTTTCTGTACTGATGGTTTATTCAAAAACAAGAATTGGGTTGAATAGATTTTAATGCTCTGGTTTGCAAGTCAATGGAAAGAGGCCTGCGTCCACATCCTGTACGTGCGGCGGGGAACACGGAGAACGAAGACAAACCAATGGGTAACCTATAAGCTTGTTCCATTTACCTCCAATAGTTAAAGAACCTCTTAATTCTAGGATTTTTTTTCAAAGATTGTCTCTCCCATTGTACATCAAATTATGTACTCGTAACAATATTGCAGGGTTTATTTTAGGGACATTTTGTTAAGATCCCTGCGGTCTAAGAGACTGCTGTGTGTCTGTCATTGTCTGGAGACTCCACCCTCTGCTGCTTCTCGACCTTTTTGTCCTATCATCTCCCTGATTGTTTGCCTGATTTGTTTCTCCTGTGTCTTGTTAGTTCCCCTTTCAATATATAGGTGTGTCTTTCTGTAGTCCTCTGTCAGATTGTAATTCAGTGTGTGAGAACCTATGCCTGAACCCTGCATTTCTTGAGTACTTGCCATGCTAAAGATTTTTCTGATTTTTGTCCTTTAATCCTTTTCTGGAGCATCCTGTTTATGAAGAAGTGGTTTTACTTCGCAGGGTGTTAAACACGTCGGTAGAGAATATTGAGGCCCCGATCAGATATATTGTCATTTCCAGATAACTACTTGTTTGAACGGTATCGTTTTTCTAACTCTAAACAGCTGTTCTGGCCTGAAAACTCTGAGTTTCCGATCTCAGGGTAAATCAACTCAGAGTTTAGGGTTTGAGAGTTTGTTAAACCAGGTTTCAGAACAGCTATTTAGAGTTGGTTCACTGAACCCATAATCAGAAAAAAAGAAACTGCGTGGGAGAAAATTGCTGTGAGTTCCAATATAGTGTTGTCAGTTAATATTTAATGTACACACTAGGACAGAGGAGAGAGAGGCGGCTCTAGTAGTGTGGAGTTGCTCTGAGACAGCAAGGAGAGCAGTCTCTGTGGAATGGCCTTGAAGCCTGACTGGTGGGGGTCAAGGAGGTTGTTACGGTGGAGATAGGAGGAGAGTTGGTTAAAGATCGCACGTTCAAGAGTTTTGGACAAAAAGGGGAGAAGAGAGACCGGTCTGTAGTTTGAGGGTTGAGGGTGGGTTTCTTCAGGAGTGGGTTAGCTCTTGCCTCCTTCAGAGAATTGGAAAAGTAGCCAGATAACAGAGCATTGTTGATGAGACAGGTGAGGAAAGGAAGTCATGAGCGATAGAATAGGGTCAAGAGGGCAGGTGGTCGGACGGGCAGAGGTTACTAGGGTAAGAATTTGGTTAGAACACAGGGGGGTGAAGGAGGAAAGTGAGGGCGATAGAGGTGAAGACGGTGGGAAACAAGTAGTAGGAGGTGGGTTTGAGAAAGAGGAGCATATGTCAGCTTTTTCTTTTGGTAAAGTAGTTGACAAAGTCTCCCGGAAGAAGGGGGGAGGTGGGAGGAGGACTAGGGGGTTCGAGGAGGTTGGAGAAGATAGAAAAGAGCTTTTTGGGGTTAGAAAATGAAGATTCAATTCTGGATTGGTAGAAAGAGACTATTATTAAGCACTATTAATGTGATATTACAAAACATTGTTTTTATAAAAAACATCTTCAAAGGGATCACTATTATTTTCGTATTCATATTAATCTAATCCATGAAGATCTGAAGCTCTGTGATCACTGCTCTCCCAACTCACTTCGCTGACGGTCAACTTTCTCTCTGCTGTTTTCTCTCTCTTCTCTCCGTGTTTTTCTTTAAATTGGAAGCTTGAGTTGGTAGGTCGATTGCAGAACGAGTATTCTGCACTGAGGTGCCACACAGTTGCCGCACACAGACTCTGATTTGGCGTATGGGGCGGGGCAACAACTGGGAGGGGCGTGTAATCGTGAGTGACAGCTTCCTCAACCGCATTGCCTTCAGGAGACGTTTTGTTCGTTTTTCAAATAAACACAACTTTTGACCTGAGATGTGGCTCCACACTATTGATTATATCGTATTTTGTCATACTCTATGTATTTGTTTCCAGGCTACAGTGCCTACTTCAACAACAAATAAAGCGAACAGAAAGTACTCCGGAACAGACGGTGGCGGTAATGAGGCTTGAAGGAGTAGACCTGTGAAATGAATCGGTGACGAAAACATTTCTGCGCATGCGTAAAAGAGTGTTAACTTTTAGGCGGGCTGATTCGAAAACGTAAACAAGATGTCTCTGATATCCGCGTTGCAGTTTCTGAGGTTAAATGAAATCCCCGAAGGTAAATAATGTGCATTTCTGTTCGTTGTAAACACTATTTTCTATCATATTCCATACGACGCTTAATAGAATGTGTCCAATGTTGACAAGTCGCGGAGCTCTTTCCCGGGTTTTGTGCCCTCTCCCGAGTAACGTCACTGGAATGAACTCCACTCACATAACGTTACTCCAATTAACTTCATTAAATAATTAACTTAACTTATTACCCTGCGAGTTGGGCTTCTCCAGACCAAGTTTAGCATTAACTAATAAGTACCGACGTAAAGAATGCATGTGTATAGTTACTGCTGAGCTCTTTGAAGCCACGTTGTAAGGTTATTTAGACGACAGCGCCTCCCGATTACGTCATGGCTCGTTTTAGCAGCTGCTTTAACAGATCTTTGACAATAAAACCTTTGCCAGCTCTTTTCCCCGGAAGGATGGAGCTCTCCCAGTTTCAGAACAACAGTCTGTCCAGTTACTGCTCACTTGGGCGCTTAATGTGATAGTTGTGATTTGCAGCCTGGGTGGACGCAGTGTGGGACTTGGAGTTCACAAAGAGAATACCACTGGATGACACCATAGCGGGCCACCTCTCAGTCAGTGGAGACAAGGACTTCAGAACTTTGTACCAGTGCCTGCTGGACCATGCTGCGGAGCAACAAGATGGAACTTTACAGGTAAACTCAATCTCCTCTATGTCCTCTGTACCAGTGAACACAAATCCAAACATATGTGTACGGAAATGCAGCTGGCCTAGTGGCCCCCTAAAGGCTGTGTGCTCTAAGGCTTTAGCCTTTCTGGCAGCAGCATTAAACCGTGTCTTTGCACTGCAGAGCATTTGGTCAATTCTGGGAGAGAACCACGTGTCCATAAAGTCCCTGGTGGCCGTGCTGTCCTTCTTTGTTCTGGCTGGAAAAGCTAAAAAGGCCAGCGTCCAGCAGAGGGTGAGCGGCCTGCACGCAGCCTCCCTCTACCTACTGCTCCTGGGAGTCCAAGGTGAGGAAATCTGAGAAAAAAACACACCCGCAAGAAAGTCATGCGTTCAGTTTTGGTGCAGCGGCAAGGGGATGTTAGTTAAAACTATAGCAGTTTGCATTTCTTCTCTCGAATAACCGTAAGACAATACTGTCCAGCTTGTATCCTCACTCAACTTCTTGCGCGTAAAGCTGTACCTTTTGAATCATGAACAAAACTATGGGTATTATGACCAAACCAAGGTGTTCATGTGTTACATTGTGAAGCATTGAAGCTCTATTCAACTCTATGTTGAAGTTTAATACAGGTGATGTTAGTTTGGGGGTATCATTTTGCAGAAATTAAGTATAATGATATGTGTTATGTTTATCACCTACAGTCTGGATATCTGCATAGGGAGCTACTTATTCATTGTGTTGCACCACCATGTTTCTACAGTAGCTAAGAAGACACAAAGCAAATTCTGGCTGTAATGAGATACATTTTTATGAGAAAACTGTAGACTGGAAGTATTGAAAAAGGAAAAAAACAATTGCTGAAAATGAATAGGTGTTGTAGAATAATTACAAGTAGACTTTAGCTATTTTGTTTTGTTATTTTTTGTTTTGACGTAATGTTTTCAGTTAGTGCTCTGCTAATTATTTAAAATGGCTTTTGGTCAATTATTACTATATTATTATTATTATTTTATTTTGACATAATCTTGCAAGATTACATTTTTTGAAAGAAACCTGGGGCAGGTCCCGAGGTACCGGTTTTCAAAATTTGTTTAATTGAGATAATGCTATTAATTGGGGATTACTACTGAATTCTGTTGAAGTACAACATGAATCAATTGCTGCTGTAATAGCTTCAGCCCGGTCGGACTTGGCCACAAACCCTTAATCTTAAATGCTGTGAGGATACCTTGTTGCTACGGCTTTACCCCGTCGCTGGTAGACCAGGATGTTGGCGCTTCAGATGTGTGGCTTGCATTGCCGTGTTCATACGGCTTTCTATTCGATACAATACCACAAATACGATATGATACCACAAATACAATACTAGTATATTTATCTATAATAGAATTACAAAACTGTCTGTTAGAGTTAGGGTACTATAAAAGCAAAATCGGCAGTAAAACTTTATTGCACACTCGAGATTTTACAGAAAAAAAATTGTTGCTTCCAGGGAGCATCGCCGCCAAGGTCTTCCATGAGGTTCTGTTGGACACGTGTTCCGATCTGACCTCTCACTGCTGGCCTCAGGACTCCAGAAAGAAACGCAAGAAGGACGGCCCAAAAAGCTCTCAGGCTGACGGCAAACGCTCCAGACCGCAGTGGAAAGACACTCCAGAGGTAAAGTCTGAAAATCTGAAACCACTCCAACCAGCCAGAAGAGCCGAGATAACATGGTTGTCAAAAAACTGAAAATAGACTTTCACACGCTGACCTCTCATGTGGTGCCACCCAGCAGGTTGATCGAGTTAGTTCAGGTAAAATGTTCTGGAGGGATTGCCATGATCTGAGAGTTACAGTGAATGTTTACAAAGGGGGGATTTTCTCTGAGGAGATACTTCCCAATGTGAGTGCTAGACACGGGGAGAGGGGAACCGTGAAATACGGCAATGTTGTGGTATAAGTTAATTGAGATTCAATACATTTTTAAATATATTGACATTTTATACCAGGTGATTAACCGCTCTTTCTGATGACAAAATCTGAATTATAAAACACTAAATCATAAGTAATGAAAGAGAAAACACCAAATTTAGGAAAACAAAACAGAATCTGTACTCAAACAAACACATTTCTTTATGGGCCTAATGAACGGATTTTGGGAAATGATAATGTCTCTCTCTGTTGTCCTCAGATGGAAGTGAACGAGGCAGATGACGAAGAAGAAGAAGAAGAAGAAGACGAGGAGGAGCTTCATTTCTCTGCCCAGGACTTGGTAAAGATCAGGGATGCCGTGGTTCTTCTGGTTCAAAGTCTCCTCAGACTCCTGCAGACGTTTTCGCTCAAAGACAGACCACAGAGTGCTGACAACTGCACGCAGGTAGCTAGTGGTTCCATTGCCCCGCCCTCGCTCCGCACCACCCGCTGCGTCTCCAACGTGTTTGTTTCATCTGCAGATCTTTAGCAAGCTGCTTCACTTTGAGCCAGTCACTGGGGAGATGACCTTCGCAAATCCACAGTGAGTTTTCGTCATATTGATGAAAGAATGTGTGCAGGATTTGTGAGAGCTGATCTTGGTGTTGTTTCTGCACAGCGACGTCACCCAGTTGAGGAGTGTGCCTGAAATGGCGTTCTGTGGCCTGCAGGTGCTCTGCTCGTCTAAACACGGAGACCAGAAAGAAGTAAGATGTAATGTTACCAGAACAATATAACAGGCACTCTCGGAGCAACAGCAAGTTAACACACAGAATATAAATCTGTTTTTCTTTCTGAACAAGTACCAGAAGAAACATTTGTCTTTATCAGGGAACTGCATAATGTAGCATATGTTCAGTAGCAAGGTCGCTGTTAGAGTGAGCTAAAGTGGTCTAGCACAAATAAAGGACTTTCTGTCTCTGGATTTCCTTTTGAATCTCAGTTAAAAAAAAACCCCACTTCCACTGATGCAGTGGGCAGTTACCCAATGACAAAAGTAAATTTTACGTCCTACGTAGGAAGTTGATCACTGAAATAAGGATTTTTAACGGTACAACGTCAAACAAACCTTTTTGTTTGTGTCTTTTTTTCTCCGTTGACGAGCAGGAGATGATCATGAACGCATATGAGGAGATAATGTGTATTTGAATCATTTCTGTCGGATGAATTCAACGTATTCTACATCTTTTACGCTGTTCATTCTGTACATCCATCGCAGTCTGTCCGTCCCAGAGGAGGATCCTCCTCTGTCTCGCTAAAGGTTTCTTCACTTTATTCTCCACATCAAATGCTTTTTCATTGGGTTTCTGGACAGAGGATGTCACATTTCTCCCTTCGTCTACCACGGCTCACACTTCAGACAAAAAAACAACCACCGCTTCCATCCTCAGGAGGTTCCCTTAAAAATCCAAAGCCCCTCCCATCAGGCTAATTGACGACCTCCAACTCTAGACTGCAGGCTATTTCTACACCTGCTTCTCGTTGTGTGTGTGTGAGTGTGTGCGTGCGTGCGGCGACGGCCGCCCCGTCACAACAACACAATCAATTCCTAGGACAAATGATTCAAATGTTGCGAGTAGTAAGCCAGGTGTAACGCAGGACCACTGCAGGGACAACCACCACCCACAGAAGCCTGTGGGGAGGGAAAGCACAAAGACTTTAGGCAAGGCTAATGTTGGTTTATGATGACAGTAATGTGTCTAGCGAGAAAGCACAAATACTGGAAGAAACAAAGTTAGTGATGTGCATTGGAATATCAATGGTGTTAGAAGCGGTAGGTGTCCGCGGGGCCAGGCAGGAGTCAGGACCAGGGCCCAGACGGAACTACGGAGACCTGCGAGGTGAGAAAGCACAAAAACCCCCGGGAAAGAAGCTGAATTAGTGATGGGCATTAATGAGACGCGAATATTTCAGAAGGAGTGATCGTGAGAGGGGGTTTCGCTGTGTCCTAAGAAGTGTGTGTGTGTGTGTGTGTGTGTATATATATATATATATATATATATATATATATATGTATGTGTAATATGACCGATGTGTTTGTTGTCCAGTCGTTGCGGAGGGTCTTCCACCAGCTTCTCTACATCATCCTGATGATGAATAAAGGAGACAGAGGGAAACCCTCGCTCCTCATACCCAGCCAGGCCGTCCTCTCCACCCGGGACCAGACCATCCATTTTGTTTGGTAAACAGCTTTGTTTTGATCAATTGTTGAATTACTTGTTTCAAATTCATATCGTTCACACCTTGTATGTTCAGACATTAATCAAGTGACTACATTTAACATTTGAATCTGTCTTAAATAAGTGGGACAATTACAAGAAACTCCCATCTTCTAATCACTCCTTTTACTTGTACTTACTGTTGGTGGAAGGAACGTTGCACATCAGAACAGAGTTATCGATTACTCTGTAGCCATTTAAATTAAGACATGTTAGGAGCTCTGTATGACTTTGTAGCTAATGGGTTTCTGATTACAGTCATCTTGTGAATGAGCTGAAGGAGATAGCGCTGCCTGTCCTGCAAATCCTCCTGCAGCATATCTGTTTCCAGGTAAATCCTGCAGCCACCTTTTGGCAGTGATGCACTCTCTGTTTTGTGAGCGTTTAGAGCGTCTGGCCCAATCCCAATCTCCACGCTTAAGGAGTCAGACTCCATCACGGACATATTGATCCCTTAAATCAACATTGGATGCGGACTTAGCCCAAGGGACTTGGCCACAAGTCATTGTAATATGCCGTTTATAACAGGATAACCAGTGAAAGCATGGGGGCGTAGAAAAAGGTAAACAAGGAGGACTGCACTTGTTTTACCGTGTATATATTAATTTAAAACATTAAGATAAAGATGGAGAAAAAAAATGGGTTTGGGCCTACGTGTCACCTGTTCATCTCTTAAAGGAGACACAGGCTTGTGTACCGCATGGTGTTAATCTCATTGATTTAGGAATCCCCCTTTTTTCTGTGACAAGGTGGCCCCAACATCATTTGACTATGGCAAGGCAATATCGTTGAGGGGGAAAATATAAGAAAAAAATGTCTTCACCTTCCATCTTCTCTTGCCCTCACTCTATCACTCTGTGCTTCAAACATCGCCATGGCAGTGCCTCTATGTCCTTTTTGTCTGAGTCCTGACAATAGTGTTACTGTAATGCTTAAAGTTTACCACCTGGGTGGTTGATTTCCTTTCTCTCTCTAGTCATAATGGGTCACTGTCCCCTGAAATAAGGTTATATTAAATTAATTATTGCATACAATGTGACAATTAAAAAAAATATCTAAATACTAAATTAAGAGAATTAGCACATGGTACCTAGTAAGTAATGATGAACTTTCAGACTAAAATATAGTATGAAGATGTGACTTTTTTATTTTATTAACAAAAAGCAACACTATTGTGAACATACACTCTGGTAGCTGGAGCAGATAAAAACCCACACACTGGAAATGTGACCCAGTTTGTATTTCTACATAAGAAAACATGTGATTGAACAAACTCTTCAGATTTGAGTACCCTGCTTTGGTCACATTCAGGCTCACTGGACAAACCTTGTCATATTCTCACAATCCATGCAGAGCAGACGTGTCTTGTTTTCTGGAGTGAGGATTACAGAGACAAGTCCTAAAAGGAGTGTTCAGAAAGAGTAGGGGGTGAGATGGGGCTCAAGCAGATTTATTGAGACAGATAAGATGAGGAAAAAAGTGTTTTTAGAAAATTACAGCATGTTAACATATTTTAGTACAAGTGTGAACCAGGTGGCATCTGGTTGTGACTCTTGAAGCTAGGGCTGAAGCATCCACTTCTTGTATACTCGATACAGTCTATTGGATGAATCTGGGAATGAGCAGAATTAGGGTTGCAAAATTCCAGGAATATTCGAAGTTGGAAACTTTCCTACTGTATACAAATAAACTTTGTCTTAAAATGAACATGGCTTCAGTTTACAAAGTAATCAATATGCTCGATAGTGACAAAAGCGTTCAATAACGTTTTATGTTTAGGTTTCTGGCAGAAAATGTCCCCAAATAGCTGCCTCCAGGGTTCAGCTGAGCTAGGCTTGCATTGTTTTGTTCTAGACTACATTTTAAGTTCCTTTTTATTTGTTTTTGAAAAAAAAGAAACTTGTCAAAATTCCCGAGCTTTACTTTCCATGGAAAGTTTCTGGAAATATTTCGCCCCTTTGGAATTTTAAGCAGAATATGTCTCTTTACAAATGCTGAATGCAGTCACATGACATCCGAGGATATTTATATAGGATTGTAGTGTAGAATGGTTTGCTTTGACATTATATTTAGCTGACTCGTCATACAATATGGCTGTGATATAATGTTTCTGCTGTGGCTGTTTAGATGGTGGAGAAGAGTGACTTTCGTAGCCATGGAGCCCAGGCTGTGGGTATGTTGACGTCCCAGATGACAAGTAAAGACTATGCCTGCTTCATCAAGTGGCTCTTTAAATTCTCCAATAGCTCAAAGGTAACATGATTGTGTTATCACCGCACATGTGTTGGTAATAGTCTCACATTACATATTGTTATCATGAGTCATATTAATATATGATGATTGTTTCTGAACAGGCTGATGATTACAAATGCTGATTATCAGAACTACTTCTTCTCCATCCGAATTACAAACATTCATCTGCAACCTTTTTAGAACTTTTCTGGAAAGAGTGTTTTCTGCTGCTGACCTTGAATTTAAGTTTAAGAAATGACATGAAAGCATGTGGCCATGAACCATAGGCTGCAGTTACATGAGGGAAATCCCGAAACACCAAGTCCTTTTCTTTTCATTGTCATAATCAAAGGATTCTTCATGGCCGGTCCAGCTGCTCCACCGACAATGAATTGGAAACACATATCATTTGATTGCCAAATTAGGTTCTTTCTATAGCAGGTCTGTTGGGGGGTCTTCTCTGTGTCATCCATGAAATCTTATGCTAACTCATTGTCTATGGAGCCAGTCCACCAGACATGAGTCTTGGTTATGTGTCCTAAAAATTTTTCAATGGGTGCGGGTACAGTCCTGTTTAATAAGGAAACCATTTAAGGACAAATATATATTCAAGCCTTCAGCCGGCTGCAAATATCTCCCTTTGAGTGAAAGCTATAGTCTGAACAGCAGTCAGGCCTCATCGCGTCCTGCCAATGGCTTTGTGCAGTGATCTCTGCTGGATTCTGTAGATGGTGTGCCGGCTGTTTTCCGTGGACGTGGTAATGGTTCTGTTGGAGCAGCCCGAGAGGGGGCCGCAGGAGTGTCAGGACCCGGAGCTCTCCTGCTTCCTGCCCCACAAGTTCCTGATCCAGAACCTTCTGTTCGCCCGGCGGGTCGATGAATCGCCCTCGGTCCAAGGCCACGCCCTGGCCTGTCTGGCCCAGTGTCTGGAGCTGCCTTCATTCAACGTCACCCGGGCGGTCCACAACCTCTTCTCTGCCAGTATGAACGCACACACACTGTGGACTGGTAGAAACACACAAATTGGATAGTAGAATAATTATTACTCGGTGTAAATCATTAAACAGGACATTTCTTAAATACTACTTGCAAGCAGAGGAAATAATTGACACACGTACAAAGTCATGGATCAAGGCTACTCAAAGGGCCTCCTCTTGGGAGCGGGAATATATAGTTGGAAGATAACTTTAGACAAACGGGGGGACTCTGGGTAAACACTAAGTACTGGTAATCGACATCTTTAGCACCACAAGATTATAAACAGCGATGCACAAATATCTTTATTATCAGATGATCCAGAACTCAATGTGCCTCTGGGACAAAGCACAGACTTTCTGTCAGTCCAAGTAATACTGACTATGGTGGGACGTTATTTAAGTTTTTCCAAACAAAAAACAGACTTTTTTTTCCACATAAGGTATGTGTAGATGTGATGAATTTGGTCTAATCTTGTTGATCTGAAACGACTTCCTGTTTTGGTGGCAAAGCACTTTGTAGCGCTAAATATAAAAAAGTGTTGCTGTGTTTGTATCATAAACTTCTCTGTGCTGACACATTTCCACTGAAGTAACTTGTCCCCTCTCTGTGTTTAGCCGGAACCCAGACAGTGTTGGAAGGCGAAATCACAGAAGGTACGCACTTTGGTTTAATTATTACTAGGGGTGTAACGATTCATTTTAACAACGATTCGATTCGAATCGCGATTCGTGGTTGCCGATTCGATTCATGGACGATCTGGGTTAATTTAGAACGATTCGATTTAGTGACTTGAAATCGATTCAGTAACTTTACTGGACAGTGCAGGCAAATTTTCTGAGATCCCTGTTTCTTGTAAGGAAATCAGGTTTGAATGAATTATGGATATTATAAACAAGCAAACAACAATTAATGACACATGTATTAACCTTTTATTTGAATCAAGTGCAACCATTTTCAATGTAAACATTACACAATAATTACACAATGTTTGGATCAATTTACAGAACCCCGGATTTTCAACCTCATTGTAGGGTCGCATGTCTTTACAGCTAAACTTGGCAATTGTTACTGTGATGTTGAGTTTCGTGCTGGCGAGGCCTGGGGTTTCTGCAGAGCTGGAGTTACCTTCTGCTGCAGCGGTAACGCTGCTAGAGGTGCCTGACTGTCGGCGTTGTTTAATCCCACGGCGCCTTAGTAGATGGCTGGAAAGATTCGTCGTGTTGCCATGGTTTTTTATTTGGCTTCTACATATACTACAGCGACCGACTTATTTAGAACACCTCTGTGTTTGCAAAAGCCACGCGCTGGATCGATAAGTTAGTTTGTAAATGTCTCGCTCGCAGTCGTCTCCTCCACGCTGTGTTTTGTTGTTGTTTGTTGAGTTTCGCGCGGCTGCCGCTGCGTACTGATGACGTCACAGACAGGCAGACTGAATCGAGTAACGTCTAAAGTGCTGAAAAACAAACAAACAAACAAACAAACAAACACACATCCATACCGCTTTTGTACTTTAATCCAATGTGCAGTTTCCAAGTATCGATACAATCGATTATGTACCATTTCAATCGATTTGTAATCGATATATGTCGTCCGGAATGCAGGTTTGCGGAGCACAGATCGATTCAGTTGGATCGCAGGAATATAAATCGATTAATCGATTCAGTGAATGAATCGTTACACCCTAATTATTACGCATTTGTTGTTTATGATTGACCGCAGAGGCTGATGTTGACAAACGTGTCTCACAGAATAGAGAAGCGCTTGGAGACTCTCCGCAGGGTCATGAAAAGATTAAGGGTTGTGCAACAGGAAGTTGGTCTATCCAGCAGAGAGTCAAGCTTTCCTATGGGACCAGACCCCCGGGGCTCCGGTTAGCACCGGCTGGTTTATTTTGAAGGATTCAAACAAAAATTTGGTCTGGATCGAACACATACCTTTATTAAATGTATAAAGATTTGATACCTATGGATTAATGGTTCTTTGTTGTTGGAAGTGTTGATGTTTTTTAGAAATGTGTTTCAGGAAGCCTTAGTTCCCATCAGACTCAGAAAAGCTACCAAACTCTGCTGTTCAAGACTGTGGAGATCACCAGCGCAGATAGCTTCCAGTGTGAAGGTGAGGCAAGCGGATCTAATCATTCAAATGATCTTTATTGTATCAGTGCAGTGGTATTTTGTAAATAGATTGGCAAGAACTAGTTTCACGTTTGTGTAGGCATGTATATACTGAAAGTGTGTTGATATGTTTGATCAATGCAGCAAAAGAGAACCTGGCTCACCTCCTGCGTCGGATAAAAGACTCAAAGACGCACGTCAGAAAGTCAGCGCTGCAGGTACCAGGAAAATTGAAATGTTACCATTTCAAATATTGTGCCTCCCGCTGGCTCTCTGTGCCGATTAACTTTTTACCCTTTGTGCTGTACGTTCCTCCGCAGGCCCTGGTGGGGCTCATGAAACACAGTGTGATACCGCTGAGCTTGGAGAACCTGGCTACGCTCTCGGAGCGCTGCAGGGACCCGGCCGTGTCTGTGAAGAAGAAGGCCATGCAGTGCGTCGCAGAGCTGCTCGCTGTGAGTCTCAAACACCATGAAATAAAAAGAAAGGGAAATGTAGTGCGCAATTTGCTTTACACGCGTTTCCTCTGACCGCCAGGCTAAGCCAGACAGCAGCATGGTGCAGAAGGCATGGCTGCAGAGTGTAGTGTCCGCTTTGGTGGACCCTGAGAACTCTGTGCGGGACAAGGCCCTGGAGGCTCTGGACCAGGTGCTGCTCAGCCATCTCAAACCGTACTCTGCCAGCCTCCACCTGGATGCTGGCCAGAGGCTGACCTGGGACCTGTTAGGCCTGCTCTGCAGCGAGTGCCGGAACCTCAGGTTGGACTAGCTGCATTCAGGCTACATTGACTTCCTCTATACTCCCAACTCCATTGTTTTTCAGATTTATTTAAAATGCTGCAGGTCTCTCTTCTCACCTAACTTACTTTATGAACACTTACAAATCATTACTCTATTATGGGTCATTAATATGTGGTCAAAATACGTCTCTTGGTAGTTATGTCTCCGTGAAGTCTCTGGAGAGAATGAATGTTTTTGTTCATTTACAGTAGTAGTAAATAGATTGTTGTGCAGAGCCAAATGAGTATTGATAAGAAGAGGAAAATATTCTGTTTTGTGTCCGTCGGACACCTCAAAGTGTTATAATAATAGCTTGATTCATTCACAAAATGCTGGCTCTAATCAGGAATCATTTCAAAGCCTTCTTTACTGACATTCAAATAGCGCCATCACTCAGAGAGTTGTAACATTACCACTGCTTTCACTCACGTTGCTTCTTGTCCTGGGTCTCCAGCTGGTATTTCAGCAGGGCCTTCACCATCTGGTCCAAACAGAACAAGTTTACAGAGGCGCTCATCGGCAACCTGATCTCGCACACAGAGGCAGATCACGCCGCCGGGGCCTGGCTGCTGCTCTCTAAGGTAACCGCCTCGTCCATCCGAGTGCCCCACGGGAAGATCCTGGACGCCTGGGACACGATGATCAGGTGAGAGGGACGTGCAATGTTTACTGGCAACATTGATAGCTGAGAACCTAGTGTTGCCTGGGTGATTTGATTTATTTGACTTAACCACTTAATTTTGCTTTTAGATCAAAGAACGTAACCGCGACAACCTGCTGTCATATCCTGTGTGTGATGGGAGACATTGCTGAGCATTTGAACAAAGACACTAAGGACAGGATAGTTGGTTAGTGACAATAGCTGTGGGATCATGGGAGATTTGACAGGATTTTGGAAATGTCATAATCTCTTTCTGTCTCTCTCGGTCTCTCTAGCTGATCTGATGTCTTGGTTGAAGACTTTTACTTTGTCTCTGGACGTGATCTGTGCTGCCGTGGAGACTCTTTATCAACTCGGCCGAAGCAAAGAAATCAAACAGACTCAGGTTGGAGATTTTGCCTTTTTCTTTTTACAACTGCCTCACATTCAATTAGGGTTTGGGTTATGAAATGTTGTGGTGCAAAATGTACGATTCTACCGCGAGTCTATTTCTTTGTAAGTAGATTACATACAAAGTCAATGCAAAGACAAAAAATAAACAAGGTTTCTCTGACCGGAAGTCTCGAACAGCTCATAATGGTTGAGCTGCTCTTCCTGTCATCACTAACCTCCTGCTGCACCCAGTTATTTCTTTGTTGCCTCACAGAGAGAAAGACAAACAAAAGATGAATCCCAACTTTTGACAAATTGCCATTGGGTAGTTACTTTTGGCATCCCTTATTAGCATTTAAATCACCGCACAATCTCTTCATTTTAGGTTCATACAGCTGTAATAAAGGAGGCAACCCCCAACAGCTTGATAGATCATGAATACACATTGATGAAATCCGCTGGGTACCGAGAACCAGTACCAATATGGCATCGGTTCCTATACGACCGGTATCTACCGTACCAAACGCAGATTTTGGTGCTTGCTTTTGGTTCCTGAGCCGATTGAAAAACTGTATTTACACTACTTTGATGACTCCATCCTCACAGCAGCTGATACAGCAGCTAATTAGCTATCTACCTTCTATTTATATTTTGGCGTTTTCTGCGTTCTTTCGGTGTTTGTCATTAAGCCGTATTAAGCTGTAGACACGTGAGTCCAATTGCTTATGCGAATGATGGCAAATTGTTTGGATCTTTTTGTCTTTATTTTATGTGGCAGTGTTCACTAAATATAGAAATAATAAATTCGTCGTCGTCTTCCCCGGCTGCTGCGGGAAGCTTTTCAGCTGAACACATTTTCTCGAGCCCTACTGCTTCGCCCCACCCCGTGTCCCTGTTGTTATTATTATAATTTTTTTTTACAATATGTTTTTTCACATTCCAATTCTAATGTTCCAATTCTAAATAGTCTGCTTCTTTCTTTTTAACCTCTCTCTTGTGTGTCATGTGACTTGTTGGCGAAGGGGAAACAGGATTGAGAGTTGGGGAAAGAATTGCTGGCAATGAGTAATGACCAACAACAACACAAAATGGGGTCGTCACCTAACCCCTAATTGCTCCCCGGGCAAAAATGTGAAAAAAAGCCATGGGTTTAAAGTGTAATGTAAGTCGCTTTGGTTAAAAGCGTCTGCTAAATGACCTGTAATGTAATAAAAATAAATACAACAAAGTGTTCACAAGTTATATTCCATAACAAGTAGGGGTGGGAATCTCTTAGCACCTCACAATTCGATTCCGATTCAGAGGTCAATGATTCGATTCTAAACTGATAAAATTCGATTATCGATGCATCTCGATTTTCTAAATTTTCTCAAATCGGAGTTTGCTACTCAGAGGTTGGTAATAACTTCCTACTTTATTTGATAATTAAAGAAAATCAACAGATGAATTACCTTCTCTAATTTTTTATAAGAGAAAAAAAATCTTCACATTTTCTATCAACAAAAATGTTGACAAAAATTGTGTTGAAATGCAGCTTGCATTTCAACACAATATGGAAGTAGCCTATGTAAAAAAAAATATTAAACAGATTCATTTTTCTTTTAAACGAAGAAAAAGCAGCGGTCCGTATTTGTAAAATACCGGAAAAAAGTCCAAATCTGTGAATATCTTGCCAACTTTCAATACGGATCGACTTTTTGGAAAATCGAAATAATGAGGATATGCGCAGGCTCCTTCATAGTTCGGTAAAGTTGGCAAGATATTCAGATTCAGACTGACGGAACGGTCTGCAAGCTGGAAGCATTGCTCTAATGTGCCGGTAATGATGGTAAATGATGGTGGTAGCTGGTTGTCATCTACGGTCCACTACGATTACCGAAGGGGGGCGTTTGTTTTTTGACAACGTTTTCTCTCATAATTTCGACTTTCTATCCCCTTTCTTTAGTGCGGAAATGGGCTTCTATAGTTGTGTGAATGCATCACTCCAGCCAATCCAAAGAGGGGGTTTGTAACCAATCAGGTGTAGAGACCATGGTGACTGGCTCCGCCCCCTCACTGTCAAAAAGAAAAACAGCGAGCGCGTAGAAAACACCTTCGAACGCGAGCAGAGACTAACCTTGCGAGCGAGGAAGTTCACGCTCCGCGAGCGAGCAAATATCTCTATCTTTTTTTTAATTCCGATTATTAACTTTTCTGAATCGAGACCGAATCGTTCTAGAGAGAATCGAGAGAAATCGAAAAATCGCCCACCCCTAATAACAAGCTTATGAGATTGCTACAGACCCGCCCTGAAAAACACTAAAGTTACCCTTTAAGTTAAGTTTGCTAGCATGTTCAATGTTCATGGCTAGTGTTAATGTCTACATTTAAAATAAATTGCCATGTGTTATGTTTCAACTTTCAACAGTTTTCCAGAATCACAGTTCATCATCCTGTGTTAAATAGATTCTCCCAATACGATGTCCTTTAAACACGACTCATCCCCAGGTCCCGCTTTTTGTCCCGTAACGTGATTTCTTTTTTTGTTTTCCTCAGGCTTTTCTGAGCCTGCACTGTGGTGAGCTGATGTCCGTATGTGAGGCTTATTTAGCCGGCGTCCTCCTGAGAGAAAGAGGAGCCCAAAACCTCAACGAGGAGCTAATGGTGAGACCTAAAGGCGTCGACGCACTCGTTTCAATTCATGGTTCTGCGTGTGTTGCAGAGCAGTTCACCGCCAGAACAACAGGCGGAGTAACGTCGCTTTCGACGCAAGCCGAGAAAAATGGCTCGACACACGCAAGGACGCATGGAGGTGTGAAAAGCGATGCAAGGGACACGCAAGGGGGTCTTGCGTCTGCGTCGCTCTGAAAACGCAGAAGCATAAACTAGGCTTAAGGGCAACTGTGCGTGAGTGGGGAGCACGGCCGTCGGTTCGATCCCAGGCCCGGCTAAGCCGCATGTCGTTGTGTCCTTGGGCAAGACACTTAACCCAACATTGCTCCTGTAGCTGCGACTACAGTGTGTGAATAGTTACTGATGGCAGGTGTCACTGTGTATGGTTCTCCTGTCATCAGTGTATGAATGGGTGTGAATGATGTCATGTAGTGTTAAAGCGCGTTGAGTGGTCAGAAGACTAGAAAAGCGCTATACAAGTACAGGCCATTTACCATTTGCCCTCGATCGCTCTCTCTTCCCACTGCTCCTGGATCAACACCAGCCTGAAAGATGGCTGTTTTTTTGCCATTAATTATGGTTGATTTTATTTGTGATCAAAACAGACAGTGTTTTAAGGCTAATTCAAAGGCTTCTTCTCGTGTGTAAGTTTTTTCTGATGTGATGTTTAGGGTCTCATCTTGGTCCCGGTCACTGACAACTGGTTTGCTCTGTCATCAATTATATTAACATTTAGAATAAGTGATTGCAAGAAAGGGTTAGAGGACTGAATGTGGTTCGCTGCGTCATATGTAACTGAAAATGCTCTTCCAGGTGAAACACCTCCACACTCTGGGTGTGGCGTCACTCCACTGTCCTGCCAAGGTCAGCAAACGGACGGTGCTGCTGGTGGAGTCCGTCCTGATGATACATTCTGACAAACTGGCAGGTAAGGAGCATTAACATCGGGGAAGATAAAACCACGTTCCCCTGCTCGTTACGGTACAAATCCAGTTTGGTGGTTAGAGGAAAGAGAATCAAGTCTCCTTCTCAACACGGTGTACATACATACATACACACCCACCCAGTTATTTCTTTGTTGCCTCATATATATATATATATATATATATATATATATATTATAATGTGTACGTACGTACAGTGCACCCAGAAAGTATTCACAGCGCTTCACTTTTTCCTCATTTTGTTATGTTACAGGCTTATTCCAAAATGTATTAAATTCATTATTTTCCTCAACATTCTACACACAACAACCCATAATGACAAAGTGAAAACTGTTTTTTGCAAATTTTTGCAAATCTGTTAAAAATAAAGAACGGAAACATAACATGTACATAAGTATTCACAGCATTTGCTCAACACTTTGTTGAAGCACCTTTGGCATCAATTAAAGCCTCAAGACTTCTTGGGTATGATTCCACAAGCGTGGTGCACCTATTTCTGGGCAGTTTCTCCCATTCTTCTTTGCAGAACCTCTCACGTTCCATCAGGTTGGATAGGGAGCGTCGGTGCACAGCCATTTTCAGATCTCTCCAGAGATGTTCAATCGGGTTCAAGTCAGGGCTCTGGCTGGGCCACTCAAGGACATTCACAGAGTTGTCCCGAAGCCACTCCTTTGTTATCTTGGCTGTGTGCTTCGGGTCGTTGTCTTGTTGGAAGATGAACCGTCGCCCCAGTCTGAGGTCCAGAGCGCTTTGGAGCATGTTTTCATCAAGGATGTCTCTGTACATTGCTGCATTCATCTTTCCCTCAATCCTGACTAGTCTCCCACTTCCTCACGTTGAAAAACGAAGGTCGAACGAGGTTAAATCCATGGCGGCGTAGGATTTCCTTCTTCAACACCTCATAATTCTTTGCCTGTTTAGTAGTCAAGTCGTGATAGGTCTTCTGGGCTGAGCCTGACAGAAATGGTGTTAGTAGGCTGGCCCATTGCTCTCAAGGCCACTTCTCCCTAGTTGCTGTCCTCTCAAAGGTCTGGAATTAAGCCTCAATGTCATCGTCTTCTGTCAGCTTTACTAAACAAACTAGGTTTGGGATGGGGAACAGCTAGGCTGGCAGCTCCTTCCGCCTGGGATGCCATCAGCTGGCTGAGTTCAGCTCGTAAGAGCGGTCTGTTGACGCTGTTCCTCAATCAATTCTTGGTGCCTTACTTGCTGAGCCAGGTTTGCCTCCACCAACTGTTTCACCAATGCTTCCATTCTGCTTTGTGTTTGGTCAGTTAGTACGCTTGGTCCAAACTGCCCGCATCCTCCACCATATGTGGCAAGCCCATGGGTGGGGACTTCCACGTCACGGGTTCAAGGACTCAAGCCAGTCACAGGGAGCAGTGGAACACAGTTTATTGGTCATTAATTGAGTGTGTAGGAGGATACGCTACACGCCATATCACCCCTCGCTCCGTCGTCTTCGACATACATACGTATACACGTACATACATACATACATACATACATACATACGTGTATGTATATATATTTAAGTTTGAATATGAATGCCTTATTTTAGTAACCGCTTTTTGTTATGCCCACTGATAAAGGCCTCCACTGAAAATCAGTCAAATGTATTTATTAACATGCATTCAGCACACAGATTTAATTTTCATAGCCAATGCTCAAAAGGTTATGCAAGTCGGAGCAAGTCTGTGTTAACTGGCTGTCTTCTTTTTCCACAAACATCTGTAAAGAAAACAAAGAAAACGAAATTAAGGTTTTAGGGCTCTCCCTTTTTTTGACAAGTTTCCTAAATAGATATGTACAACACATTTTAAAATCTACACACAATGCCTTGTGAGTAAATGCATTAAAATGTGGACTGGACCGCGACATACAGACGCTAGACTATTTAGCTATTAATTTGTTAATTCCATAATACATTTCTGGGCGTTGAAATAAAACATGATGTGTATTCTGTAGTAACATGTTCTCCGTTGCTACGTTGGTGACAGAAGGCCAGGAGGAGCTGCCGGCATCACTCTCCCAGTTCAAAGCAAACTCTCTGCCTTCCAGAGTCAGAGCCCACGGAGTCCTCACTTTAGGTAATTAGTCTTTTCCTTACCCGAAAGTCTGCTAGTAGGTACAAGTCCCCGTTTACCATAATGCGCGTCTGAATTTATTACAGGTGAGATTAAACTATTCTTTTTTTAGAGCGGCAACGGCTAGTTTGTTTTTTATAAAGTGACAATTTGTGCTGGACATCCCTGATTTGCATAAAGTATGGTAGACCAACATTTTATGCAAATGAGGCAACCATCTTTCCCCTGTATCTCAAAACTCAGCACTGTGCTACCAGAATAGATTGCACAGCTGCTCAACCATAGCCTCACCTATTGGTTTGTACATATCTGAACCCTCGAGTTGGGCATTTTACCTATCGCCATCTAGTTTTTATGATTTTGTATTATTTACATTTTCTTATGATAGATCCTGTGTACATCTACCATTAGATACATTGTTCCAAGTCCTAACTTTCATGCATTTCAGCCCTCTAATTACACATCTAACTGTTTCTTCCCCGATACAGGAAAACTGTGTCTCCAGCACGAGGAACTCGTCAAGAAGTACCTGCCGGTGTTCGCCAGGGAGCTGGAGGTTGGCACGGAAGTTGCCGTGCGTAACAACTTGGTTGTGATCATGTGTGACCTGAGCATTCGATACACCAACAGGGTGGACAACTACATCCCCAACATCTCCGCTTGTCTGCAAGACAGTGAAGCGGTCATCAGAGTGCATACTCTCATCATGCTGACCAACTTGCTACAGGTGGGAACTTTTCTAAGCTTTCTTTACTAGGCTACAGTTAGAATGTTTTTTTCATGAATTATCCATTGCATCTTCTTAAAAAAGACATGTGGATGTATTGATACCTATTGTTTTCAATTCAGGTTCAGTTTTTTTCCTGTCAAATAAAAAAGGTTTTCTTTACTTTAGTTGACCGTATATCACAACTAACAAGCCATTGACAAGCTAAAAGAAAAAAATATAAATATGAGGCATTTTCAGTCCCCCTGCCTTTGTCAAATGTCAAGAAATAGACTGCACTTCAAAAAACACAATTAAAAACCACAAGTCTTCCATTACCAGCAGTAAAGAGCAAGCTGTTCTTTAAATGGTTTAGCGGATTTTGAAAAAAATGGCATCTGATTGTAGATTACAATGTGTCAGCTCTGGCTAGGATTTTGGTTTAAATAAATACATACCCGTAAATGCAATGTGAAGAGGCTACAGTGTTGACATAATGTGATACTGTCTTGGGATACCGTTTGTACCCCTTGAGGGGCTACGGTAAGTCCCTCCCGCATCCACTCTTTCCCTAGGCACAGTCATGGGCAACAAGTGGAAATAGTCATCGTCGCCTCAATGAATGAGCCATTTTCTAATTGTCTTCTCTACAACCAGAGGAGTTGCCCTCTGCTGGTCAGTGGAGAGAATGCAATCTTTAAGACACTCCTGCATTTAAACAACATAGGCTGATGGTCCAAGGTGAGAGGATGAAGAAGTAGGGCTGGCCAAAAGTACATGCATTTATAATGTGTTTCGTTTGATTGTACATGCCTGATCAGCACATTTGAAGTTGCTGCTATGGCTGAGGTTTGACCCAGTGCTCCAGCAGGCGGCTGTGATTCCTAGCACTGGTGTTCCTGTTGGCTGAATATGAGTTGCGGTTGCTGACTTGGGGGTTCGGTCTTCCACTGCCGAGGTCTCCTGACCGTGGGGAAATTGAGACAATGATGTGGGTCATTTTTTGTGACTGCCACTTTGGATAAAGCCCAACACAGTTGGAGAATATGAAGTATAGGCTGTTGTCTCCTGTTAAAATGATAAGATTTCTCATCCCTCCGAATTTTAGCCCCGCTGTAACATTTAGATTGTATGGACGAGGCAATAAAGGAGAAACGCCGCCCTCCATTTCCTTTCACATGTAGTATCTTTTAAAGATTTCACCAGCGTTGGACTGGACAGAAACAATGGTTGCCCCATTTGAATCTTAGTCCCTTTTAATTGTCCTTGTATTTTAGCTATTGCTCATTGACTAACTTCATCTCTGTAACTGTTGTTCTGTTCACTGAGGGTCTTTTAGTAAGCCATGTTTTCAGTGTCCATGTCCAGTTGCCTGTATTCTTAAATTTCCATTTGTTTCTTTTTTCCAGGAGGAATTTGTGAAATGGAAGGGCTCCCTCTTCTTTCACTTCATGGTGGCGCTGGTTGACCCGGTCCCTTCCGTTGTCAGGTAGATCCCAGTGTGTGCCACTGCACACACATGGTAGTTTGTTTCAAAATATATCTAGAAACACTGCTCACACTGTATCAGACCGATTTGACTATACGAGAAAGAAAAGAGGAATTTTTGCGAAGATTTTTGGCCAAGAAGAAATTTGGAAGTAACCTGTTCTGTGGATCTTTATCAATCAAAACTGGGCTGCATGGTATTTTATAGGATTTTCCGTGAAATGACAATAGTCCAATGCGTATGTGAATTTATCCTTTGGCTCCGGGTACAACATACAGAGACACTTCATACTTATATTTTTATTTTAGTATTGTTATTGTTACCTAATATTGAAGAAATCCGACACCATATCTAAACCTCAGTGCCTTCTTGTCCCAGTCTGTGTGAATACTGCCTGGTCCAGGTGCTGCTGAAGGACAACCCAGAAATGTTTAGCCAGCACTTTATTGAGTGCATCTTCCACTTCAGCGACTACAACAAACACAAGTCCTACAACAGGTTCCCTCAAAGTGAGAGGTAGGATGCTGCATTCTGTCATCCACTTCACATGTGGCTGTATATATGTATGGATTTTTTGTATCTTAATTAGCTTGTTATAAATAATAATTAATGCAGAGAAAAGGCTCGGTTCTCCTTGAAAGGCCCTCAGCACCGCGAGAAACGGTTTCGGATCTACCGATTCCTATTGGAGCACTTCACAGACACCCAGCGCTTCAACATCACTGTCAAAATCAACCAGACCATCCTAGGTGTGTGTGTGTGTGTACTGTGAAACACATTGCTAGCATGTGTTCTTTAAGAAATGAGGAATTCCCCTAGGCACAGTCATGTGCCACTCTTTTTCTTCCCCAGCGTGCTTTGCGGACGAGGAGCTGCAGTTGGATGCAGATGGTGCTGAAGTTTTGTCAGAGACTTTCAACATCTTGAGTCTGAAGGAGATAAAGCTGCAGGCCATGTCTGCTCCGATAGAAAGCACAGAGGGGGAGGAACCAGAGGATGAGAACATGGCCACCATCGTGAAGGCTGTCCTGCAGGTGGCACAGAAGAAGGTGGTGTCACAGGTGAGCAATGATTGCCAAGTTATGCAAAGTCTCATTAAAAAAAAACAATGGAATCTGCTTATAAGTGAGCAAATCTCAGTGTTGATGAGGTCTGTAGAAAGTCTTAACTTAAGAGTCTGTTAAGTTCTGGAGAGAGATTTCCTTTTCTGAAACATCCTCTCTGTCTTCTTGCTTTAGCTTCACACACACACACCGAGACTCATGGCAGGGTGAAGAAAACATTTTCCTCCAGTAGCGAACCCAGAACTCAGAGTTCAACATTTAGAGGAACAGCAGAGCATCACTTTGCATAGAGTCTCGGTTCATTGTGACGATCATAAGAAAATTAATGAAAGCGAATTGCTTAGCTGATTATTTAGCCGCAACTGTATTTCAAAGACTTTTGGAACTTCTTGTGCATATATTGAGACTTGGTTTACATGTAACATCAATTACGCAATAATTTAAAAAACCTGATAATGTGTTAAACAGCACTGTAGAACATTGTTTGGGACTTTTGGGTGAGCTTCTCTCAGTTTCCTGCTTTTGGTCCACAGGTCCAGAAGAAGGCCTTCATTGAGAACACGGTTCCTCTCATCATCAGCCTGAAGAGTTTGCTGGAGCAGAAGCGCTCTCCCGTCCTCAGAGACCTCATGGCCTACCTTCATGTAAGACCTGCGTATTAATTTGAAGAGGGACTTGATGTGCAGCACTGTGTGGTCTTGATGCTCCTCTTTATGAGCCTGCACCCAACCTCTGTGTGGCCCCCTCCCACAGGTGACGATGCAGGACTATCGTAACGAGGTGAAGGACCTTTTCTCTGGAGACGAGCAGCTGGCGGCTGAGCTGGAGTTTGATCTGAAAACGGCTGAGAAGGAGAGCGAGATTTCAAAGCAGGTGGACAACTGCAGTTTGACGAGAGAGGCCCGGATTCCCCCTGCACAGGTTAAAGAGCACAAAGGATACGAAAACTGTTTTAGATACTTTGAAATAAAGTGTGTGTGTGTGTGTGTGTGTGTGTGTGTGTGTATGTATGTGTGTGTATATATATATATATATATATTATATTAATATATATATATATATATTATATTAATATATATATATTATATTAATATATATATATATATATATTAATATATATATATATATATATATATATATATTATATATATTATATATATATATTATATATGTATATATTACACACACACACACACACACACACACGTTTATTTCAAAGTATCTAAAACAGTTTTCGTTCAGAGTCCCCTACGGTCAGTGAAGTTGTCATGGTGGTGGTCGTTGTGCCCCCTCCTCAGGGTTCTCCGGTCAGGTCCGCTGCCCTCCTCCCGTTCATCTTCGCCACACCTCAGCCTCCACGCCCGAACACCCTTGCTGCCCGACTCGCGCACACAGACAGGTAGGTGTTCTACCAGAGCAACATGACGGATTCACTGCAGGGTGTTTGAGTGATGATTGTTAGTGTTTTTAGTTTAAAAATTTGTGTGTGTGTGTGTGTGTGTGTCAGGCGTGGTTCTAGGTCCGAGCAACATGTGCAGTCGATTGCTCTGGAAGGAACAGGTAAAGGGCTGGAAGTTAAAAATGTTTAACTCATTTCTCCACTAGGGGAAACTTTTAGTTTGCGGTTGGAGGGTCAGAGGTTACAGCAAAAGAAAATTCAACAAGCCTAATCAAATGATCGTGTTTTCATCCGGATTAGTTTAGAGAACAGATTTTCTCCTAACAAAGTGGATTCAAGGTGTGTTGTTCAGAATTCTGAAATCTGTAGGTCATTGTTAAACAAGTTTGCATTTCAAAGGTGGTGTTTTGTTGTTAACAAATTTGTTCTGCCTTAAACAATAAAATAAAATCTGTTATTGTAAAGGTACAGGCCGCTTCTTATACAGCTCAAAACGATTCTGAATCAATGTTTTTTCTCGAGTCTTTCAAAAGTCTTTTAAAAATCTGATGATCGTCGCATGCGTATTTTATCAATGAGTTAGTAGTTTTAAGTCTTTGACAGGAATCCGAGGGTCCTGATCTTTTGTTTACTTTGACTTCTCAGTGATGCATAAAGGAGCCGTGGATGCCAGAGCCATCAGCACACCAAAAGGTACAAGCCCACTGGGCTGTCAACCTCTGCAACGCATCATCAGTGTCACTACGAAGAAAAGCCAGTGAGCTTGAACATCTTGAAGAGAAATATACTTATCACAGGTCTTTCCAAGGCTTCAATTTTAACATGGAAACTATCTCATGTCTGTGTATCAGTTAAGAGACGTTGTTAGCCTAGCTTAGCTTAAGGATTAGAAGCAAGAAGCAATCAAAAGCCTTGCTTTGATCAAAGTTAAAGAATTAATGAAAAAAAGGTTTGTTAAAATACTTTTTTCCAATTTACCTTAAAATTAAGTAAATGTTTGTCTTTCTCCCTCTAATCCAGGAGTCAACATGAATTTGACCTTTGGCGAAGGAGTCAGCGGGATCTTCAGTGACCAAGGAACAAGTAAGCCCCTCTGACTTGTCACTCAAAACCCACTTATCAGGTGTTGCGGTTTGTCAGCATGTGCTGATGTTAGTCTACTGTGTCCTCCGAAGGTTTGGTCAGCGAGACCAGGGTTCTTCACCTGCGATCAAAAGAGGAGCAGTAAGTGCACTACTTCCTTCATAGCGTACACATAGTTTGTTTTTTGTCACTGTTCCCTGGCACAAGTGCCAGCAGAACTTTGTCAAGTCAATGAAGAATGTTACCATTTACTGTACATGGCAAGTACAGGTGGTCAGAGCTTCACTTTACGTATATGGGATATTTTATTCTGGATTTGTTTGAGTAGAGAAGAGGTCATGTTTACTTTACTCTCGCATGTGTGTTTCAGAACACCTGGACTGAGGCAGTGGAACGTGCAGTCTCCTCTCCGCCAGAGGAAAAAGTCCTCTAAAGATTAACACCTTTGTTCTTCTCTACAACTATTCTTACGTGGTTTATATTCTCTCATCTCCATGGTTGATACCCTTCTTCTCCTATTTTTTGTTAATAAAGTTACCTAATATTGTTGTTGCAGTTGTACACTTATTTCAATTCTTAATATTTGTTTTTTCAGCTGAACAACTAACAACTTTGCGCCACAGTTTCTCACATTCTCCCGTTTGCCCCGAGCGTCCGGTCGAGAGTCGTCCTCCGAGTCCTGCTCACTGTTTTTATGTGGAGATAATCAGAACCTTCCGGCACCGTTCCCTTCCCCCCCGCCTGACTGCCTGATCGCGCTGCACCGCTGCGATCTCTCCCAGCATTCGCCCAATCGTGACGGCATCTGTTTGTCCAGATGCATCCCTGGTCACTGTAGCCATGATAGCACTACCCCGCGGGTTCTTGCAACTGGCAAGCTCGAGTGTGTGCATACAAGTATTTTTATTTGTTTGTGCTACAGTTTCTCAGATTCTCCCGTTTGCCCCAAGTGTCCGGTTTGGTGTCCTTCCCCAAGTTCTGCTCACTAGTTTTAATGATCTAGATTCTAGACTCTAGACCAGCGGTTCCCAAACTTTTTAGGCCACGCACCACCTTCTACATCCCAACTCGGTTCATGGACCTCCAATCCCCACACTTAAAACGAAAAAGTCTATTTATATGTGGCAAGGCATGTAAAAGAGCGGCACCACGGTTGAGAGGCGGACCTTATAAAAGGGGGGTGGAAGCTCACCTGGTTGTTTCATACTGGTGATTCACACACCTAAGGCCAGCTGATTGGGTAAGCTGTGCTTCATTCTACCTGTCTGAGAACAGGATTTTAACACTTATTGTTAATATCTTTTAGCTAATAACATTAAACGGTAACACTTTACTTGAATGGGTGTTCATAAGGCTGACATAACATTGTCATAAGCATGACATGACAGCTGTCATACATATCAATGAATACTTATGACAGTTGTCGTTAAGTGTCATTCGGTAAGTTATGTCACTTTTGATGCAAAGGTGACATTGAGATGTCCTTGTTATGACAACTTGACATAAACCAAGACCACAAAACCTGTCATTAACATGCCATAACAGACCTAACTGTCAAACTTAAGCAAAACGTTTGGCTTCATATCTTAGAGTGACATTAAACCGTCATATATGGATGGTTTTGACATTCGCTGTCATAAAACCATTACAATTGTGTCATAAATGTTGTCCTTTTCATTAAGATGTCGTTAAGTGTAACTACACTGCTAAATTACTTCATAACACATTTCCCACTTCCCTCCTACAGTGATTTAATGATTTTAACTTTGCATTAAGATATCATGTGCAATTACATAGTCAAAGCAGTTTATGACAGTGTCATGACTTTTTTTTAAATCAAGTAAAGTGGAACGATTTGAATGTTTCGTTAAAATGTCATTAAGTGTTATTACACTGTCAGATGATAATACCTTAACAAAAGCAACAGACAAGTCAAGAGATAGTTTTTCCTTTATGTATTTCAAAACAAAACATTTTGTTGTGATGTTCATTTAGTGACAGTTTGTAAAACACAAGCAAGGATCTGCTCAGGAGAACATATAATGAGTTTAACAACATAGATGCATAAATGCCAGCAGACATTGTAGAGATTTTTTTTTTTTTAAACTTTTACTTGTTTTTTCACATCATGGAAAAGTCTGCCCAACACACCATTGTAATGGTGTACACCCAACCAGTGGTGCCACTCTATCATCTTAAGATGAAGCTTGAGTGATTCAGGAGTACGATTCCCTCTGTGACGCCATACTTCCGGCTTGTAGCTTTGCCATGCACGCTCAATTTGCTGAGTATGAGCACCAGTCTCTCGGTCCACAAAGTTGTTTTTATGGCAGACGGAATAACGATCATACCCATACTGGGCAAGTTTCCCTTTGTAGGCACGCCATTCATCACTGAGGATGGATGTTCTGGGTCTGACATGGCGTCTAATATGACCTATAAGTGTCTTCCTTCTGCGATCCCTGACGAGTCTCAGAATGGGTCTTCTGGACTTCCTGTCTACCTCCAACATCCCAAAGACCCACTGCCGTTCACGGCGCCAAGTGTTGCCACATCGACCACGATGGTACTAAAAGTAAATAAGAAAACACAAATATTTCATAAGGTTTGGGCCTTATTACATTTTAACATGTGTCCTTCCCACATGCACTGCTAGCACTGATAAAGTATAAAATATTACTCATCATGAAATCTTGATCTAAATATAGTGCAGATTCATACAAATATATAGCCCACCTTTCGTTTGTGGGCAAATTTGCTCTCGTCAATAACAACAAATCGATGACGACGACCAATCCTCATACATCTTTTCCTTAGTCGCTTGACAGCAGCAATGCACACCTTCAAATGTGAAAATAAAATATAAGCATCTTGAGGTATAACTATGCCTTAGTATGGAATTTGATTAATATGTATGCTAACGTTTAGGAATAAAGTTGCATTGCATGTGTCACTGAGTGTACCAAATAATTCTGCAGCGATGTAGAATCCAATTGATTAGAGTGGTGACTTATGTACCTGTTTTATACCTAATTAAAGTTAGAGACTAGTCTGGTATGTAATGTGACAACCTTTCTGAGTACTTTTGCCATTCTTGTCAATGTCCTGGAGCTTGCTGCTATCCTGTCACTGATCATGGCAAGTTGCTTCAACTGCAAAAGTAAGAAACATAATTGATAAATTGGGCTGAGATGAAACTAAGATTTAATTTTAAGTCTTATGTTTAAGACATAAATAGCTCAAATAAAATTTGAGGGGCTGGTGGAACGGAATTCCTAATATAACAATCCTACATGAATTACACATAAATAAAAGACTGCTAAATATGTTATTTAGATATGTAATAAAAAATACATTTGATAATATTAATACTGTACCTGTGCATGAACTCAAGCCATTTTGTCAGAGGGATGTGAGACTTGGTGAATATTGAGCCATTACGTACAGACTTTGGGAAACTTTTATGATGCTTACAGACCCTGAGGAAAAATAATGAAAAAAGTAAAAAAGGCTGACATGTAGACAAGGTTGTTCATGCTTTTATCTCTTCAAGACTAGCCTACTGCAATGCTCTGTAGTAATCAGTAAGGGAAACATCCTAGACTGCAACTTATCCAAAATGCTGCCAACGGCAGGAAACAAGCACGTCTCCCATGAGTCTGAGCAGAGCATTTATTAATAACAATACTACTAATAATATTATTAATTAATGAAAGACCCCGTCCAACCATGCGCGGTGATGTCAGGCATGCAAGCTCAGCAACTTCTTTTACGTAGTTTCCATTTAAATTAACAAATTAGAATTAGCTTCTGCTTACCACCACAGCCCATCCTTGACATGGCATTTCCAGGCCTACCAACTCTCACGGTTTCGCCGTGTGACACACGCTTTTGCATGTTTTCACACGCACTCACGCCACACAACCAATTTCTCACGGCAAAAAAAAAAATCTGATTTTGGGCCGAAGCGCGTTCGTTCCTTTTCAAACTCCCCGACAATAGATGGCGCTAAGGAGCGCATCTGTAAACCCATTCGCTGCATAGACATCCTATTTACCCCAAAGAGTCCCGAAGTTAGCAACAGAAGAAGATTTTCAAACAGACACAACCGCGGGAGAAACTCAGGAGGAGCAAAGACTAAGGTATGTTAATGACATGTGGTTCAATTAAGTACTCACTCTCTTAAACTTTAAATCTTGAAAGAAATTATTTGTTGTGTTTGTGCGTGTGATTTTGAGTGGTGAATGTAAACTCAGCTGTCATAACAAGCAGCACTGCTGCTAATCTAATCTTAAACACAGGTCTATTAATTAGGCTATATTGTGGTACATAGACAGTCATTGAGGCACAGCAATAGTTTTCTGGTTGAATGTTCAGCTCGAGTCTAGAAGGCCCAACAAGTCATGAGCAGATGAACATAAATCAGAATAAGTTCAGGCATACCACCCAAAAATCCACGAGAATGCATGAAATAACATCTACTTAAACCAAAATGTCCTGGGGGTGGACCATCAGCTATGTCTTTGCTTCACAGAATGTAACCAATGTTGTCCATCTCCAGTAGGCCGCCCCTATCAACGACTTTGGGCCCCACAAACCACCAGAATGCAGGGTACAACATGGGTACTACGCCAAATGAATTCCAATTTCCTGATATTTGAGCCACCAACGTGTGTGGCTGCGTGCGCGGCAAAATTTTGGTCACCCCCGACAAAATCTCACTCCAAGGTTTTTTGAAAAGTTGGCAGCTCTGCATTTCACCAGATGCATGCAACGGTTGCATTTTGCGCACTTCATCGTCGTCGTCAGGATACCACGTTTCTGCGTCCATTTCACAATTTTCCTTCTGCTCTTGTGTTTATTTGAACGCCTAATATGTTTTAAAAGTTCTTCCATCAGTGTCATTGCATCAACAACTAGTCACCCGTCTCTGATCCGCGCCCGCGCCTTTTTTTTAAGTCGGTACGTCAGTCTTCTTCTCGTCGCTCAATGCTCCATCAACAAGACAGAACAGCGCCCCCACGTGTGTCTACAGGGGAACTGCACCTGTATTCGTGAAAAAAGTTATGAGATTTCAAACGTAGTTGGCTTTTCTAAATATAAAACTAATTAAAACTAACACATGTATTAATATTTCATCACTGTTTACAAGTGTTGTTGAATTTGAACTGAATGCGCGCGTAACGTAACGTTTACGTAACGTGACTATCCACATGAGTAGATCCCAACGCGACGTGACGGACATGCCAGCAGTGAAACACACTGCTCAACAGTCTGGAAGTTTCCTACTTCAGGTAAGCTAACGCGAAATACCGGTGTGTAATTTGGATTTTAAAAGAACATTTTTTTGAAGAGGACATTATAACTGTTAGTCTTTTGTTTACAGTCTTTGCCGTTTTATTAAGTTAGCGTTCAGCAACTAATACTAGTTAGCCTTTAAGTACAAAGTCCTTACGTCTCCCTTACAAGGCAGCCAACAGGCTATAACGTTAGTAGCATAGAGGCTAGTAGTATTTGCTCCAGTTTTCTTGTCGCTATTTCTAAACAACTAAGATGTCACGTTTGACTATTGTATCTTAATCTTAGCTTCTATGACATGGTGCTGTTTTCGTTGCTTACACAACTGTAGCCAGATGGACACCCGTTTCAGCAAACGTGGCAGGAAGGCTGAGGATAATGAAGCTAACCCCAAGCTGCTACACGCTGTGGAAGAGGACCTGGCACAAGAATGTGAAGAGGTCCCTATTCATCCAAAGAAAAAAAAGCTAATCAAATATTCCCCGAGGAAAACAAGTAAGTCTAGTCTATTTATGTTTTTTTTTTACTACTTTCACCAGTAGGGCTAGAAATGTACTTTTTATTTATACATATTTACATACATGTTTTATTGCCTATCTTCTCAATAAACAATATGCACAAAAGTACTGGGAATTTTGTTGGTGTACTGCAGTGCAATGAATGTATGTATGTTAATGAATAGATAGATAGAATAGATTAACATATGACACATATCAATATATTGCACAACAGTACACCACCACCATTGACTGACCCCCATAATACACTTAAAGTATTTCCTCTGTTGCAGTGTCTCCAACAGGTGCATTGGAGTTGGCCAAACTGAAGGAACAAACCAAGATGGACCGACAGAACACCTTGAGGAGCGCATTAATTACCTGGAGGAGGCCAACAAGGACCTGAAAGCTGACAAGGACTTCCTACTTGCCAAAATTAAGGAAGCTCCCAGCACACTTACATCTTCTGGGAAAGGTAAAAATGCACTACAATTAACATCCATGCAGTATGTAGGATATTAGAAACAAATATACGACCCGGTTCATAAAATTAATAAAAATGCATATAGTGTACACCAGAATACAGCCATGATTCTGAAACTGTGTAATCCATAAAGTAATGACAATATTGTAAAACCACTGTAAATCTGCAACTGTAATAGAATAATACCAATGTACAGTTATGATTGTATTTGATGTAATGTAATCAACTGGAATGCATGCATGTAAAACAACAACTGATATTGACTAAGGATCATCCGAAATCCGAGCTACATTGAACTCACCAGAAGACCACTCCCAGAGGTGTGGACACTGACTTTCACACCTTTAAGCATTGGTATAAATACCTGTAGCAACGATTGTTCTCGAGTTCACTGGTGGAGGCGACAGACGGGCACTAGGGATGGTCAAAAGGACTGACCTGGGGCCTATTGGTCGCTGAGACCAGCGGCTCCTCAGCTGAGATGTTCTTTTTACCGCAACGCCATCGCTTTTATTAAATACATTTGATTTGAACCTTTCGACCAGCGATGACCTCTGTCCGTCCGGCGTTTCTTCATTTTTGAACACAACAAGTACTAGTTGGGGAAGGAACCAGAAATAGAAATAGGCTGGGCACAGAGTGTAAGGATATATTATTATATACAATTGCATTGTTGTTACAAATGAGATGTCCAATTGAGCTGAAATACTATTTTCCCAAGCCCTTCCAAAAGGTTTCCGATATGACCTGATAAGTCTCTGGTGATGGCATTGCTGTGTAGAAAGAAATGCTATGCACTGACATAGAGTAGAGCCATCACTCACTGTATGCTACAGCTAATGCTCTACTAACATGTTAACAGACACGCACACACACACAAACTGATGTTTCACTCACTGTTACTGCTGCTGCTAAAATAACTCTGGCCTTTCCTGCCAGTAAATTGCTCTGGGAGTATAACTAGAGTACAATAGAGTGTGACTTCTGGGTGCTCTGGTTCTGCTCCTGCCCCCCCCAAACAAACACCTGTTAATTATCAACTACAATGCAATAGAAATAATAAATAAAAAAATAAATAAGAAAATAATAAGTAAGTAATTATCTATAACAAAGCCTCTTGTACACGTGCAGTTGTCTGCTCTCAAAAAAGTGACTGCATTAAAAAAAAGTATATTAGTTTTTTGCTTTGTTTACTTATAAACATCTCTGCTTCTCCACCTACCCCCCAATTTTCTTCCCCCAGGCAGAAAGTGTCAGGAATTCAGCTTCCTGAACCGGGTTTATTACATTGCCACTCTTACCTGTTTTTTCTGAGTTTCCCCAAACACATCCTGACTAATTATTCAACCATCGACACCTGCTGCTGCCTGCACACCCGGTCCTGATTACCATCCCCTTCACCATTTAAGCCGTGACCAGACAACCAGTCCCTGCCGGATCGTTAGCGTACCACGTATGGTTTTTGCTCCAAACTCGAGTCTAGTCAAGAGTCAGTGTGTTTGTTTGCTTCTGTTTATTTTCCGGATCACTAACCAGCAATCTGTTTCCCTGCCTACAGCTCATCACTTGGATCGCCCTTTTCCCCTGCCTAGCCGTTGACCCGACTCCAGCCCCCACTCATCACCACCCAACCGGACCAGTCCTTCCCCACACCTTTTTGCATAATAAATACCCACCTTTTATTTTGATTCTTCCGAGTGGTCTGCTTTTGGGTTCCCGTCCTGGACGATTCGTGACAGAACGATCCGGCCAAGATGAACCCAGCGGACCTAGAATCCGTACGACATGCCATCTCCCAGCAGGAAGACGCGTTGGGACAGCACAGTCTGGCCCTGCATGAGATAACGACTGCTCTTCGTAGTCTAACCACAAGTCTTACCACGGTCCAGGCTCAGCTCAGCGCTCCAGCAGTTTCTCCACCCCCGCCTGCCGTCCAGGAAGCTGCGTCGCTCCAAGAGCCCAAGGTTCCAACACCGGACAAGTATGATGGGGATTTGGGAGGATGTCGTTCATTTCTCATGCAATGTGACTTGGTTTTTGACCTGCAGCCCTACTCCTATGCTTCTGACAAAGCTAAGATTGCCTTTGTAATTGAACTGCTGCGGGGAAGGGCCCTGGAGTGGGCGTCTGCCCTATGGGAACGACCCCTGCTTGGCCTCATACCGTGCCTTCTCAGCTAAGATGAGGGAACTCTTTGAACACCCCGTCCGAGGTAAGGACGCATCCAAGCGGTTGTGCTCTCTGCGCCAAGGTTCACGCAGCGTAGCCGAGTACGTTATTGACTTCAGAACACTGACTGTGGAAGCTGGGTGGAATGAGGAGTCACTACAGGCTGTGTTTCATCAAGGATTATCCGAACAGATAAAGGATGAACTAATCTCGTATCCTGAGCCAAGTGACTTGGACAAGTTGGTAGCCTTGTCCATTCGCATTGATAACAGGTGCCGAGAGAGAGGGGGGGAGAGACGTGAGAGGTTTTCCAACCATTCCCCGCGTCGCCAACCCTCTAAATCCGGAAATGGAGCTGAGTTGGGGAGCCGAGCTACATTCCAGTGGACGAAGGAGGAACAGCGGTCATCTGACTCCGAACCCATGCAGGTGGGACGTCACGGATTGTCTGTAGAGGAGCGCCAGCATAGACGTGAGTCGGACAGATGTTTTTACTGTGGTAAGAGGAACCATTACATCTCCTGTCCACAGAGGCCGTTAAACTCCCAGGCTCGCTAAGAGTGGGAGGATTCTTAGCGAGCCAATCTCAGTTTTCCAACTGTCCTGTAAGACCTCCAGTTCCTGTCACACTCATGAACTCTAATCATTCTGTTGAGATTAATGCTTTGATTGATTCAGGGGCGGATGACAGCTTCATGGACGCCGATCTGGTGGAACAGCTGGGGCTCTCCGAGGAAGGTCTCCCGGAGGCCATTGAAGCTACCACACTTAACGGTGACTTATTGGCACGGATAACGAAAAGAACCGGACCCGTTAACATGCGTATTTCTGGAAATCATTCTGAAGTCATATCTTGTTTCATCCTGCACTCCCCTCGTGCTCCTCTGGTCTTGGGTTACCCATGGCTCCGGGAACACAACCCCACTATTGATTGGACCACCGGCAAGGTAACCAACTGGAGTACGAAGTGTCATAAGGACTGTCTGAGAACTGCCGTTTCCCCCTCTGCTTCTAAACAGGATGGGGACTCTCCACCCCCAGACATGTCCATGGTTCCCGATGCCTACCACGACCTTCAGGAGGTGTTTAGCAAACAGAAGGCCCTGTCTCTGCCCCCCCACCGACCTTACGATTGTGCTATCAATCTCACGCCTGGTGCTACCTACCCTAAGGGCCGCCTCTACAGCATATCTAAACCAGTACGTGAAGCCATGGAAAGCTACATCAGGGATTCTCTTGCCGCTGGCCTCATTCGTCCCTCCTCACCCCTGGGAGCTGGGTTCTTCTTCGTAAGTAAGAAAGACGGCTCCCTGCGGCCTTGTATTGACTACCGTGGGCTTAATGACATTACCATCAAGAACAAGTACCCTCTGCCCTTGATGAGCTCTGCTTTTGACTCCCTGCAGGGGGAGACCATTTTCACGTAGCTGGACCTACGCAATGCTTACCACTTGGTCCGTGACATTCTTGTGTTTTCCGAAGATCTACCTAACCATGTCCTGCACGTCAAACAGGTTCTGCAGAGGTTATTGGAGAACAGACTGTTCGTTAAGGCTGAGAAATGTGATTTTCACGCCCAAACCACCTCCTTCCTTGGGTACATCATCTCCGAGGGCCAGTTGAAGATGGATCGTGAGAAGGTTAGGGCGGTGCTCGACTGGCCCCAGCCCGAGTCCCGGTTGCAACTCCAGAGATTTCTGGGGTTCGCAAATTTCTACAGACGATTCATCCGCGATTACAGCAGAGTGGCCGCTCCGCTCACTGCCCTGACTTCTACTTCCAGATCCTTCTGTTGGAATCCGGCGGCTAACGAGGCTTTCCGGGATCTGAAAAGGCGCTTCACTGATGCACCCATCCTCTCTCACCCAGATACATCTCGTCAGTTCGTTGTGGAAGTGGATGCCTCGGATATGGAAGTCGGTGCCATTCTTTCTCAGCGAAGTTCCAGTGACCATAAGCTTCATCCTTGTGCTGTTTTCTCTCGCCGCCTCTCCCCGGCTGAAAGGAACTATGATGTGGGGAACCGCGAGTTGCTTGCTGCGAAACTCGCCTTGGAGGAGTGGCGCCACTGGCTTGAGGGGGCTGAACAGCCATTTGTGGTTTGGACCGACCACAAAAACCTAGCATATGTGCAATCTGCCAGACGTCTGAACTCGCGTCAAGCCAGGTGGGCCTTGTTTTTTGGACGCTTCAATTTTTCTCTCACCTTTCGACCTGGGTCAAGGAATGGAAAGGCTGACGCCCTTTCCCGGATGTTTTCCAAGGCTGTTAGTGAGGAGGCTACTCCGGAGACCATTCTGCCGCAGAAGCTCATCGTGGGTGTCGTCACCTGGAGGATCGAGGACGAGGTGATGACTGCCCTGCGGACTCAGCCTGGGCCTGGAAATGGTCCGCCAGGTCGTCTGTTTGTACCCAACTCAGTCCGTTCTGCTGTGCTTCAATGGGCCCACGCCAGCAAGCTGGCTTGTCACCCTGGAGTGGCTAGGACCATGGCCTTACTGCGCAGACGCTTTTGGTGGCCGGCCATGGGAGACCAGACTCGGAGTTTCATTGCTGCATGCCCGGTGTGCGCTCAAAATAAGGGTACCAACCGACCCAGCTCTGGACTCCTCCATCCTCTGCCCATCCCTCGGCGACCATGGTTGCATCTGGCTCTGGATTTCGTGTCCGGGCTGCCCTTATCTGAGGCAAACACCGTTGTCACCGTTGACAAAGACTGCTCCAGAACCTTCATCTTCGACTTCAACATCGACATCTCCCTCCTCAGACTCCAGCTTCTTATCATCCTCAGAAGAAGAGAAGAAAAAGAAAAGGAAGTCCAAGAAAAAGACCATTAAGTCAAAAAAACACACTGAATCTGTCACGGTGTGGTTCACTTCCTGTTGTATTTTGTAGTTTTCTGCCACTCGTGTCCCCGGGTAACTTCACTTCCTGCCTTGTCCCGTCATCCCCTGTGATTGTCTAATAGTTTCCACCTGTGTCCAATCACCTGCACCTCCCTTGTGTATTTAAGCCGTGTGTCACTTGTCGCGTCATTGTCTTTCGCCACGCATGTCCGTGTCCCTTGTTGTGGGTATCTGTAAGTTGCATGCCTGTGTTTTTTACCTTCGACTATTAAAGTCCTTTTGTTCCTGCAAGTCTGCATTTTGAGTCCTGCCTCCCACCCGCACCCGTGACAGAATCATACAGCCGTTCAAGAAGTAAGCAGAGATATTGATCATCTTTATAATCACCTTTATAACAATACTAAAGTTGACCGCTGCTTAACCTTTTATCGATTACATTTATATAAAAAGCAACTACTTCCATGGGCTTTGTTAATAATAGTTACATGGGACTAAAGGTAATGTTATATCGATGTCTAGCTAATGGTATATTTTAGTAGTAATTCTGAAAATCAGTGATTGAGATTTCTACAGCCTTATCTAGCTCTCCTTATCTCCTCAAGTTATTCTATGATCTCCAGTTTTGTTTTATATCTAACCTCTGAAAAAGAAAAATATAAGAAAACAATTTTACTTACTCAGAGTTCACTGTGCTTCCTCTAACCACGCTGGTTATGTTTTGTACAGGCACGTGAGCAAGGACATTACTTCCTGGGCATCCTCCTTCTAGGCTGGTGAAGGCAGATATTGCTAGCCACAGAGTCAGGTAGGAAAGTCTAATATAACCAGCCTAGAAGAAGGATGCAAAAGTAAGGATCCTTTCTCATCTGCTACTACTACAAAACCTATAAGGTGCCAAATCAACAATGCCAGTACATGCCTGAAAAACTGACCTATTTTGTTTGTTTTTCTGTTGTGTTCTTAAGTAACCACAACAGATGGAGTGATCCGTTGCTATAAGGATGTCCTTCGTATCTTCAAAAAGTGTGGATCCATGAAGAAAGCCTTTGCGAAAATGAATGTTGATCGAAACACAATTGCACGCACAGCTATAATTGCTGAGCTAGCAATTACCTTTCAGGACGCGTTCCAAGGTCTGCTGACAGGTGACGAAGATCAAATGAAGATTTGTGTGCTTGCAGAGCGTTGTCGCGGGGCCATAAACGAGGAGATGGCCGAAACCATCACAGCATGCAAAAAAAATGGAAAGCTCCTCCCAATAATGTATAAATATACTTAAGAATATTCATTTTGTTCACACTTGTTTACATTTTGTTAAACAATTGTTTAAACTTTGTTAAAAAGTTAATCTATTTATATACACAATACATGTAGGAATTTTGGAAGTTTGTTTTTTCTGCTTCATCTTAAGATGAGTGGCATCACAACAAAATGTTTTGTGTTGAAATACATAAAGGAAAACTATCTCTTGAGTTGTCTGTTGCTTTTTTTAAGGTATCATCTGACAGTGTAATAACACTTAATGACATTTTAACGAAACATTCAAATCGTTCCACTTTGCTTGAATTCAAAGAAAACAGTCATGACACTGTCATAAACTGGTTTGACTATGTAATTGCACATGATATCTTAATGCAAAGTTAAAATCATTTTGCAGTGTAGTTACACTTAACGACATCTTAATGAAAAGGACAACATTTATGACACAATTTTAATGGTTTTATGACAGCGAATGTCAAAACCATCCATATATGACGGTTTAATGTCGCTCTAAGATATGAAGCCAAACGTTTTGCTTAGGTTTGACAGTTAGGTCTGTTATGGCATGTTAATGACATGTTAATGACAGGTTTTGTTGTCTTGGTTTATGTCAAGTTGTCATAACAAGGACATCTCAAACAATGTCACCTTTGCATCAAAAGTGACATAACTTACCGAATGACACTTAACGACAACTGTCATAAGTATTCATTGATATGTATGACAGCTGTCATGTCATGCTTATGACAATGTTATGTCAGCCTTATGAACACCCATTCAAGTAAAGTGTTACCGGCGTTTTCAGACCGAGAGAAGGCTGAAAAACGCACAGAACACAAGAATGCATTGGTTAACAGTGTTTTCCTCAAACTAACACCTCAGGAAAGTACATTTATCTGTTTTATGATGGTATCATGGTTTGTGAATAGTTTTCCAACCTTTTTTGGCTTTCTTGGCGATTAAGGCGTTTTCAGGCCGAGAGAAGGCTGATGTTAGGGATTTAAGCCAGAAGTGCACCCCTAGTCAGGAAATTATAGTACGTGTAATAATGTTTAGTGTTAGAATTATAGTTTGTGTGATGTTAGATATTAGATATTAGTTATTACATTAACATGTTAGATGAAGTGAATACAATTTGAATCAGACACAATTCATAGTCATTTAAATCGTATAAACACTGTACACATTAACATTCTGTCACAATGTGATGTTAAAACCTGGGGACGGATGCCAATTGCCGTCCTTTATGGATTTCTCCCAATTTTATCCCCAAAGAGGGTTTTTTGGGAGTTTTTTCTCCTGTCAGGTAATAAATGAACAACTTAATGTAAGGCAGCCGACTGAGGCAAATGTCTTGAGAATTGGACCACATGAACTGTCTTAGATCTTATGATGAAGTATGATGGACGGTGATCATTAATGATGGGTTGTTGTAATTAAAGTGCAGCCGACTGAGGCAAATGTCT